GAAAATTAATCCATTCTAAAGCCAGCCATCTATATAGATTTTTAATTTCGTAATTTTATTTTATTTTATTTTTTAAAAGATTTTATTTATTTATTTGACAGAGAGAGACACAGCGAGAGAGGGAACACAAGCAGGGGGAGTGGGAGAGGGAGAAGCAGGCTTCCCGCTGAGCAGGGAGCCCGATGCGGGGCTCGATCCCAGGACCTGGGATCATGACCTGAGCTGAAGGCAGACGCTTAACGACTGAGCCACCCCGGTGCCCCTAATTTCACAATGTTAAATGGCCTCATATTGCTTAATCCAGGATGCTCTTTTTTGTTTTCCCAAATTTTGACAATCTGCACGTGAGTGTGTGAGCATGTTTGCATCCAGATACCTGTCCATATGTATATAATGTGTGCATATTTGTGTGTATGTGTATGTATACACATCTGTAATGTATACACACATATATGTATATGGATGCATATACATAATTATTATTTTTAATTGTGAAAGTCATACACATGTATGGTAAACAATTTAAATGGAGAGTCTCACAGTTGTCCTTAGCTGCTCATTCTCACTTCTCAGAGATCCTATCCATCAAAAATATGGTGACAATGGCAGGATGCCAACTCCAACTACCCCACGGCCCAGGACAAAGGGTCCTCCACAGCATTTGAATGTGCCAGTGCTCGGGGAATGACTTGGTCCTAACCTGAATGTTCCAGACGTGGGTGTCTGGCTATTACGGCTCACTTTACAGTTCAACCATTGTCTTGAACCACCCCCAAATATTTTCTATTAATATCCATGTCTTGATCCAAGGAGGCTCATTAACATTCCAGAATATCAGTCCGTCTCGGCTCCTTGCATTGTACAACATCCTTTATGGCACAAAGAAGCAAGCCATGCGGATACCTGGGGGTGGGGGGAGCATCCAGGCAGAGAGAAGAGAAAGTGCAAAGGTCCTGAGGTGCAAGGAAGCCTGGCCTGTACTGGAAGCACTGAAAAGCTTAGTGTAGCTGGAGCGGATCAAAGGAGAACAAGAGTGATAAAGAATGAGCTTTGAGGGGAAAGTTGTGGTATGGACTGTGGTTTGCATTTAAAAGTGATAGAGAATCGTGAATTAATGGATGCCACTTTCCCTCACTTTAATCTCTCCAGTGGCCTCCATTTGCATTTAGAATCTAAGGGAGGCTCTGCAGGGTCCTGCCCCATCCACCTCACCAAGCATCTCTCAAGCCTCACTCCTCCCTGCTCTGGCCCAGTTGTTCCTTAAATACACCTAGCTCTTTCTCGAATCCTGCCTCTTTGGCCCAGATGAGCTGCCACTGCCCCAGGCTCCCCTCATGTCTACATCCCACTCTTCCTGCAGGTCTGTTTCCGTGTCATCTTCTCAGAAGAGCTTCCCTTGGCCTTCTGACCAGAAGTCACCTTGCCCCAGTTATTCCTTATGGCAGCCTCGGTCCTCCTCCTTCGGAGCCACGATCATGAGCAAGAGTTCCGTGCTTGTCTCTGGTTTATTCCCTTCCTGTCGGTCTCCTTAGCAGATGGCCAGCCCCACGAAGGCAGGGCCAGGCCTGTCTCATAAGCTGCTCTCGCTCATCCCCTAGCCCTGCAGACCACGTACCGTGCGGACTCAGTAATATTTAAATGAATGCTTAAAAGCAAGCACCAAGAGAGGCCCGATCAGCAGTCCTGTGGACGGGACAGGGGAGAGCCTGGAGGCCAGGACATCCTTGACAGAACATGACCACTGTTTGGGGACTTTGTAGGAGCAGGAGAGACAGAGAGAAGGCGCTGGGTTCAAGAGCCCTTCAGGAAGTAGAAGCCATGGGGTTTGATGCCTGCTATCTGAGGGAGGAGAAAGCTTTACTCTTGGGGTGACGACTTGGGAGATGGGGAAGAACTGGGGGTGGGGGCCTTAGAAATAACAGAAATGTATTTCTCGTGGTTCTATTGTCCGGGAAGTTCAAGACCGTGGCACCAGCAGATTCAGGGTCTGGGGAAAACCCACTTTGGGTAGACAATCATCTTCTCACTGAGTCTTTGCGTGGTGGAAGGGGCAAGGGGCTCTCTGGGGTCCCTTTTACAAGGGCACTAATCCTACTCATGAGGCTTCACCCTCATTACCTCATCACTCCCGAAGACCCCACCTCCTACTGTCAACACCTTGGGGGTTAAGATCCCAACATATGAATTTGGGGGAGTCACAAACATTCAGACCATAGCAAACACAGTTCAATTAAGTTGTGTGTGGGGGGCGGTGCGGGGGGATATTTGGGGCTTTATATCAGGAGCCCAGTCTTGGAATCTGAGGTGATTGAGGGGCAATCTAGATGGACATTCGCCAGGGGGCAGGTGAAAATATGGTCTTTTTTTTTTTTTTTAAAGATTTTGTTTATTTATTTATTTGACACAGAGAGAGAAACAGCATGAGAGGGGATAGGGTCAGAGGGAGAAGCAGGCTCCCCGCCGAGCTGGGAGCCGGATGTGGGACTCGATCCCAGGACTCCGGGATCATGACCTGAGCCGAAGGCAGCCGCTTAACCAACTGAGCCACCCAGGCTCCCTGAAAATACAGTCTTGACACTCAGAAGTGAAATTTGTCTGGAGAGGTCTGGTACGAACGATGATTTCGGCTGACATTTCTGGAGTGCTTAACGCACGTGAGGTCCCACAGTAAGCCTGAAGACAGCATGGCGTAGCAGCCAAGAGCCCAGTTTCTGGAGTTAGGTTGTCAGTGGTCTGGTAGGAGCCCCCCCACTTTTGAGGTTTGTGATCCTCAGCAAGATGCTTAAGTTCTCTGTGGCTCCACTTCCCCAAATGTGCAATGGGGCTCCCACTAGGGCCCCCCACTTTCGGTTACTATCAGGATCATAATGAATTTAGAATCGTGTATAGCACTCAATGAGTATTACCTGTTATTTTTTTATGATCTCAGCGAATCATCATAACAAGTCTAAATGGTAGGTAGTATTAGTAATCCCTATTTTTAAAATATATTTTATTTATTTATTTGAGAGAAAGAGGGTGAGCAGGGGAAGGGGCAGACTCCCTGCTGAGCAGGGAGCCAATGTGGGGCTTAATCCTAGGACCCCGGAATCATGACCTGAGCGGAAGGCAGATCCTTAACCGACTGAGCCACCCAGGTGTCCCAGTATCCCCATTTTTTAGATGATGAAGCTAAGGCTTGGAGAATTTAAGTAACTTCTGAAGGTCACCCAGGTGGGAAATGGTAGAGTCCGGATTTCAACCAGGACCAGCTAGCCTCCACAATCAAAGGTGGGTCCAACTCCAGAGTCTGAACCACCAGTCGGAGTTAGTCATGAGCAGGTAGGCAGTGAATGAGACATCACTCAGGAAAAGCAAGTTTGGGGCATGGTGCTGTGGTTAAAAATAACAAGAGAAATCAGAAAATGCTCCCATATGTAGCAGGAAAGCCAAGTGAAAAGGTGTGTTCTGAGACCCGGGTGCTCAGTGGCGCCGCCTACCTGTTCGAGGACCTGAATCTACGGCTCTGGGATATTTTTTTCCTCCCCAAACCCACCATCCAGAGTTGTTGCCATCTGATGTCTCCCCTGAGCTGCCCTGATCTTTGCCTTAATTATTCATAAACAAAACTAACAATTTACAACGGAAACACACTTTTGCATCAGGATCTGCCTGGACCCTCGCGGCCTCCCCCAGGGGCAGGAATTAGTAACCTACGCTCTCTGCAGGTGAGGGAACAAAGACCCACAGATGGGAAGTGGTTTATGGAGCTTGAGAATTCTGACACTGGTGTAGACAGGTCTGTCGTTGAACCCGAGGTCCGTCACCTACCATCTGTGGTGCTTGGATAAGTTACTTAACCTCCCATATCTTGGTTTCGCTCTTCCGTAAACAGAGCTGATCATGCCTGCTCATCAGGTCATTAGAAGGTGGCATACAGTAGGCGCTCAATAACTGGTAGCCAGCAGAAGTGGTAATAGTAACTGAGTCTCAAGACAAAAGCAGACCACCGAGTCCAACCCTGAGTTGTTGTTTCTGTGGAAAATGGCATATCTATGTGTCATTAAGGAAATGGCAGAGAGGCAAATAGAAATTCCAGCTGGGGAGCATGGTAAATGCTGATCATTAAGGTACTTTCATATCCCGCTGGAGATGGGTATGATCCATGAGGAGGGTTTAAGGCTATGGTTAAGATCCCCATGACGAGTAGAGCCTTTGAAGCTATTTACGTGGGTTAGAATCCTGCCATTTCCTCTCTGTGTAACCAACTCAGACAGATCACTCGGCTTCTCTGAGCCTCAGCTTCCTCATCTGTAAAATGGGATTAAAATAGCTATCATTTCATTTGTGAGAACCAAGCGGCATACTGTGTGTTGAGCGTGTAGCCTGGAATACAGTAAATGCTCAACAAATGCAACATTTCTCCTTCCCATCACACCGACCCCTCCGTAATGACAGTATATATATATTTTTTCTTTCCTGTAAGAGTAAATTACTCTTCACTGCCCTCTAGGAGTATAAAGTAAAATGGCATGCATGACACCAAACCTGGGAGTTAGTGGAAGAAGGAACCCATAGGAGCAAAATTTTTGTCTTCCTGGGGCTCTGGGTGGCTCAGTCGGTTGAGCGTCTGCCTTCAGCTGGGGTCATGATCTTGAGGTCCTGGGATCTAGCCCCGTGTCAGGGTCCCTGCTCAGCGGAGAGTCTGCTTCTCCCTTTCCCTCTGCTCCTGCCCCCCACTTATGCACGCACTCTCTCTCTCTCAAATAAATAAAATCTTTAAAAAAATTTTTTTGGGGCACCTGGGTGACTCAGTCGTTAAGCATCTGCCTTCTGCTCAGGCCATGGTCCCAGGGTCCTGGGATTGAGCCCTGCATCGGGCTCCCTGCCCAGCGGGAAACCTGCTTCTCCCCCTCCCACTCCCCCTGCTTGTGTTCCCTCTCTCGCTGTGTCTCTCTCTCTGTCAAATACATAAATAAAATCTTAATAAATAAATAAATAAATTTTTTGTCTTCCTTCAGTCCAGAAAGAAGAGGCCTGTTGAGATGAACCCATGGTCCAGTTACATGTTGGGATGGATAACCTTCCTCCTCTACTCCCATGAGACAAGTGGAAGTGAGTATACTGGAAAATGATGGGGAGGATTTGGAAATTAGAAAGAGTGAATGGGTCAAAGCAAGGATTCCTGGATTCAGGTAAGGAGGAGATAGAGAATCATCTGCTCCTGGACCGCCTTGACCGCAGATAACTGAAAACAAGAAAAGCGAGACCCTGGATAAGCGGGTGGTCGCTGTAATGGACACAAGCACCTTTCATGATGCTCAGCACATGGAAGGGAAGTGCAGATATGTGAATTAAAAGGGGGGCTCTAGGGGTGCCTGGGTGGCTCAGTTGTTAAGCATCTGCCTTCGGCTCAGGTCATGTTCCCAGGGTCCTGGGATCGAGCCCCGCATCGGGCTCCCTGCTCCGTGGGAAGCCTGCTTCTCCCTCTCCCACTCCCCCTGCTTGTGTTCCCTCTCTTGCTGTGTCTCTCGCTGTCAAATAAATAAATAAAATCTTTAAAAAAGGGGGGGAGCTCTAGGGGCGCCTGGGCGGCTCAGTTGGTGATGCCTCTGACTCTGGATTTTGGCTCAGGTCTGTGAGATTGAGCCTCATGTTGGGCTCTGAGCTGGGCGTGGAGCCTGCTTGAGATTCTCTCCCTCTCCCTTGCCTCTCCCCCACCACTTGCGTGTTCACTCTCTCTCTCTCTCTAAAAAAAAGGGGGGCGCTCTATAATTCCAATGGATTGAGTCTTCAGACTCCAACCTAGACCCTCCACTCTCTTTCTTAAATTGTGGTAAAATGCTCAGAACATAAAATTTACAATATTTACCATTTTGAAGTGCACAGTTCCATAGAAGTAGATTCACATTGTTGTACAACCAATAGCCAGCGCTCTTTTCAGCCTGCAAAACTAAAACTCTGTACCCATTAAACAACTTGCACCTCCCCCTCCCTTCAGCCCCGGCAACCACCCTTCTACTTTCTTTCTCCATGAATTTGACTGCTCTGATGCCTCATGAAAGTGGACTCAAACAGTACTTGTCTTTTTGTGATTGGCTTATGTCACTTCGCATAATGTCCTCAAGATTCATCCATGTTGTAGCAGCTGTCAGAATTCCCTTTCCCTTTAGGGCCGAGTGATGTTCCACCGTGTGTGTGATCCATACATGTACACACCACCTTTTGTTTATCCATCCATCCACTGATGGACTTGGATGGTTTCTACATTTTGGCTATTGTGAATAACACTGCTCTAACCATTGGGTGTTACAAATACTTCTTTGAGAACCCACTTGCAATTCTTTTGGGGATATACCCAGAAGGGGAATGCCTGGGTCATATGGTAATTTTATGTTTAATTTTTTGAGGAAATGCCATACTGTTTTCCAAAGCAGCTACACCATTTTACATTCCCATCAACAGTGCATAAGGTTCTAATTTCTCCACATCCTTGCCAACACTTGTTGTTTTCTGCTAAAAAAAAAAAAAAAAAAAAGTAGCCATTCTAGTGGGTGTGAGGCTACGCTCTTAATATATCTAGGAATCTAAATCAACCACCCAAAGATCATATGGTAAGCACAGAAGCAGAACAAAGAGAGACCCTGATTATATATAGTTCACTCAAGCTAGGGTGAAACAATTCTCTACAATTAAAATCCTTTTCTGTCTCATGAGCCCTCTCCCTTGGATAGGCTCAAGAAACACTCTTTTTTTTAAAAGATTTTATTTATTTATTAGAGAGAGAGAGCATAAGGAGGGGGAGGGGCAGAGGGAGAAGCAGGCTCCCACTGAGCAGGGAACCCGATGTGGGACTCAATCCCAGGACCCTGGGATCATGACCTGAGCCGAAGGCAGAGGTTGAGCCACCCAGGAGTCCCTCAAGAAACACTCCTGTTTTCATGCCCTTGGATTCCACGAAGTCCTTTTTCAATGATCACATTCTATATTCCAGAGATTCCTAATATGAGGTCACCGGGCAAGCACCAGAGCCCATGAAACCCCAGATTGGTATAAAAAAGGGTGTGTATTTATCAGGATAGTGAGAATAGATATTGAAACAGACAAACTCCAAATTATAGCAGCTTAACACAAATCATTTTATTTCTCCTTCCTATAAAGTCCAATGAGGGTGCATCTGGTCAGCAGGGGTCCATGCACCTTCCACTGTGGGGTTCCACCATCCCCTAGGGCTTTAGGGTGTTCTGTGGATTCTTTACTTGGAGCTGATAGACAACGATCAAAAGTCTGATGATCTTGGATGAGAGTTTTTTTGGCCAGGAAGTGATAGCTGTCATTTTCTCCCACTTCCACTGGCCAGAACTCACAGGATGCTTAGCTGCAAGGGAGTCTGGGAAATGTGTTTTTTAGCAGTACATTTAGGAGGAAGATGAAGCTGGTTTTGAACACACAACAGTCTCTGCCATAGGGAGGTATGAGCATTTTCCCTGAGAGAAGGTCTGGCTTCTCAAAAGAACTGATGAGTCCCCAAAATGCTAAGAACCCACAGTTTATTCAGTCAGGGAACAATACCAGCTTTTTCAGTTCTTGTCTCATTCTAGTCATACCTTCCTGAGACCACACCCACATTCCTGTGGCAAAACTTGGCATCCCTAAGTCTCCTCTGCACATATTTATAGGCTAATTTATTTGATACACATTTATTGAGTGATTCCCAAATGCCAGGCACCATGCAATGGGCCAGAAACATAGCAATAAATAAAACTCATGCTCTATAATCAGAGAGCTCACAGCAAACAGGAGTGATAGACATGTAAACAGATAACTATATTCTTTAAATATTTGGTAAGTACATTTATAGAGATTGACTCAGAGTATTATAAGAGTGCAGAAGAGTATTGATCCAGACTGAATCAGGTTGTATGGTTGAGTAATGGGGAGTAAGGTTAGGAAGAAAGAAAAGAGCAGGATGAAGGGCATGAGCCAAATGCCAAAGACAAGAAAGAGCATGGAGGAAGGTCGAGGAAACATTAATCAGGCAGTGAGAACAGAGAGGTCAGCAGGGCCCAGATTATGGAGGATTTTAACCCAGTTAAGAAGATTAGACCATCTGCTGGATTACTTTGCAGATGGCTAATAGTATCTATTATGTGTTGGTTCTTACTAACAACTCCCAAGAATAATCTTAATCCTGTGTCAAGGGGGCATCTGCCTGCCCTCCCAGCATTGTACATACCGGTGGTGTCCATGACTGAGAATCATTGATGATAATGATGACGGTGATGGTGATGATTGCTAACATTTGTTGAGTAGCTCTTATAAGCACTTTCCAGATATTAACTGGTTTCAGCTTTATAAAATCAAGACCAGAAAGTTCTGAGACTCAGAGGTGGACCACGCAATGTGACTTAAGGGCCCCTACTTGCATCAACCCATTGGTGAAACTCAAAGCTGGAGGTCTGGCTTTTCCACCCTCTCCTAGTACATCCTTCATTCACCCTTATGGTGGCTTAGGTCAGATTATATAGGGTAGGAATCTGATCTAGAAGAGATGGGGGTACAAGGTTGAGGATAGAGAGGATGTCTTATTCATCTGTATTGGTAACAGACTAATTATCCCCAAATGTCAGTGGCTGAACTCAGTAGAGTTCACGTCAAACTCATCTAGCACTTCAATGTGGATGTTTGGTGGGAAGCCTTTTTGTTGTGATTCAGAGATGCAGGACCCTTCCGTATCATGGCTCCTCCATCCCCTAGAGCCTCAATGTTCTCTGCAGGGTCCTCTTTATCTGAGTTTCTCAACCTGGGCACTATTGACATTTGGGGCCAGATGGTTTTGTTCTGGAACCTGTGCATGGTAAAATGTTTAGCAACATCCCCAGCCTCTGCCCAGTAGATCCCAGGAGCACAGCCACCAGCTCCCCCTTCTCCCAGTTGTAACAACCAATATTTCTCCAATATTTCCAAACATTGTCTAGTGTCCCCTTCTCCTCGAGAACTACAGCTCTTATCCAGCTGGCAGAGGAAGAAAGGAGCATGGAGGTTTGCTTGGGACTTCTCTGAGCAAGGAAATGGAGAACATGATTTCCACCCACATTCCATGGGTTGTAACTGAGTCACGCGGCCCCACCTAACTATAAGAGAGGCCAAAAAATGGGTTCAAGCTAGGAGCCCAGAAAGAAAAAGAAGATGGGTTTTAGTGAGTCCATGGAAGCTTTGCCTCACCATGTTTGGAACATGAGCATGCACGCGCACGCACGCACACACACACACACATCCGTGTGTGCAAGCACATAAATAACCTATCAGAATGTCTTAGTCATAGTAAGCCTTCATTATATCTTTGAAGGAGGGAGAAAGCGAAGGGAGGAAGGAATGACAGGATGAAGGCAAAGAGAAAAGCTATGATCCTGGACCATTAGATATAAAATTCTAGTTCTCATTCTAGTTCTGCTCAAAAAAAAAAAAAAAAAAGGCATTAAGTTGAAATGATTCCTTATCTTACATGGGTCTTCACTTCCTTCTCCATGAAGAATTTGGGCTAGAATAGAATTTCTTAAGATGTGTTTCAGGGACCATTAGTCTCCAAAGCTCTCAAGGAATGGGAGGAAAAGGACAATTCAATATACTCCATACTCCTCTTGCTAATTCAATTCTCATTTACATGTTGACCCTTTTGATGAGTCCTTCATCAAAGAAACCCATTTATCTTTTTTTCATGTGGCATTTTCTGAACTTATTATCTTCATTCTGTCAGTTCTTTCTTAAGCATCTACTATGAGCAAGTCACTATTCTAGTTTCCGAGGATACACTGTATCAAGACAAAGTCCCTGCCCTCACACTGAGGAATGCAAAGGCCAAGGGTTGCATTTCTCCAACTTCACTCATCCAAGTACCACCCCCTCAGTATTTGCCACATCTGCACATCACCAGCAATATCATTTGCTCGACCTTCTTCTTTAGATGTGATCTCTTCTTCACTTTAACACCCTTATTTTAAAGAATAGTTAACATCAGCTCTGTAATCTGTAAAAATGCTACTACTTGCCATAAACAGAAATTGCAAACAAAAATAAATACTATGAAAACAAAATCCTGTTATTACATTCTACTAGATGCTATTGTCCCAATAAGGCTTTGAACCTGAGTCCTGCCCTCTTTTTGTTGTTGCTGTTAAAAAGGGAGATTATTAAGAATTAGAGACATGGTAGAGAAATACTAGCATTAAAATGAAGCTTTCTTTTTTGTGTCATCAGAAAGATTGAAAAGAGCATTGCAAAATGCAATTGCTTTTCAGAATTATTTAATGTGTGTCCTTTCATTACCTACTGTGATCTCATGACCTTTACCAAATGTGTTTTCTGTGACGTCGACGGTGCTCTGATGGTCTGGAAGAAAACTTTATCCTTGTTGCTTTCATGGTTTATGAGACTCTTTCCCTGTACTCTTGGTCTCAAAATAAACTGGACATGCCCTTGTACGTCACGAGAAAGCTGGATGCTAAGACTCCACGTGTTGCCTTCAGACCCCCCCGCCCCCGCCATGAGAACCAAACCAAGACTCATCCTTGGCTCATTCATTGTGACGAAGCCCCTTCGTTTTGTCTCTCTGTCTTCCAGATCAGAAAGATTCATGTGTCTTTCCCTTCACCTACAAGGGGTCTTCTTACTTTTCTTGCATCAAAACCAATAGCCTCTCCCCTTGGTGTGCAACCAGAGCCATTTATGATGGGCAGTGGAAGTACTGCATGGCGGACGGTAAGTGGCACCATGCTGTCCCCTCAGCAGGCCTCCTCAAATGATGGGTCACAAAAGAAAATGTGTGGGTTTGTATAATATGATCATATTTTTGGTTTTTGTGGTTTTTTAAATATTTTATTTATTTATTTGACAGAGAGAGACTCGGCGAGATGGGGAACACAAGCAGGGGGAGTGGGAGAGGGAGAAGCAGGCTTCCCATCAAGCAGGGAGCCTGATGTGGGGCTCGATCCCAGGACCCTGGGATCATGACCTGAGCTGAAGGCAGACGCTTAACGACTGAGCCACCCAGGCGCCCCAATATGATCATATTTTTGAAGACAAGTTATGATATATGTGTGTGTGCATAGAAATGCTGCGGGAGGCTAAACACTGAATACTAGTAATGGATAATAATGTTAACAACGGTAGTGTTGAAAATGGTGTTCTCTGCACCACCATATTTTTTGTCTCTTTCTTGATTTTCTAAATTGATAAAGAAAAACAGAAACAGTATAACAGAGAAGGGATTTGAGAGACTCTGTTTACTTTTTTTTCAAAGTCCAAGACATTTTTGCAATTGTATGATTTCTATCTTTTGTGCACAAAAGGCATTTTGTTTTAACCAATACCTTATTGTTGGACATTTTAATTGTTCCTACTACTAACCGGCTTTTGAATATTTAGGACTTACTTTTCCCTCTTACCACTGTTCTTGACTCCCTTAGATCAAATTCTCCCTTTGATAATAAATATAACATCCCTTTTACTATCCTGAAATAAAATTTATAAAGAACATTACCTATTCTAAATTCATAATTTCAAAATAAATCAACATAATTCCATAACTGCAGTATAGAAGTAAAATGAAGCAAATTGATAATAAAATAATTAAGCACGCATGATCATAACTAACCTAAAAGATATTAAAAAGTGGCCAGACACTTGTACCTCCAAGCAGAATCTCTTTGATTGTAAGAGCTAACAATGACTACAAAGAAGCCCCATTACACTGAAAAAAAACCAAACCAAACCTGGAAGCAATATTATCTCTGATTGAAAATATCGCTCCCGTTCAAACAATGTAAATCAGGATCAACTGGTTGAAACTGAATCTGAAAATTAGAGTGTTTTTTTTTAATTCTGGAAAAGAGGCCCCCGAACATGCATAAGATATACAAAAGGGGACAAAACTCTGCCCAAAGTGCATATACTAGGCACAATTATGGCCTAGAGAGTCAACAACCTGCATTTGATTAAACCTCTTTCAGCCATATCACCAAGGGCTCCTGAATAGATGAAGGTATGCTTTTTGCATCTCCTCCCTCAGCTCTGGCTCCTGAACCAAATACTGCTCTTTGGACCCATACTGGCGGGTATCATACTACTTGTGAATAGCTTTAGCATCTTAGCCTTACCCTTACCCTGACGTCTTCCCCTTACACAGCGGTGGAGAAGTGGTTTTTCATTGCTATTTCCAAGTAATGCCTCACAGGACACAGGATGCTTCTTCTCGTGAGTGCAATAGCGATATCAGAAACAGGTGTCCATGTCAATCCCTAACAATGCTAGCTTACGATATTCATATCACTTAGACATATGCTATTGTGCAGAGGCTTCTCTGCTCATTTGCATGCTCCCTCAATAAGGACAAGGTGCTGGGCGCCTGGGTGGCTCAGTTGGTTAAGCGACTGCCTTCAGCTCAGGTCATGATCCTGGAGTCCTGGGATCGAGTCCCGCGTTGGGCTCCCTGCTCAGCAGGGAGTCTGCTTCTCCCTCTGACCCTTCCCCCCGCATGTGCTCTCTCTCTCTCTCTCATTCTCACTCTCTCAAATAAATAAATAAATAAAATCTTTTAAAAAAATAAAATAAAATAAGGACAAGGTGCCACCACTGTGTAAATCAGAAAAACAGAGTCATCCCTAATTCTTTCCTTCCCACCCTGCATGTAACCCACCAACTAGACTTAATTTTGCCTTCAAAATAGATCCTAGCTTCAGCTTCTGGGAAGAACCTGCTTCCTCTGCTTCCATCCTTCTCCAAATCACCATCAACTCTGCCTGCCAAAATTTGCTAACTGGTCTCCCCAAATCCCCCTCACCTCCCTCCAACTGATTCTCCACACTTCAGTCAAAGAACCTTTTTTGGAATGTGAAGTCAGGCAATGCTACTTCCCTGCTCGTGTCCCTCTGGCTCACCTGCACACTTAGAAGAATATCCTGACCCCCGGATAGCCAATGCAATACTGAGAAAGAAAAACAAAGCAGGAGATACCACACTTCTGATTTCGGACTATATTACAAAACTATAGTAATAAAAACAATATGGCAGAGGCATAAAAAACAGACACATGGATCAATGGAACAGAATTGAGAGTCCAGAAATAAACTAAGGCATATATGGTCAATTAATTTATGACAAAGGAGCCAAGAATATGTAATGGGGAAAGGACAATCTCTCCATTAAGTGGTGTTGGGAAAACTGTACAACCACATGCAAAAGAATGAAACTGGACCCCTATCTTACACCATACACAAAAGTCAACTCAAAATGATTGAAGACTTGAACATAAGATGTGAAACCACAGAACTCCTATAAGAAAACGTGGGAGTAAGCTGTGAGACATCAGTTTTGGCAATGGTTTTTTGGATTTGACACCCAAATCAAAGGCAACAAAAGCAAAAATAAACAAGTGGGACTACATCAAACTACAAAGCTTCTGTATAGCAAAAGAAACCATCAGTAAAATGAAGAATCAACCACGGAATGGGAGAAAATATTTGCAAATCATGTATCTGATAAGGGGTTAATATCTGAAATATCCAAGAGAACTCCTACAACTCAATAGGAAGAAGAAGGAGGAGGAGGAGAAGAAGGGGAGGGGAGAGGAGGAGGAGACCTCTCACCTTGGTCTGCAAAGCTCTACATGACACTGCCCTTTCTATCCTCATCTTCTTCCACTCCCTTCCTTGCCTGCTGAGATCCAGCTATACTAATTGTCATGTTTCTTGAATATTCTGAACTCCTTCCTGTCTTTGAACTCTTCACACTTTCATTCCCTCTGCCTGAACCTCAATTCCCCCCAATTTTTGCATGGCTGGCTTCTCCACATTGGGAGAACCTCTTCTCAAATGCCACCTGCTCAAGGAAGACTTCCTTCATCCCTTCGTCTATGAAAACCCCTCCATCATTTCCAAATGACCCTGACTCCCTCACTCAGTGTGAGTAAATCCACCCACTACAAACATAATGTCCAAAACTATATTTGTAGTACTACATTTGTGATGGAAAATTCAATCTATCTATGGAAGTTGCAATAAGGCACCAACACCTAGATGATAATTTTATTGTATTTGACTTCTCTGATATTTGACTTCTTTTTTTTGTAATGGCAACATTCTTTTGTATGTCAAGGTCTTGACTTCATCTGTTGGTCATAAACCATCAAAATTCTTTGTCTTGATTTGATTCCTATATGTCTTCTGCTGATTCTAAGAGATTCGTTTTTAAGACACAGTAAAGTACGTTGTTTGTTTGTGCAGTATGTGGGGGCACCATGCTTGAGATTGGGAACTCTGTTGGGGAAGCTTTGAGGGTGAAAGTACAGGAAAAGGCTTTCTTTATGAAATGCTTGATGAGATGAATGAATAAAATCTCTTCCAGACTTGAAGCTTGTCCTGTACTTTGGTGGCTAATGGATGGATGGATGGATGGATGATTAAATGACTGTCCCATGAATGGCTGGAGAAAGTCAAACCACTCACGGGCTCCTTTCTGTACAGATTACCCACGATGCATCTTCCCCTTCATCTATCGAGGAAGGTCCCATAACAGCTGCATCATGGAGGGCAGCTTCCTTGGAAGGCTGTGGTGTTCCGTCACCTCCAGCTTTGATGAGAAGCAGCAGTGGAAATACTGTGAAACCAATGGTGAGGCACTAGAGCAGGGATGGGGTGTTTGGTGGGAAGGAAGGGAGATAGCAATGATCCTACTGAGGAGACAATGGCACAGGGGAGAGCAGAGCAATGGGAGTAATACTTCTAGGAATCAAGGGTCTTCTTGGAGAATACATTAGGACAACCACAGGAGACAGGAATGTCCTGAGACCAGGTTCCCCCGAGTCCCCATTGTCAGCATGGAAAATCCAGTTGTCCTAAGAACCAGAACCATGGGTTGTAGTCCTGATATTGGTTTTCAAGTATTTCTGTTGCCAGAATTGTCAATAAGCGGATTCACCAAGTGCTGGACCCTTCCTTAACATTTCATCTTAATAACCTCTTCACTTCTTAATGACCTCCATTCATTCTAGAGCCCTTTCTGTATTAGACTCTGATCCAGGACCTCTATATATAACCTCCCATTGAATCTTTCCACGGAAGCTCTATGAGATGCTATTTTTTTCCCTATTCAATAAATGGTCACAGTAAAATTAAGTCCCGCCCAAAGTCACACTCCTAGGTGATGTCGGAGTTAGGATTTGAATTCAAGTCCATATGGCTCTGATGCACGTGCTTTCTCACTAAGTAGTGTTGCCTCCATAGAGATGAAGATTCACGTGAGGCACCTATCCATGAGCATACTTATTCCTGTATAAAATCTTAATTGTGTTCTTCCCTTGGCACTCAAAAAATCCTAATCCCATATAAAACCTTAATTTTATCTTTGCCCTAGCTATCCATCACTTGTGTCCTTAACCCTACCAAACTTATCCTTAAATCTCACAATAACTCTGTTGATGAAGCCTGTGGAACACAAAGCCTTTGTTCAGGTAGACAGTAACTGTGTGGTCATTGACAGTTTGGGTTCTCACTTGTATGCAAAGTGGACATAATAACATCACCAGGAACTTGACTGGGCACGTTCAATGTTATGTTGCCTTTCATGAGATAAAACATGGCGCCTAGTTCATGTGTGATAAATGGAAGCTCTTTTCGTTGTCTCTTCTTGTCCCTGTGACCTTTCCATGATTATTTTCAGAGTATGGGGGAAATTCTTTCAGCAAGCCCTGCATCTTCCCCTCCATCTACAGAAATAGCACAATCTTTGAGTGCCTTGAAGATGAAAGCAACAAGTTCTGGTGCCCAACCACCGAGAACATGGATGAGGATGGAAAGTGGAGCCTCTGTGCTGACACTAGTAATCCGGGGAAGAGGACTGGGTGGACACGGGTGGATTCCTTCATTCATTTACTCAGCAAACATCTACTCCAGCCCTACTGTGTGCCAGACACCGTGCTGGGATGTGGGCATATGGTGATGAGTAATGCAGGGTCTCTTCCTCATGGATCTGATGAGCAAAGGGCATGTGATGGGCAAAATATGGGCTGCTTAAGATCCAAGAGAAAGAGGTCAGTATAAGATTTTCAAAATGTGAAACACCAAATACTCATTTGTACAAACAGAGTAAGCACGTGTTAAGGTTTAAAAAAAATCTGGGGTGCCTGGGTGGCTCATTTGGTTAAGTGTCAAACCCTTGATCTCATCTCAGGTCTTGATCTTAGGGTCATGAGATCAAGCCCTGCACTGGGCTCCACGCTGGGCATGGAGCCTACTTAAAGAAAAAAATCTATTAATAAGGGAACTAGAAGGATAGGTAAGCCAATTCAGGGGACATTATAAGAAATACATGAAATCAGTGAAGAGAAGAATATTGAGCGCAAGCAAGATTGTTAAGTTAGCCACAAAATCCATTAACATCTAAAGGGCAATCAAATCTTTGTGGTTATCTTGTCTACCAGACAGAAATTATTGGTATCTCTGTTGAACAAAAATCATTCACGATGTATCAGTCTTCTACAAGTTCCAGAGTTGGGGCCTCCAATCAACAGCAGGTAGTAAGTCAGACAAAGTTCTATTTCCCTAGAGCAGGGGTCTGTGAACCCCATCCTGCCTATGGGCCACATCTGGACCAATGTTTCTTTTGGCCCCTAGCCTAAGAATCGTTTTTACATTTTTATATTGTTGAAAAAATTCCGAAGAATGATCATATTTTGTGACAGACAAAAATTATATGAAATTCATATCTTAGGGCCCATATATAAAGACTGTATGAGGCATGAAGCTGAAAACACCTACCATCTGGCCCTTTCTAGAAAAAGTTTGCTGACACTGAGCTAGAGAATCAGGTGACCCTTAGGGATTGTTTAGACAATGCTCTAGGAGGACATGAAAAGGTCATGTGGCAATCTTTTGGTGCCATTGCGTGTTTTGGATAATTTTGCTTAAAAAGGAGAACAAACGTAGATTTGGTGGATGATCGGGGCAGAAGCCCTCAAGGAAGGAAAATAGACCATTTCTCTGTAAATATATTATACTATTTTCCCATAAAGCACATCCCAGAGCGCCTGCACTTCAGGACTGTGGACAGCTCTTCAGCACTGCACTTGGGCATTTTAAACACTTGTCTACAGCACGAGAGTTGCATGGAGAAGGCAGGGTGCAGCCTTGCTGGGCTTCAGCTAGGAACATGGGTGCTGTGTGTCCACACATGGCCGCAGAAGCCCCACCAGTATTGATTTGGGTTCCAAATAAATTTTAGCAAGCGGCGAATTCACACATTGAGGATCTGTGAGTAAAGAGGAGCCCCCGTAATATGTCCTCTCCATGCTTCCCACTCCACTCCCTGGTTCCCCTGGTGACATGACGTTGTCCTTCTCTCTCCCACTGCCAGGAACCCTTGTGCTTTCACTCTGCCTTCGTTCCCCATTCCACACCCCATTGAGCTAAACGCAACAAGCTTCCCAGGGAAGAAAATCTCTATGATATTTAGGGATTAGGTCAGCATTTATCTCCACTAATGGGAACCTCTGAGCAGTGGCCAAACAACACACCCACAGGCATTGTGGACCCAATTTTGATTTTAGGGTGGGCTCTGAAGCCTAAGCCTTCACCATACTGTAAAGGCACAGGGGTAACCACTGTCTTATCCCCTTCTTCTCCCTAGGAATTTCCTCCTTGGTTCCTGGCTTTCCCTGCCACTTCCCATTCAACTATAAAAACAAGAATTATTTTAACTGTACTGACAAAGGCACAAAGCAGAACCTTACGTGGTGCGCAACCTCTTACAACTATGACCGGGACCACACCTGGGTGTATTGCTGATGCAAAGGTGAGATGCGTAACATACCCGGGGCAATGCTGTGTCCTTCCAGCGGGGTGAGCTCCACGTCCCAGAGATGAGGTGAAGTGGGGGTGGGGGGAGACTAGGACAGCTTTCCGAATTAGAAGGAGGTGGGCGAACTCTTTCAGACCCAGAAAGGTATCTTGCCAAGTTTTAGGTCCAGGAGGTCTTGGGTGTGCAAGATAAGAAAATGGAATTTCTCAAACTGGAACGTAAGAAGAAAAGATGAGCTTGAGAGGAGACCACCAGGATTTCTCTGGTCCCCAGAGGACATGGCACCGGGTTGTTGATCTGCTACCCCCATCACTGAATAGCCAGAGGAGGAAAAGGTGGGGGTCACTTCTGCTCTCCATCGTGTGGGTCCCTCCCCCACCTCCACACATAAGTCTTCAACTCTCTCTGCAGGACCAACCTCACTCCCCCTTCCAGCCCTTTCCTCTGCCTTCAATATTCTTAGGCCAGTGGAAACTCTCCAGATCCCCTGCATGGGTCCACTGGCCTAATCACTCGGTGGTTCTGGGATTTAAACACAAACAGAAGCCCTTTCATCAGATGTGTGGATGGGGTGTTTCTAGAAATATTTGCCCTTACGAGGCATGTGGCTTATGGGTGACACCAAAATTAGTGACCCCTCCTGAATTTTGGCTTGGCCATGAAAATTATCTTCCCAGAACAGAGGAGAGGCAAAGGAGTGGGCTTGGGGCCCTGGGTACCATCTTAACAGGGTGGATATTTAAAAACACCCACAAGCTGGTGTGCCTGGGTGGCTCAGCCAGTTAAGTGTCTCTTGATTTTGTCTTGAGTCATGATCTCAGGGTCATGGGATCAAGCCTCAAGTCAGGCTCCATGCTCAGCACAGAGTCTGCTCATGATTCTCTCCCTCTCCCTCCTCCTCACCCCCCACTTGCACACACACTCTCTGTCTCTAAAACAAAACCAAAACCAAAACCAAAAATACCCATGAGTCATCCCCAGGCTGTGGCTAGAATGAAGAACATTTTTAGTGCCCTACTTCTGACTCCTGTCCACCAGAGCACAACTATCTTCTTCGGATCCCTCTTCCACCAAACCTATTAGTAGAGGTGAAGTTAAGGTGCTCATGGTCAGTGGCTTCCAGCCCCCGTGAGCCAGGTGAGGGGCAGCGGTGTCTAACCCCTCCTGGCTCTGCTGCCTCATCTTCTGATTCAGTCTTGAAACCCAATACAATACTTCTGTATTCACATTACATTTTGAGTCAGTGCATACCTATTACCTGAATGCTGGCTTATGATTCTATTTTCCAGGGGAGGACAAATATCTTCAGAGGAAGATGGACGCACCAAGTTTAGAACCTGCTTCATCTTTTTCATTGAGTCTTTCAAGTTTAATCGCTTTTAGAAACACCTTGTCCGCCATTTTGCTTAATCACTTGGTCCTTTGTGAAGAACAGAGGGGAAATGTGGCATAACCACCAATAAAGGAGCCCACAGTTAACCCCGGGGCTGCCCTTTGTGCTTCCTGGAATGAGAGATATGGTGAGGGACTGGAATGTGTGGTGAAGGAAGCGTTGGTGACTGGGTTGGTGAGTCTCATGGAGGGAGGTCAGATTCTCAGCCCAGGGGCCCTTGGAAGTTAACTGCAGCCTGCTCTCTCTTTCTGGGAGCCCATAGATTTGGGTGGAGCATTTATAGATACTTGTTAAATCATAAATAAATAAATTAGTAAGTAAACAGAAGGTAGAAAATTCATTGCACTTGATGTAATGAGCACTGGGTATTATATGCAACTGACAACTCACTGAATTCTACCCCTGAAACTAATAATACAGTATATGTTAACTAAAATGAATTTAAATAAAGAATTTAAAAAAAAGAAAATTCATTGCAAGACTACCTTGACTATTCCTTCCCCATGCCTGTGGCAGACATCAGTAATTAATTACAGAATCGGCTTCCCTGTGAGCCCAGATGCATCCTCATGTTGTTCTTCTCCTCCCTCTCTCCCTGCCCGCTCTCCCCCACCCCTCCTCTCTCATAAAACATTGAGCAACTGTTACCACTATCCCACACTGCACGCAGGCATCAGGGATAGGTTTAACCATTCAACCACATTTGGTACCAGTCTGATTGTCTAAAATGATGTTGCATAGACATTGGAGAAGCCCGACGATCTCATTCCGCTGTAGCTCAAGAACAACCAAATGATCAATCCTCCCTTAATCACATACAAACACGCCACAGGAAACTTGGCTCTCCTGCCCCCTGATCCCACGTGTGCCCCCCCATTGTCTCCAGCCTTCCCTCACACACTTCCTACCACTGTCCCCTCACTCAGTATACTCCAGCCACTGCCCTATTCCTGACTCCAGCCTCTGTGCCTTGCTTGTGTGGAATCCCCTTCTCCTTGACCTCCTGAAGTCATTCATAAAATCATTGTCGATAAAATGTTAACTTCGTAAAATATAAATAAAATTCAGTTTCTCAGCCTCACTCACCACATTTAAAACTCAGTAGCCACATGTGGCTAGTGGCTACCATAATAGTGCAGATCTAGAACATTCCATCATCACAGAAGATCCCATTGGATTGTGTGGCTGTAGAATACAAGCTCCGTGAGGTCAAGTACCTTATCATTGCTCTAGTTCCATCACCTGAAATAATGCCCGGCATAGAGCAGGGACTCAGCAAATATCATGTTGAATAGGTGAGTAGTGAGTGAGTGGGATGGACAGATGAACAGGTATATGGATGGAATGAGATGGAGCTGAGACAGGAGGCAGAAGCCATATTTTAAAGGATGATCTGGATTATGTCACTCCTCTGCTCAAAATCCTCCAAGGTCCTCAGACTGGCCTCTAAACATGCACGGTTTAACCCCTGATCCACCACCTACCCCTGTCCAGCCACCATGGCCTCTCACCATTCCTCCACCACAGTCAACTACATTCCTGCCTCAGGGCCTTTGCATTCACCCTACACTGTGTTGGAAGTGCTCTTCCCCTGGATATGCCCCTGGTGCTCAGTAGACTCTGATGACCCTATGTGGAATGGGGACTCCTCCTCATTCTCAGACCCCTTAAACCAGTTTCCTGCTCCATTTTTCTCCATATCTCTTACCATCTTCTACCATACTCATGTATTTTGTTCTATGTCTGTCTCCTCCCTTTATAATGTAAGCTCCCAGGAGGCGGGGATGGTGTATTTCATTCACCAAGGGAGCCCCATGTTTGGAAGTGTGCCCACAGTAAGCACTTCATACGTCGCTGTTGAATAAATGAAGTGCAGGAGGGAAAGAAGACAGGAAGGAAGGAAAGAAGACAGGAAGGAAGACAGGAAGGAAGGAAAGAAGACAGGGAGGAAGGAAGGAAGGAAGGAAGGAAGGAAGGAAGGAAGCAAGGAAGCAAGGGAGGGAGGGAAGGAGGGAGGAAGGGCAAAAGGAAATTTTAATTTTAATTTTATGAAACAAGGCTATTGAACCTGATGACCCTTTGTATATATCTACTTAGTGGGTTTTAAACGTGCGAAAAACCTGGCAGAAAGTGGGACATGAATCCTGTACTTCAGGGACCTTGTGTTCCTGGAGCATCCTGCCTGCAGATGGAGGTGAGGAGCAAGAGACCCTCCCATTTCAGGGCGCAGGTCAGCGTCAGGGTGTGAGGGCTGGCACAACGTCCCCCCTAACAGAGGCAATCTCCCAGTGTGCCCAGGGCGGACACACAGGGGGGCTGGGGTTCCCAGGAACGGTTTCCACACCACCTGGCTGAGCTGAGAATTTGAGAACTCCTCGTCCTCCCTCTCTTTACATGATGATATTTTGCAGGGGATTAACCTCCCCCCCTCCAGGGATCAGCTTGCTCTAAACCTTGGTAATCCAGATTTATGATTTAATTCAGTGGCCTGAGTATCTTACACAAGGAAAAGGAAGTAGGAGGCCGGAGGGAAAAAACAGACCGAGCTTCCGGGAAATCAACAAAACAGGCTAAGCTCACTTTGGAAGCCTCTTTAATTAACCATTTCCAAGCCCAGTCTTATCAGGAACCCCGTTTGTAGCCCCAAGATTGGCATGCCTCTCTCTTACTGACAGAAAGAAACTGAGGAGATCGGAAGCAACAACGGGGAAGGGTGGACTACAGGCTGAACTTTTTTGGGAGTTGGACCCAAGAGGACGCTGGGGAAGAGACTCTGGAGGGTCATAGGCATTAGGGATTACGCAGTCAAAAGATGTCATGAACCTTTGGAATTGGGGGAGCGGCACTGACCCTAGTCCCAATCTCATTTCCATACGTAGACTCTTCCTTCTTAATCTCATTCTAGAGAGGTGCCCCTCACCCCACCCCACCATCCGGGCAAAGCGATCACTTTCAGGCTAGCCTCAGCTCATGCTCTGTGGGGCCAGTCACCACGCACCCTCCCACCCTCTCTCCTGGAAGGGCCCAGGTGGGATTTGGTCCTCAGCAAGTGCTTGATCCACATTGGCCAGGTGGGGAGGGAACGGGGCTTCCAGAACCTCCTCAGCGAGACATCATCTTCACAAACTCTGCAAAGAAAAGTCCCCGGTGAGGCATCTATTTGTAAGAACAGCGAGCATTCACTTTTGAGGCCTTACTGCGTGTGTCAGGGGCCATGGAGGATCTTCAGGAAAGTCCTCGACGACCCCGTGTACCTTTTTCTTCATCTCCAAACTGGGAGTCACAGGACTACCATATACCTTCTATAGTCTTTCAGATGGTTAAACACGATCATGCTTATAGACACATGGACTGCTCAATAATAACTATGATTATCTGATTCCATCTTTTCAACCAGTTCTGGAGGAGTAAATATCATTTTACAGATGAGCAAACAGAGGCCAGTGAGGTTGACCAGTGCACCTGAGATCACGTGGATGGTAAGTGGCAAAGCTTGGAAGGAACACAGGGTGCCCCTGACTCTGCTCCATGACTCCATGCCAGGTGAACTCCAGGGCCCCACCCAGGTCCTGAGGTCAATCTGTCCCTCCCCTGCTTGGGGATCTGTCTCCTACCTCGTCCAGATTTCCAGTGATGCCCCCGGTACACCTGACCCTGGTGAGATCCAGCAGGCAACCAGCAATCATTTGCTAAGTTGCGGTCATGCAATAAATATCTACCAAGCTTCCCTTTTGGGAATGAGAGAACAGATGGTTCAGAGAACATCACTTACCCCCCTCCAGGATTTGACAGCCCGGGAGGTCAAACTCAACTCAAAGCAGCAAGGTCTGCAGTGATTACTCCCTTTGAAGGGAGAGGAGCAGACGATTCCCGAGGGATAGCTAAGACCTGAGAATGCACTGACGGGGAAGGTGCAGGAAGCGGAAGGAAGGTCAGGGAGAAAGGAACAGGATTTTGAGGACACAGAGCAGGGGCCAAGGGTGCCCCAGAGCACAGCGACTCAGAGAGAGGCTGTCGAAATGTGGAGTGGGTGGGGGGCAGACCATGGGTGCACTTGAATACTGGATTAAGAATTGAGCTTTTTGGGGCACCTGGGTGGCTCAGTTGGTTGAGCGACTGCCTTCGGCTCAGGTCATGATCCTGGAGTCCCTGGATCAAGTCCCGCATCTGGCTTCCTGTTCAGCAGGGAGTCTGATTTTCCCTCTGACCCTCCCCTCTCTCATGCTCTCTCTCTCATTCTCTTTCTCAAGTAAATAAATAAAACCTTTAAAATAAAAAAATTAAAGGGGCGCCTGGGTGGCTCAGTTGGTTAAGCGACTGCCTTCGGCTCAGGTCATGATCCTGGAGTCCTGGGATCGAGTCCCGGGTAGGGATCCCTGCTCAGTGGGGAGCCTGCTTCTCCCTCTGTCCCCCCCCCCGCTTGTGCTCTCTTTCTCTCTCTGATCTCTCTCTCAAATAAATAAAATCTTAAAAAAAAAAAATCTTGGGCGCCTGGGTGGCTCAGTTGGTTAAGCGACTGCCTTCGGCTCAGGTCATGATCCTGGAGTCCCGGGATCGAGTCCCGCATCGGGCTCCCTGCTCGGCAGGGAGTCTGCTTCTCCCTCTGACCCTCCCCGCTCTCATGTGCGTTCTCTCTCTCTCATTCTCGCTCTCTCAAATAAATAAATAAATCTTTAAAAAAAAAAAAAAGAATTTAGCTTTTGTCGTGGCCCCTGGGTGGCTCAGCGGGTTAAGCATCTGCCAGTAGCTGTCCCCACGCAATGTCACCTTCAAAGTCGACGGTACCGTCTCCGTTCACGTCGGCCTCCTGCACAACCTCCGAGATCTCTCGGGGCGTGAGCTTCTCTCCCAGGAGCCTCTGCATGGCCTGCTGCAGCTCCCCGAGGGTGATCTCCCCGTCTCCGTTGGTGTCAAACTGAGCAGAACAGAGCGATCACGTGATGTCAGCACAACAAGGGCACTGTTGACTGACCATTTACCGTGGGTCAGGAACTAAGCTAAGGGCTTTTGCACACGGCACACTGGCGTGTCAGCTCCCAGAAGGCGGGTCATCTGCACGGTCTTGTTCACTGCCCCGGGCCCAGCCCCCAGACAGTGCCTGCCACACGGCACGCATCGCATAAATATTGGCTGAATTAATTAACTGTTTTCAAGCCTCCACGCTGCACACCCTTAACCAATCTACCAGAAAGTCTCGTACGTTCTATGTCCCGAGCAGGGGACGCTGATGCTAACCTGGCCGAAGCCACAGTCATCTCCTGCCTGGACTATCATGCAGCCCCCCTGATTGGTCCTCTGGCTCCCATCGTGGTCCACACATCAGGGCCTTGCGTTCATGTTCATTTAAAACAAATCAGGCGCCTGGGTGGCTCGGTGGGTTAAGCATCTGCCTTCAGCTCAGGTCAGGATCTCAGGGTCCTGGGATCGAGCCCCATGTCAGGCTCCCTGCTCAGTGGGGTGTCTGCTTCTCCTTCTCCCTCTGCCCCTACCCCCTGCTTGTGCTCTCTCTCTCTCAAACAAATAAAATCTTAAAAAAAAAAAAGAAAAAGAAAAGGTAGATCCACCCACCCAAGGTTTTCCAAAAGGAATGTTTCCCAGTAACTGAATTGCATATTTGTTTTTAAATTCAAACAAGTTGAATTTATATTCTGTTGAATGTAAACGGAAATTAAATAAATAATCAAATTGAAACTAATCAAATTTAGGGGCGCCTGGGTGGCTCAGTTGTTAAGCGGCTGCCTTCGGCTCAGGTCATGATTCCAGGGTCCTGGGATCAAGCCTCACATCGGGCTCTCTGCTCAGCAGGAAGCCTGCTTCTCCCTCTCCCACTCCCCCTGCTTGTGTTCCCTCTCTCGCTGTCTCTCTCTGTCAAATAAATAAATAAAATCTTTAAAAAAAACCCCAAACTAATCAAAATTAGATAAAATGAAAAAAATGAGTTCCTCACATCTAAAACTAATGATGTAATGTATGGGGATTAACATAAGAATAAAATTAAAAAAAAAAAATGAGTTCCTCAGTCACACTTGCCATATATCGAGGGCTCGACATATATGGCCAGGGGCTGCATTTTGGACAGAGCGTTTCAAGATCCCAGGAAGTTTTGTTGGACCATGCAGCTCTGGGCCTCTATGTGAAGCTGGGACAGAAAAAAAAATCACACAGCTGGTAGGGGGAGATCTTCCTGGGACTTGGACCCATGTTTGCACAGCTCCAAAGTCTTTCCTTCCAAAGCCTACACTATTCTTTATTTTTGCCTCCTATATTGAAAGCTCTGAGGAAAGAGCTTTATTTATTTATTTATTTTTAAAGATTTTATTTATCTATTTGAGAGAGAGAGAGCGAGACGGCGTGAGCTGGGGGAGAAGCAGAGGGAGAGGGAGAAGGACAGACTCTGTGCTGAGCGTGGAGTCCGACATGGGGCTTGATCCACGACCCCAAGATCATGACCTGAGCCGAAACCAAGAGTCAGATGCTTAACCGATTGAGCCACCCAGGTGCCCCTGAGGAATGCATTTTATTAAGGGATGAAAGCGAATTTCAGCAAGACCCTTACCCTCGCTGGGTCTCATTTTCTAAGTGTCTCTACAGGTGGGTTAAACCAGATTATCTCTTTGCATTCCCCTCTGGGATCTCAAATTATTGGATTCCTTCTTCCCATTGTGGGCATGGAGATTAGAGGTCCTAACATGTATTCTGGGGATGGCAAGACCTCGGGTAAGATTTGTAAATTCCATGAGCCTCAATGTCCTCGTATGCGTAACCGTGGTAAGTGGCGGCTTACCCCTACTGTTCTTTATGATGATTAAACTAGAGAATATATGTAGGGGACCTTGTGCCTTGCAAGTGTTTGGAAGACGTCATTTTCCTTCCCTATAAATCCCATTATAGTTTCCAAAAAACTTGGTTTGGGTGGGTTCCGTCCACACTTAAAGACCAATCGTAGACCCCTGGGGTTTCCTTCAAGCACCAACACCATGAAACTCTTAACTCACTTCCTTGAAGGCGTCTCTCATCTCCTGGATACCGATCATCCCTGCTGTTTCTGCAAGCAGTTTAGGAGTCATGAGCTCCACAAAATCGTCAAAGTCGACACGGCCACCTACTGAGGACAGAAGAGGCAGGTCTAGTGAGATTCCACGTAATCAACCCCCATGACCTCGCTGGACCCTTCAAAATCTGTTCAAGAGGGAGACCTGCTCTGATCTCTCTGTCTTCTGAGAGTTTTCCCTCTCAGCCAACCCAGGCCCCAGGGTCCCTCTAATCCGAACCCGGATGGATGGGTGCGTGGGCGGAAGTCACTAGCTGTCCCTGTGACCTTAGGCAAGTCTCTTAATTGGTTCAGATCTACATTTGCTTGTCTGTTGGTCTGTAGAAGGGGGAGCATAAATTCAGTGGGAGCCAAATTGCTTCCAGATAGGAACACGATCCCATCTGTGTTCAACCTTGTTTCCTCTGTGGCACGCCTGGAAGCAAACCCCAGAGCAATTCTGTCCCAGCTTCCTTCTCGAAATGAGCTCTGAAATCCATCCCAAGTTTGTTTCCAGCAGCAAATATGGTTCCAATCTTGCCCTCTACTGATGCGTCTCAGCGGTCATGGTAGTGACCTCCATCGATCACCACTACTGGAGGCTAAGCCTGACCTGCATCAGCTCCTTTATCGAAATCCCACAAGGAGTGACATCACCTCTGCCTGACAGGTGGGGAAACTGAGACTCAAGAGTGGGAGCTGACTCCATGTTTCAAAAGCACCACAATCAGTAAATGATGGAAGTGGGTCTTGGACCCAGATCTGCCTCTAAGAGTCACCCTTTTATCCACTTCAAATGCTGTCTCCCTGAGTCCAGCCTGGATTGTTTGCTTCTAGACTCCTAGTGACCCCTACCCTCTTCCCCCTTCCACCATAGCCCACCCCCACCCCCAGTGGTTCTTCCAGCCCTGGCCTCACAGTTCATGCGGATTTGCTGGCCCAGTTCAGTCAGCTCCATCTCCGTGGGCATGTAACCCATTGTCCTCATGAGATTCCCCAAATCCTTACAGGAGATGAACCCATCTCTGTCCTTGTCAAACTCAAGAAATGCTTCCTGAAGCTCTGAAAATTAAGAGAGAAGAACTTTGGGGGAACCTGAAACAATCCATGGGGAAGACTTGCATCCCTTGAAACTATCAGGGAGGCACCAACTAGAGACTCTGCAAAGGAGAAGACATCTTTGAAAACCAAAATTTCAAAAAGGAGTGATGTATAAAATACAGGTGGAGATTGCAACGTGCAAGATCGAAATGTGCAAGAGGAATGATCCGTGAGACCGCAAAGTGACAGCACCGCGGTCCTCCAAATTCTGGGGCGACATTATGGGAAACTTCCAAACCACCAAAAGAAAAACCAACAGTTTTGATTCATCTTAAAACTCATGCTTGTGGGCGCCTGGGTGGCTCAGTTGGTTAAGCGACTGCCTTCAGCTCAGGTCATGATCCTGGAGTCCCGGGATCGAGTCCCGCATCGGGCTCCCTGCTCGGTGGGGAGTCTGCTTCTCCCTCTGACCCTCCCCCCTCTCATGTGCTCTCTCTCTCTCTCATTCTCTCTGTCTCAAATAAATAAATAAAATCTTTAAAAAAAAAAAACAAAACTCATGCTTGTGTCCCTCCTGGGTCTCTGAGACACTTAGGGATGGGCGTGCCTTCTCAACACTTTGGGAGACTCCTAAGTGACCATCAAAAGGAGTTCCGCAAAATCACGGCTGAGCGGAGGAGAGAGGGGTGTGAAGCTTTCGTGGGAAGGGTCTACCCTGAGATGCACAGAGAGCAGCCTAGTGGCGGATGACGATGAGGCGGCATTTGGGGACAGAGGTTACCTTCGATCTCATCTTGTCCCAGGGGTCTTTCCTGGAAAGGAATCAGGGGAGAGGGAATTTGGAGGAGGTCAGGGATCCAATATCCACTTCTCCAAATGCATCGTCCCCTCCCTCCTCCGAGAGACCCCTCCCCTTTCCTGTTTCTCCTCCACCTCCCCATCCTCTTCCTTCTCCCACTTCCTGACTCCTGCGCCTGACTGCTTCTCGCCCTCTTCCTCATCACTTCCCATTTCCTCTCTCCTATCCCGGAATCTTGATCTCTCCCTCTGTCTTTCCTGAACAGACATCCATCCCATTGTGCTGCAAGGGGCCAGGGCATCCAATCCCCTCCTTTCTCTGGGACAAGAAAGCGAGGCTTGGAATCACAGCTAACCCGCGCTCAGAGTGCCAATTTCGCCAATTTCGTTTAAACCCCAGAGGTAGGTAGGGGAGGTAGGACCAAACAGCGTTCCCATCTTACTTGAGAGGAAGCTGAGGAACAGAGAGATTAAGGAAACAACCTGAGGTCACACAGCTCCTAAGTGGCAGAGCCCCTCCCAGGGCAGGGAGACATTAAATCCCTCCCTCGACGTCAGGTGCAGCAAGTGCTGAGATTTGAATTCTGAGTCAAAATTCTTTCCACTACACCCCCTTGACTCTTGCCCCACCCACCCCATTCTTTCTCCCAAGGGTTAGAAGCCGTTTGCGTGGGACCAGTGTTCAGTGGCATCCAGGCAGGATGATCATTGGGTATGGGGCACGCCGCCTGGGGAACCCCACCCGCCTCTGGCCTCTCCCTTTATCCTTGGAGCCTTCCCCCCAGCTTCTCTTTCTTATTATCCCCTCCCCCGTCTCCCTCCCTCCCTCCCTCCGTCTCTCTGGTCGCCTGAAAGCCTAGCAAGGAAATGTAAGCCCCTTGGAATCAAAGCGACCTGACTGGACCCTGCCACTCAGTAACTGTATAAGGCAAGGGGCTTTGTGCCTCAGCCTCAGTGTCTGCATCTGTGAAATGGGAACGCAAGGGTGGCCAGCCTTACAAGGATGAAATGACAGCAGGAAAGCACAGCCCTTTGTGCAGGGCCGGGCCGGCCGCAGTGCCTTGGTTAAGTGGCAGCTAATGTCATCGTCGTCCTCACTCTCTCTGGGTGTCCACAGAAACGGATGGTGACGGACAGGGACATCCCAGTTGCCCTTTTATTGGTGGGTCTTCTCCCTCTCTCCTTTTTGCTGCTGACTTCTGATTTCACCCTCACCCACCTCACCGGCCCACGGAGCTCCCCGAATTCTACCTTCTCAGTCACGCGCCCCCGCCTGTGCCCCCCGCCATCGGCTCCTGGTCCCTTGCACCTGTCACGCCCCTTCTTCCCCCACACCCAGCTCCCTTTGCCCTGCCCTTCCGCCTTGTCCACCACCTCACCCGCTGTTTCTCAGCGATGCCTTTCCTCAAGAAGATGCAGGCGGGGCCCATGGGAAACTGCATGGAGGGGCACGGCAGGGTGCACCAGGCACCAGGCACCAGGCTCCAGTCGGCTCCCCCTCCTCCCTGGCCCCCTCCTTCCCGTCCCCCTCAACCTCCTTATCTTCCCTGGCACTCCTTTGCCAAGTCTTCCTGCCTCTCTGGGCCTCTCCCTCGGTCCTGGTGCCCGAGAGCTGTGACAGCTGGATCAGAAATCTCTCCCGGGGTTGGGGAGGGATCAGAGCTGTTCCTGCCTCCCCATCTGGCTTGAGTGAGGTGGAGGGGGCACCAGTCTCAGCCTCTGGCCTTTTATCCCCAGAATAGAACTGGATGGTTTCGAAACCGGGGATTAGAGCAGAGGGCACCCATTCATTCGCGTTCCAGTGAGCCTGCGGGGTTGGGAGGGGATCCAGACAGGGAGTCAGAGTTCAAATAGGGAGTGAGGGGGTGCCCACCGAGGGGCAGCGGGGCCCGTGTTGGGGCCTGGGGGGGGTGAGGATGCGCCGTGGGAGGGGAGCCCGGCGGGCCCTGCGAGAGTAGGAGCAGACTGAGGAGGTGCCTAATGCAGGTCCCAAGGATGTCCGCTCGCGGGGGCAGACCGCGTAGGGTGTGGACACGGGGTCAGGGTGAGAAGGGCGGCCCCGCCGAGCGGGATGGAGGTGCGGAAGGAGGAGTCTGTGGTGTTGGGTGGAGGCACTGGTTTGTACTGGTGGGTTTCCATACAGAGAGGGATATAACAGTAAACAGACATCACGGTGTGCACGGGGACGTTGGTACGTATGTCGTCGAGCTAAGAGGACACAGAAGCAGGGACACCTCTGGCTACCGGGGCTTGACTTCTAAATCCCATTCTCCACGAAAAGGAGCCAAGTCCTGGGAGACAGGGCTGCTCCCATGTCTGGAGCAGGACCAGCATGAGTCTAAAACCTCTTGTGCCGTAAAGCAAGGACACAGTTGTGGGGTCACGGCCAGGAACACAGAGGTCAGCCTGAAGAAGCTCCAGTGACCATATCAGGGGCAATTTGAAAATCCAAATAAATAACAACAGAGTATATAGGGTATCACAGGAAACCAGGAATCCATACAGACAGCAATAAAAAAGTGCCAAGCTTGACAATATTTATTTACATCGCACAAGGTATCCCCTCACAATATGCTAATTGCAAAGGAGGGTCACTTTATAGGGACACCGAGCAGACAGTACCTTAATGAAATGATTCAAATGAACATCATCAGTAACGTGACAAATCGAAATTATAAATTCGGTTCATGCGCAATTATGAATGAGTACTCCTGCCCCTGTCCCCTGCTGCCCTGCTCTGCACTGGGCCCATGGGAAACTGCATGGAGGGGCACGGCAGGGTGCCCTGCACACACTCCCCAGGACTCAGCTCTGAGCACCGTCTGCCCTTGATGGTTTCGACAAGTTCTAGAAGCATTTCACCAGGGGTTAGATGTTCTAGCTGCCCTCCCCCACCCCGGCCCGCTCGCCCCAGCCTCATCCCTTTACCATCCTCATCTCCAGCCATCAGCAGGATCTTGTCACTCCCAGACCTTCACTGCCTGCAGGATTAGGTTCCACACCCTCGAGGGGGCACGCAAGGCTCCCCATGAGAGGCACTCTGGGCACAGTGCCTCCTGCGGACCACCCGGACCAAATCCTGGCCCTCCATCTCTTCGATAGTGGACCTGGGGAAAGTAACTTACATCCCTGTGCCTCAGTGTCCCCATCCGTCAAACGGGGTAATAAAAATTCCTATCCGGTGGGATTGTCGAGTGTCTTTGGTGAGGACGTCCCTGCCCAGCCCTGGTGGAGGGCCGGGCAGCCATGGCTGCTCAGGGCGGGGTGTTCACAGGGGTCTGCAGGGGCGTGGGGAAGAAGAGCATGTCCCCGGCCCCCTTTCCTCAGGAAGACTGGGTTCCATGCCTAAGGGAACCACGAGGCTGTACACAGAGCCAGACAGACGTGGGCATCCCCAGACACACAGCACTCAATACCAGTGTTATTTTGCCTTAAACATGTTGAGTTTGGTAAATATGGATGCACGTTAATTTGCTAGTTCTCTGAGGTAGAACTGTATCAGTCAGAAACTCTTCTGGCTGTGAGAAACAAAAGCCATTTCACAGTGGGGTAGTCACACTGGGTTACGCATCGTAACTATTCCTTCACCCCGCACCCCACCCCAACCAGAAGCCCGCTGGGCAGCAGCTGGCCCCTGGGTCACCGGTTAAGAGAGAGTGGCTACTTTCCCTGAGTCTCCTGGCTTGTTCCTCATGATCACAAGGTGGTGGCCCAGGCTCCAACCATCACATCCACAGTAGCTGAGGCAGGCAGGCAGGCAGGGCTGCTCAGCCAGGTCTCCTTTTTGATCAGGAAAACCAGCACCGACTACATGCTGGGCATTGTGCCGGGGCTGGGGACCCAAGGATGAGCAAACCTCACGGCTCAGGCCCCAGAACCAGCAGTCCCCAGTCGGTGGGCGCCAGAGCTGGGGGGGCCTCACACAGTCATTGCACTGTCTCCCACGAGGCTGGGGCCCAGTGCCAGGCTGCTGGGTCAGAACCCCGGTGCGGGCCTGGGTGACCACTTCCCTGCTCTGCGCTCCCCCCCATCCGTGGAGCAGGGCCCCCCACACTGCCTGCCTGGCAGGGGCGCTGCACGTTACTCGAGTTAACGTTCACCGTCTAGGCCGCCACAGTCCCCTATGATAGCCACTCGCTGCGTGCGGCTGCTTACGGGAAAACTCATGAAAATGAAGTAAAATCCACAATGGCTCAGTTGTCAGGTACACTGGCCGCATTTCCGGTGCTCATCCTGCTTCCCAGCGTGGATGCAGGGTGTTTCCAGCACCGCGGAGAATTCGGGAAGGTGCTAGCACGCTGCCCGCCACACGCCACCCACGCGGGAGCTCCTGGAACCGTCCCCCCAGAGCCCAGCACACACCCTGACACGACAATGGGTGTTCAATATTTATTGAAAGAAATGAGCAAATAAATCCCAGGCTCCGCTTAAGCCATCCCCTCACACACACACACACACGCACACCCGTGACACTCCAAACCCACGCGGCCGCAACACCAGGTCCACCGAGCAACAGGACACCCCCGCGTCCCCACCTCCGCGCGCCCCGCCCCCAGCCCCTGGGCAGGCGGGAGCCTAGTAGAAATCTTCCGGGTCGGAGTCCAAGTCCGCGCCCTGCTGGTTCTGAATCTGACTCTGCTTCCTGTACAGGGAGGCCACCTGAGGACAGCAGGCGGGGGGCGGCGGTCAGAAGCCCCAGGGTTGCCCCCACCCCGTTCCAGAATCCACCACTGAGAGAAGCTGGTCCAGCCAGGCAAGCCCACCCCGGCTGGGGCCTCACCTGGGCACTGGTGGTGGCCTCCTCGGGCTTCTTGTCTTCACGGACGCGGATAAACCGAGGGAAGCGAAGGGAGATCCCCTTCTCACCATCCACCTGGGGGAGGGGGTGAGGATGGAGACCCTCCTGGGCTCTAGCCCCCAGGCCACTCACGGCAGCAGGTCCCTAGCCCGGGTCTCCTCCCCGTGCCTGCCCCTCCAGCCTCGGCTTCCTGATCCATTCAATGGGGCTAAGCATAAAGATTAAACTAAGGGAATAAAGCGCTTAGGACTGTACCTGGAGCATACTAAGTGCTTAAGGAACGCCAGTCCGGTAGCTGTGATCTAGGCTGTTGTTCTGTTCTTACCCTCAGGGCCAAGAGGCAGGGCAGTAGAGACGGGGTGTAGATTCGAGTACCAGACGGCAGGGTTCAAATCCCAGCCCCCAACTCAGGGGCTGTGTGACCCCGGCCCAGTGACCTCGGTGGCCGGGCTCTACCTCCCCAGCTGTATGCCGGGGACACTCAGTGCTTCGTGAGGACGGAATGGTGCGAGCAAGTGTGGGGCCTGTGAGCACAGCGCCTGCTTCGCACGGAAGCTCCGTAAACGCTTGCCCTGCCACTTGTCACCGGGGGACCCTAACTGCCTAACATGGAGCCTGAGTGAGAAATTTTAAGACAGAAATTCGATTTAAGAATGTGAATTCTGGGGGGCGCCTGGGTGGCTCAGTTGTTAAGCATCTGCCTTCGGCTTGAGTCATGATCCCAGGGTTCTGGGATCGAGCCCCACATCAGGCCCCCTGCTTAGCGGAGAGTCTGTTTCTCCCTCTGCCCCTCCCCTGTTCATGCTCTCTCTCTCTCTTTCTCTATCAAAGAAATCAATAAAATCTTTTTTTTTAAATTTATTTATTTGAGAGAGAGAGAGAGAGAGAGAGCACATGAGAGGGGGGAGGGTCAGAGGGAGGAGCAGACTCCCTGCCGAGCAGGGAGCCCAATGCAGGACTCGATCCAGGGACTCCAGGATCATGACCTGAGCCAAAGGCAATCGCTTAACCAACTGAGCCACCCAGGCGCCCATCAATAAAATCTTAAAAAAAAAAAAAAAAAAAAGAATGTGATTTTTGGGGTGCCTGGATGGCTCAGTTTGGCTCAGGTCATGATCTTGGGGTCGTGAGGTTGAGCCCCTCGCCGGGCTCTGCGCTCAGCAGTGAGTCTGCTTGAGATTCTCGCCCTCTGCACCCCCTACCCCTGCGCTCCCTCTAAAATAAGTAAATCTTAAAAAATAAATAAATAAAAATGAGTTCTGCCTTTAAATGGAAGTCCACTCCTCAGAAAAGTGCATGCTGGCTAGATTTTGAAGGGTCAGAAGAAATCGCGGAGGATGCGCATTTTTAATTCAAGATTTCTGTTCCGGAGGAGGGAGCGAAGAGCTGCTCTAGCACCAGGCTGACCCTTTAGCTGGTGCTGAGGGGTGAGCCACCAGAGAGATCAGCCCGGGAATTTTAAAACTTGGTAGCACGAAAATGAATTACGGGTGAGAAAGACGTGCGGCAGCTGAGGTCACTGCCCTGCAGGAAGTGTCCTAAAGCTCTTTATGCAGGAGAACTATGTTTTCAAAAATCGCTGAGGAGCCGAAGGTGAGGTTATGGTATTAAAGGAAACAATTTCACTGTTTACTTTCTACACATGGGGAATTTTTTTTTTTTTTAAATGGAGACTTTGACCCCGTTATCTGACACCCAAATAAAATGCGAGCTCAAGCTTTCCTAGTTACTATCAGCCCGGAGCACAGGCGTGGGCTCCGTGACCCCCTGCTCCCCATCTCCCATCTGGAAGGTCGGCCCTGGGTCCCTCCTGCTGCCTGCAGCCCGTGGTGCCCCGGCTACTCACCAGGCCCCGGGCAGCGGGGTAGATGGGGGACAGGGACAGATCGGCACATTTCACCTCCCACACGGCGCTGGGGTCCAGCCAGTGGTCGGGGGCCACGGCGCCGTCCGCCCGGACATAGGAGCGTGGGGTGGGCAGCACCAGGGCCTGCGGGGAACAGCAGTGGCGTGAGGAGGACAGGTCTCAGGTCTCAAAGTCAAGGCCAGGGTTGGGCAGTTGGGGAGAGAGGAAAGGAGGAGGAAAATGGGGGATGGGGATAGACATGCCTGAAGGTAAGAGCCTGGGCGGGGATGAGGGGGAACGAGGGGAAGAAACGAGACAAGAGAGCCAGAGAGAGAACCAAAGAATGTCATAGAGACAGAGGCACCAACACACAGGAAAGGGAGTCGTACCCCAAAACACCTGTGACCGTGCCACAAACACTCCCAGTTACTAGGGGCTTCCCCAGCCCTGTTGGGATTCACTCAGGGCTGCCTCAGGGACCCCTGCGATAGTGCCCTTCCCGTGACTCGCCCTCCGGCAGTGGAGGCTCCCTGACCCACATCCTGCGCTGGCAGCTGCCAGACCTGGGACTTGACCCTGGACACGTGGGGCTCCCGGGCCAGCTCCAGCACCTGCTGCCCCTGAGAGGGTGGGGGCCCAGAGCCCCGCACGCACACAGAACGAGCCGCGCCGGGAGAGGTGGAGAGGCCACGCCACTCACCTGGAGCCTCTGGTAATGCTCCTCCAGCTCCTCGTCACTGAAGCCAGTTCCGAGCTGCGGGAAGGACAGGGGACGTCAGAGGGTCGGGGTGCGGCCTGTGGCCGGGCATTTCCCCCCCTGCCCCCGCCCCTGCAGACCCGGATCTGTGCATACCGGAGGCCCTCACCCTACCCCAGCCTAACCAGAACCCAGAGACCACAGTGGAAGTGTGGCGGGGGGTGGGGGGGGGTTGCCGGGCGCAGAGCACAGGTGGGGAACACCTCTCCCAGTGGCATCCCCCCTCCCCCGCCCACCCGCTGCCCTTCACTTGCCAGGGCAGCCCTCACTCCGTCCGCTCTGCCCCCTGGCCCAGGTGCCGCTCCACTGGGCTCCCCCGCATCCCACCTGCCCCAGAACAGGGTGTCCTCTCCAATCTCCACGCCGCCGAGCATCTTCCCTCACCTACCCACATCGTCAAGCCTAACAACTCGCTGCCGGCAAATGTAGCGAGACGCACGTCTTCAAACTACGGATATAAAATGCTAACCGGAAAGCCCTTTTTGCATCGAGAGCCTTAAAGTGTCTCGGGCAGGCAGCTCTCTCAGAAAGCTGTTCTGGGTAAGCAGTGTAGATGGTGCCGGGTTGGGGCCCTGAGGTACTTGTGAATGGTTAAGACCACCTCCGTCACGGGTCGCCTGGGCTAATAAGCACTGCGTGCAGCGCAGATTCACTCGTAAGAACAATGCCGGCCACGAGGGAACCAGCCAGCCACAGGGAGCTGGTCCAGGACGCGGGGCGCACACATCTTTTTGAAAACTCTTCCACAAGCCTTTGTGAAAAATTCTGGGCCACTTCGCTAACGCAGTCAGAGGCCAGTCGAGGGAGGCCCCCTGACCGTCAGTTACAGGAAGAACCGGCCATTACAGAGGCCACCCCAAGCCTCCGTGGTGGGCTCCCACAGCAGAGGCCCCCACAGGGAAAGACGGACTCTGATCTCCTACGAGAAAGCGACCACCCCAGCAACTCAGCCCCCCAGAAACCATCCTCCCCCTGGACTGGTGCTTTTTTTCCCCAATGGCCTTTTGTTCAAAACAACCCCTCCCACTGCCTCCTTCTTCTCCATAAAATAACACTCCTCTCCTTCGTGGGAGGGGCCTATGGTTTCGCCACAGCTTGTGCATCCCGAACTGTAATTCTCTGCTATTTCTGAATAAACCCATTTTTGCTGGTAAAATAACGGATCGTTTATTTTTAAGCTTAACACATTCAAGTTGTGCTTCTAGAAGTCCTGAACACAAGGGCAAACACTCTAATGTTTTTTAACACTATGTTACTTAAATGTATCTGATGGTATTTAAAACATGGTATTTATAAGACAAAAAGCAGGAGAAAAAAAAAATCCCGACATACAAAGATCATAGCTTTGTAAAAGTATAAATAAGACATTCCCTCAAATCTTACTAGTGGTTAGCTCTAGGCACGGGAATTGTAGGTAATTGTTTATTCTGTTTCTGGGGCAAAAGCCTCACATTTGTTGGATCACGTGTATATACAGCTTTAATGTATATAGCTTTAAACAAAAACCAAAACCAATACATCTTTCAAGCTCCCCTGTGCATGGGAGTGGGCCATGGAGCAAAATTCTGACCCATGCCACAGAAGGTGCTCGCTGGCTGAGGCTGATGCGGGTGACACATCCCTCTGCTCGGGGCCTTCCTCCTTCCTGCTGCTTGGAGCGTGCATGGCCATGATGGCTGGAGCTCCTGCAGCCACATTATGAAGATGAGGTCGGAAGCACATGACAAAACCCCTGTGCGGGGAGAGAAGCCTGGGTCCCCAGTGACATCAGAGAGCCTGCCGCCGGCCCCCCCTTCAGACTTCTCATTACATGAGAGAAAAATAAATCCCTTGTAAGCCATCCTCATCTGCAGCTGAACTCAATTCCTGACATAGCTTTCTTACAACTTTTTATGATAGTGCATTTCTCTATGTGAAGCAAGAGTTACTTATAGGGTCAGAAAAAGCAAATAAAAACTAGAAAAAAAAATAATCCTACACAGGACGTGAGAACCTCTTAGTTCAGCCCCCCAGCACCTCCCACTCCGCAATTGAGTGGAATCTACTTCCCTCCTGCCTCCCAGCACCTTGCATATGGCCTGGAACTCCTCACTCTCCTCGTCGTAGGCAGCCAGCAGGAAGCCCCCATAGCGGCCGGCCCGCTTGCCACGGCCCAGGTAGGCACCGATCACCACGAGGTCCAGGGTGTCGCCCACACCATCGAGGTAGTCCTTCTTCAGCTGGGGAGGGAAGGCAGGAGGTGAGGGGGTGCTGCTGAGGCATGGACCTCCCTGCTGGAGGCTCATCGGTGGGTGGAGCAGGGTTGCGGTGAGTCTAAGGAGAACTCCCGTAGAGAAGACCAAGGATGGCCACCGGGCTGAGGCTGGACCTGGGAGGAGCTTCTGGACTTCCAGAGCGCATGGGAAAGAGACGACCCAAGTGGGAAGAGCCAGCGGGACTGAGGGGACAAGTTAGACGGAGACCTTGGGGGTCCCCCTTGGGTCCCCCCTCTCCCTCAGGACAGAGACACATTCCACTCACTCACTCCACACGGAGAACATTCATCATTTGTTCCAGAAACACTAAATGCCAGGCAGGACTCAGCCTTGAGGATGCGGCAGGGAAAGTGTCCTAAGACAGGAAAAGCTCATACCCTCCCAGCTGCTGACAGTTTGGTGGCAGAGAAAGACCACAGGCCGTTAACACCACCCGGGGAACCCAGCCAGCTCCACTCCAGCTCATCTCCTGCTGCAGTCCTCTCGCCCCTCTCCAGGCAAGCCTCCTGCTCGTGGGCTCCCGCTCTGCCCAGCACCGCCCACCCCCAACCATCCACCATTCACAGCCAGACAGATGTCTTGTGCAAAAAAGACAACCAGACCATGGGACTTCCTGCCTAAAACCTCCACTGGCTTCTCAAAACCCATAATATTTTACAACGACCCCCGAGGCACTGCATGATCTGAGACCTGCTCTCCACCCCAACCTCACCTCACACCTCAATCGCCTTGCTCCCTGCACATGCAGAGCTTGTTCCTACCTCAGGGCCTTTGCATTTGCTGCCCCCACCCTTCTCCTAGGTGTTCTGTCCCAGATCTCCACATGGCTGACCCTTTCCTCTCATCTGTGTCTCGACCCAAGCGTCCGCTCTGGAGAGGCCTCTCCCCACGACCAGAGCACTGTAAGATCCTCGCTGGCCCGACCCTGACTTGTTTTCTCCACAATGCTCATCACCCCCGACGTCATCTCCTTTATGTCGTGGCTGACTCCCTCCTTGCCAGCCCCACTCGACAGGGAGGGCAAGCTCAGAGAACAGAGACCTCATCTAGCCAGGGCAGCTCTCAACGGATTCCTGGTGAATCCATCCATGAGGGTGTGCAGAGGGGTGGTCTCCGGCTGGCTGGACTGCGAGGCGGCAGGGGCCAAGAAAAGGCTCCTGCACTCACACAGGGTGAGGTGGGGACCAGAAACCCAGATGGAGAGACGGCCGGATGCGGGAAGGGCAGCCGGGGCAGCTCACCTTCAGCCAGTTGTGGGATCTCTTGGCGATCTCGTAGGTGGCATCGACGTCCAGGGTTTTCACCATCAACCCCTCGCAGGAATCTGAAGGGACACACGGACGGGTGGCCTTCGTGAAGCCCTGGCCTGGGACAGCCAGCCGGAGCCGCAGGCTCCCAGTGAAATCTTGTGGGCTGGGGCGCACGTGGCGGTCAGCCCCAGACCCCCTCACCTTTCACAGACTGCTCCAGGAACTCGGCGATCTGCTCCGTGTCCTTGGTGTCCAGGGAGGTGGCGAAGACAAACTCGCCCTCCGTCTGCACGAAGTTCTCCCGGAGAAGCTGCCGGCGTTGGGAAAGCGGCTCACGCACCAGGGACTGGGGGCGGGGAGGGGAGGAAGGGAGCGGGAAGAGACAGAGAGGAAGGGACGTCACTGTGGAGGAGACGAAGCCCGAGCCTGGGAGAGACAGGACGCCCATGCGTCTCCAGCCACCACTCGGCTCCCGACGGAACGCCCCGCCAGGAGGAACCAGGCCTGCACGAGGGTTGTGAGAGCCGAAAGGACCGATTTCAACGGCAGGTCGAGAGCAGCGAGGGTGCTGGAGGCTGGAGCGGACTCCTGTTATCGTGGCTACGGTTCCTTGTTCAACACGGGTTGAACAGAGCTGGAAAGAAGCCGACGACCACAGGGGTGTAACATAAACGTGTTTCCGTTTTAATCCAGGGCTCGGCAACCCTGTCCCACAAAGAACCAGACAGTAAACATTCTTGGCTCTGCGGGCTACTCGGGCTGTCGCAACCGCTCACCCTTGGGCTGCCGGGCAGAAGTAAGTGGACGAGTGCGTGGTTACGTTCCCACAAAACCTTCTGTACAGACAAGACAGGCCAGTAGGCCTTCATCTACTGAGCCCTGAGGGAGACCGAATCCCTCGTGGGAAAACAGTGCTTGCTTTATACCGTAGAACAGGCTCCCCAACCTTCTGGAAGTTAATCCACGACCTGCGATCTTATTAACCACATCCTTTCATGTTCTGTACACGCTCCTGATGGACAGGCACAGCCCTGCTGGACATCACGCAAGCCAATTCGAAGCTGAATTTGGCAGGAAGCCTTGTTCTTACAAACTATCAGGCAGGCTGGGGAAGAAGTCCCCTAGCTCTCTCTCGCCATCCATCCCCGAGGGAGGTGTGGCTCTCCTCCACCAGGCCGAGGTGGGATACTTCCTCAGATGGGGAGCTCACTCCTTCTGTTCTGTTCCATCTCTGCAAGGGGATGGAACTTGTCTCAACAACCCCAAACTCACTCATTCTGAGTCTAGATTCACTCTGAGACTCTCCTAAGGGGAGACTCCAGAATAAAGGTGGTGATTGATCCTAGTAGTGATAAGGAAGCGGAGACTCAGAGAGGCTGAGTCATTTATCTGCAGTCGCACAGCCAGGAAGGGAGAGCTGAGATGTGAAAGCAGGTGGTCGGGCTCCAGATTCTTAATCCATGCCCTGGAGCAGCAGTTCTCAAACTCTCCAGTCTCGGGACCCCCTCACACTCTTGAAACCTGCTGAGGACTCACTCCAGAGATGTGGGTTATATCTCTGGATATTTACCACCGTAATGACGATGTATCAGCTACTAAATCACATGTTAATATTTGCTATACTGGGCGCCTGGGTGGCTCAGTTGGTTAAGCGACTGCCTTCAGCTCAGGTCATGATCCTGGAGTCCCGGGATCGAGTCCCGCATCAGGCTCCCTGCTTGGCAGGGAGTCTGCTTCTCCCTCTGACCCTCCTCCCTCTCATGCTCTCTGTCTCTCATTCTCTCTCTCTCTCAAATAAATAAATAAAATCTTAAAAAAAAAAAAAAAATATTTGCTATACTAGAAGTGAGAAATCTAGACATTTATTAACTCATTTAAAAATAACACCTCCGGGCGCCTGGGTGGCTCAGATGGTTAAGCGTCTGCCTTCAGCTCAGGTCATGATCCCAGGGTCCTGGGATCGAGTCCCACATCGGGCTCCCAGCTCAGCGGGGAGCATGCTTCTCCCTCTGACCCTCGCCCCTTTCATGCTGTTTCTCTCTCGCTCGCTCTCTAAAAAATAAATAAAATCTTTAAAAAAAAAACCAAAACAAAACACCTCCAATATGTTAACCCAACAATGTATTTTCACGAAATGTGCCTATGTTAGAAAAAAAATTAGTGAGAAGTGGGGGCATCAGTTTACATTTTTGCAAATTCTTCAATGTCTGGCTTTTCACGGAGCTGGGCCCTCCCGTGTGTGGCCGTCCGCATTCAGACGGCTGCCACACAGGAGAATCTGCCTGCACGGCTGCAGAGCTGGGGAAGGCAGGCAGGGCCTCACAGACTCCCCCGAGAGGGTCCTGGAGACACCCGCAGGGGTCCTCGGGCCACACTTTGAGAACCGCTGCCCGAGCGTGGCCACTCAGACCGCCGGCTCCCAAGCTCGCACACTGTCCCCATCTGCCCCCAGACATGCAGCCGGAACTCACCTGTCCATTGAGGTAGATGAGGTCGAAGGCGTACAGACACACCTGCACCTGGATCTCTGCCGCGTCCACCTCCTGGGTTGGGCAGAAAGGAGAGCAGGGGTGGGGGACGGTAGTATGAGGTGTGGTTGCTATGCCTCCCATCATGCCCCAAGCAGACACCTGTCACCTACCACTCTCCCCTTCTCTCCAGCCAATAGGCCACACACCCATGAGGATGACAATGCTCCTAGCTCTGGGCTCCGCATGGTGATGGCTCTCAGCTAATCCCAACAACCTCACTCCCCTTTGTCAAGTATTTGCTCTCCTACCCTCCCTTGTAGCTAATGGTGCTGACAGGACACAGTTCTGGCCAATGAGGGTAAAGAAGTTTGCTGGGGGGCACCTGGGTGGCTCAGTTGTATAGCGTCTGCCTTCAGCTCAGGTCATGATCCCGGGGTCCTGGGATCGAGCCCCGCATTGGGCTCCCTGCTCCGCGGGAAGCCTGCTTCTCCCTCTCCCACTCCCCCTGGTTGTGTTCCCTCTCTTGCTATGTCTCTGTCAAATAAATAAATAAAATCCTTAAAAAAAAAAAAAGTTTGCTGGGGCACAGGTTGGGGGGGGTCCTGGAACAGATCTTTCATGATAATACAGAGACACAGGAAAATGGCTCTTTCCCCCTTTGTACTTGGCATGCTGGGATGAGAATGCAATGGCTGGAGCTATGGCAGCCACACTGTAAAAGGCAGCAAGAACTGTATCCCAGCAGACACTCTATCCTTCTGGGGATGGGGCAGGGCTGGGAGGAAGAGGAGAAAGTGTGGGACTATGGCAGGCAGCGGAGGAGGGCAGAGGCTACCTTGCGTTTGCGGGTGGTAAGCACTTGGAATGGCTGGATCTGCTTCTTTTCCCGGTCCCAAGCCACGGCTTCCGTGTCCAGGATAAAGGATGTGACTGACGGGAGTTTAATCTGAAAGGTGAAGAGGGAGACCCAGGGATGCTGAGAGGTAGAGGATGAGGACAAAACACAGGTCCAGAGAAACAAATGTTCTTTTCCTTCCACAGCTCTGAAAATCCACCCATGAATTGATGCCAACTTAAAGATGCACATATGGATATATACCCTCTTCTTATTTCCCACAAGGAGGAGAAACACAAACTTTTCTGAGACTTACTACTTGGTCCCATAAGCTGGAAACCCAGTGGCCTTTGTCAGTTCCCCGTGAACTTGTCCACTTCCCCTCTGAAATCTCTAAGCCGCCCACAACTTACTGAGCCCAGTCCAGCCAAGGCCACATCATCCTACTGGTCTCCCTGCTCCTGCACGGACCCCGTGTCTAACCTGCTCTCCTCACAGCAGAGTGCTCTGAGCAAACCCCAAAGCTGATCTCAGTGCATCCCTGCTAAAAACCATCCCCAGCTCCCCAAAGCTGTGGGGGCTCTTCCCCTGGTCAGCCCCTGGCCCTTCCTCACCTCACCAGGCCCTTTCAGACTCTGCACCCCAGCATGCTAGCCTCTCCTGTTTTGTGGATTGGCTAGGCCCCTTCAACCACAGGGCCTTTGCACATGCTAATCACGCTAGAATGCCTGTCCTTATTCTTCACCTCCACAGGGAGGACTTCTTTTTCCTCAAAGGAACATTGCTGCACAACACCAGATGCCATCCTTCATGCTGCATCCTGGGGCCGTGCACGGTGGCGGCCTGCCTTGCTGACATCAGGCCTAGGTCAAGTCTGACTCTTACAGAGGCTCACAGAATGGGGGTCCTTCAGAGCCCAGGTCTCCACATACAACTACAGAGTCAGCAGCGGGACGCTCCGACGAATATCTGCCTGCCCTGCTAGGCCCGAGCTGGGTGTAGCCTGTCTAAGCTGCGTCCCCAGCCTCCTGCACGGGGCTCAGCCCGGAGCAGATGCCCAGGAAACACTTGCCCAATGAATGAGCAAAAGCAGCCAGATACAAAAGACCCCGAACTGAAGGATACCGCTCGCGGGAAGCTGGTTGCTTCTGGGAGCTGGATGGGGATGCAGCTTGGCATGGGACCCAAGATAACAATTTAGAGTGATCCGTACGTGGAGATGTCTTATGTTTACATGGGTGTGCATAAACGCGCCCAAACTCACCAAACCACGTACGCTACGATCAGAACCCTACATAGACATTACACCCACCACACTGGCTCATCCATCTGCTAGTAAAACGGACTGGAAACACCACCGCTTGGCTAACAAGAGCTCCACTACCATCTGTAATCTGCTGTTAGGTCTGTCCTTGCGGCTCCAGGAAAGCGCCAACTTCCTAATCAACTAGGGGTAGGCAAGGAGGGCTGTCTGACCGACTCCCAAAACAGGCCCAAGGCACCCGGGAGCAGAGAGGCCCCGGCCTATTCCGGCTGCGGGGCTGATCTGCAGGCCGGCTCCCTCCACCCACGTCCCAACCGCCTCTCCCCGTCAGAGTGAGATTCTGGCTTTCCTGGCCGCTGACCCCAAGCCAGAGGCGGCTGGCGGCGGGGCTGGGGGAGGGATCCAGAAAGCATTAACTCTCCTCAGGGGAGGGGAGAGCGGGAGGCTGGAACCGCTTGCCCATCTTTCTGTCTGAAATGTGGCACCTATCTGGGGACAATCGGGGGACAAGCGTTGGGATGAAAAGCCAACCAGCCAAACAGCAGAGGATAGAGACAGAAATGAACGGCTTCTGGGGGACTTCGGTGCACAGCTGAGCCAGGCTAGGGCCACCCACCCTGATTTTGTTGAGGGAAAAAAAAAAAAGCATCTGCTTAAGCCTCTGGGAGGTGGGTGTTGCATTACTTGAGGCCGAAGGCACTCCGCTCTCCTGCAGACAGTCCCGCTGCGCCCAGCTGGCCTGGACAGGCTGCAGTTTTCTGCATCCATATCTACAGCCCCCGTGAGAGGGGAAGTAGGCGGCAGACGCCCACCTTGGGGATGCGGCTGATGATGTCCGGGTACTTTCCGGTATTGTCTTCCTGATTCCTGCTGAAGATCTTCACCTCCCCGCCTTCCAGGACGTGGATCTGCGGCAGTGGGGGAGGGGAGAGGGACTCAGAGCCCAGCCCACCCCAGCTGGCCCCAGCCCCACCTTCACCGGCAGACAGTTCCAGAAGCTCTGGAGGAGGAACCGGTGCAGAGACCTGAGTAAATCATCTCCTCCATCCACACAGTGCCTCCCACCCATTCCTGGAAGCCCCTGCCATCTCCTTCCTCACCCTCCCTATCCACCACCCCCCACCACCCTGGATGCTCAAGTGCCTTGCTGTGTCTAAGCGGATTTGCCTGGGTGTTAAGTCATAAATATCACCCTGAATTTACTGTTAACTTTCATACCATCCGGTCACAGTCCGTCAGCAGGACCACGAATATGCCCCCTTACACAGGGCAGCCCCAGCTCCCTGCCCAGGACAGGAGAGCCACGAGAAGCATCCTTACAGACCCAACCAGGGACGTCCCTGGCACGGGGGCGCCTCCCACGGCGGCTGTTACAGCAGGGCACGGGCGAAGCCCACATTTTCTTCAACTCCCATGGCCGTGGGTCAGGGACTTTGCCGATTTTATCAAATAAAATGGACTTTCAGGTAAGCCCGGGAGGTGGTTATTAACACGACCGCTGCGGGACGGCAGAAAGTGAAGCCCGAGATGCACAAGGTCATACGGGCGCTCTGTGGCGGGAGGCACTCTGAGCTCAGGTCTGACCCACCCCAGGGCCCCGCTCTCGGGCACCTTCCGTTCTGCCGCAGGGAGGCGTCGCCCCCATACCTGCGCCCTCTGCCCGTCGTATTTGTACTCGCAGGTGAAAGCTGCCTCCTCGAAGCGTTTCAGGACCTCGCCGACACCACGGGTGGGGTGCGCCAGCATTGGTTTCAGGGGAACCCCTGGGAGGGGAGGAGCGAGAGAGAGTGAACTGGGGGAGGTGCCAGCGACATGTCAGATCGGTGGGGGGGGGGGGGGGGGGGCGGGTGGCAGAGACAGCCAGCTGTGCCCCAGGACCCATTCTCCCTTCTGAGTAAGAGAAGACCACGTCCTCCCGGCTCAGGCGGGCAGCTGGCCTCCCAGCTCGGCACAGTCCCAGCCTCCCTTGCAGCGAGGGAAGGCCACGCGATTAGGATGCGTGGGTGGTGGTGTGCACGAGGTCTGGGTCACGTCCTCACCCCTCTTCTCTCTCTCCCTCTTCTGTGATCTAGAAACCTGAGCCACCTCTGATCGTGCACATTAGGGTGAAAACCTCAGGACGAGAAAGTGACAGGAGGGAGGAACCTCAGTTCCCAGAGGGGTCCCTGGAGCCCAGCCACGTATCCTCCCTGATCACCTGCCTTCCTCTGGACTCTTATGTGCAAGAGGAACATTCTGTCCGGCCTGAACCACTGCCCTTGGGGTATCTCTGTCACAGCATGCACCCACACCCCACCTAATCCAGACAGGGACTCCAAACAGAAAAGGGATGGGTTTCCGCACAGGGAACGAGATTCGATTTTGGAGGCAAGAGGAGGAATCTGCAGGTTCTTAGAGGGATGGAGGAAGCTAAGGCCGGGAGGAGGGAGTGGAGGCTGCAGAAAGGCCATCCGCCGCTCCGTGGCCCTGGAGCCGGCTCTGCCCGGGGTGGGGCTGCGGTCACTCCCGAGGGGCTGGTACCTGGGCTCAGCTTGCAGTGCTCTGGGAGGCGCTCCAGGCCGTGCTCCAGCAGCACAGGGATGATCCGGTCCAGGTCGGGCACCTCGCTGGGGTGGGGGCAAGAACTAGCTGGCAGGTGTCTTTCCAGAACTCTGACAGCCTGGAAAGCCTGTGCTCTGGCTACAAGATGCACCTCTGCCAGTCTGTCACCTTGTCCAGGGGTCTGCTCTCACCCATCCCGGACTCTGGCTGTCTCTGTCACGCTCCCGCCCCAGCACCACTGCACATCGCTCTGTCTCCCTCGATCTGGGCCTGCCGTCACCCCTACCTGTCACCAGGAGACCAGTGACCCTCTACCTGAGCTACACATTAGAACCACTCAAGGATGGATTAAGAACTTTCTCCAAGGCGAGGCCCCACCTCCCAGGAGTTTGACAGAGCTGGCCGGGGACCGGCCGGGGAGCACCCCGTGGTCAGAGTGGAGACCACTGTCCTGGCCCTGGGAGGGCGGGGGTGGTCTGCAGGGTTGGTCCCTGCCCTGTGACCCAGTGAGCGGCCCCGAGGGCGTTTGCAGAAATGCTCCTGGGCCCTCCTGCTGCTGATACCCTCTCTGGGCACTCACCATCTTGCTGTGGCCGTCACCCCATGGATGTCCTAACCCCTCACTCTGCGTCAGTCACCAGCCCTGCTCTGATTCTCTTCGGACCTCTGCGCATGTGCGGTCCTGCTGGGAACTCCCAGATGTTGCGCCGCTCGCACCTGTGGCCAGCATCTCCTCCCTGCTCCCTGTGCCCTCATCCCTGGTCCTAGTCACTGTCCCCCGCCCCATGCCCGGCACCAATCTTGTCTGGGTCACCACCCCTGCTCTGTCACCAGCCCCACGATGGTCACTAGTGCTTGCTAGCCGCCGGCCCCGCCCACGTCGCACGTGGCCCTCGGAGCTGAGCCCACCACCCCTCCGGCCCTCCCACTCTGCCCACGGGCCCCGGATCTCACCAGAACGTCTGCTTCAGGATCATGCCTTGCTCCTCTAGCCACGTCTTTCGGGCCTCCGCTGTCCTGCCCTTCCCAGCATCCACGACGGCCGGGGGCGATTCTAAGACCAGACGCGCCGGCAGAGGCTTTGGGACGGGCCCAACCCCTCGGCTACCCCGGGGCACAGCGGGTGGCATGTGGGCAACAAGGAAGGGGGACAAGGCTGCCAGGGAAGGAACCTGGAGGGCAGCGGGGGCGCGAAGACCTCGGGGAAAGGAGAGCGGCCCGGTTAACTGCAGAGAGGGGCTCGGAGACCGGCCGCAGGGCCTCACCTTGGCCTGGGGGCGTGAGGCTCACGGCCTGGGCGAGCGCGGCCAGCACCGACTGCTCCGCCAGCCCGAGGCGCAGCCGGCCGCTCAAGGCTCTGGGAAGACAGCAGGGGAGGGGGAGCGGGCTGGTCGCCATCCACCCTCCCCGTCTTGCCCTCTACCCGCTGGCCCTGCCTCCCTGCCTCCCCCACCTCGAGCCTCTGGAACCCTCTCCTCAAAACCGGAACCACCTTCAGGGCTAGAAGGGACCCAAGGCATCACACGGCCCCACTGAACAGACGGGAAATGGAGGCCGGCCTCTAATAGCCGCGGCTGCTGGCCTTCCCTGGGGCAGAACTGGGGGCCTCGTGGTGTCTTCACCTCTCTTCTCAGCTGCCCTCCGGGGAAGCGGTGAGGCTCGGGGAGGGCGAGCCGGGGCACAGCGGGCCTGGAAACGGGACACGGCCTCCCCGGAAGTGCCACGGGACGTGCTGCCCAACAGCCTGCCCCGCACAGGCCCGGCTCTGAGCCAGGGGCCTCCGTCTACCCTTCCACAGAGCCGGCCGAGGGTAAGGGGCCTGCCCGGCAGCACCAGGGGATTGACCGACGGGACACCACACCCAGCTCCCAAGAAACGCTCGGTGATGGGGGCTGCCGGGATGTCATTCCCACGCTCACGGCAACCGCCTGGCCCCCCGCCTGCACCACTCCCGCCGAGGCCAAGGCACACGTTGCCAACCAATCCCAGCACCTCTTAGCCACGAGCCCCAGGCCGCGAGGAGACGAGCCGCCCGGGGAAAGGGACCCCGTGTGCCCAGTCCAGCCCCTCAGGGCCCGGTGTGCGGGCGGTCAGGGCACCAGCGGGACCCCCACGGCCGGTCCCTCCGTCCCTCCCGCCACCGCTCCCAGCCTTCCAGGCCCACGCCTACCTGGCGATGTATCGGGCTTCCGAGTGGCGGCAGGCGACAAAGAGGCCTTTGATGACGTCCATCTTCTTGGCTGTGGACTGAAGCGGGTCGAGCAGTCAGTGCCTGGGGCGAAGGAAGGGGACGACACCTCCTCCCGGCTGGCCCCCTGGAATACACGCCCCTGCCGTCACCCCACTCCCACTTCCCGCCGCGCGGTCATGCAGTAAGGAAGGCCGGCTCCAGCCCGCCTCCCCGCCTCGCTCCATTCAGCAGGTATTTCCTGTCCCGTGTCCTGTCACGCGGCCGCAGCAAAGCGGGTGCTAGAATCTCAAGAGGAGACCCCCTGGCCCACGAGCAGGCCCGAAGCGACCCAGCCCCAGAGAGTGTGACTGGAAGGCCCCCTTGCCACACGCGTGGCTCCAGGTCCCCGAGGGGAAGGGCAGAGGGTCCGGGCGCAGGGCTGCCCCCCTGCCCCACTCACAGCGCTGCCGGCCAGCCGGGCGATGTCTTGGAACTTGGTGAAGACCCCGGTGGCAGTGAGAGCGGGCGGGGGCAGCATGAGTCTCTGGGTGCTGCGGCTGTTCTCGGCCACCAGCCCCACGTCGCCCTTCTCGGCTGCCTCGGCCTTGACAGACTCCAGCTGCCGCCCTTGGGGTGGAGGGAACCGTGGTGAGGGGGACGCGGGGGGCTGTGTCTGTCCCGGGTCCTCTCTGCCCACTCCTACCACGAACACCGAGCAGCGGAGGCCCCGCTCACGGTCTCCCCGCATCTCCCCTCGGCCCTCCAGGCTCTCTCACCTCCCTGGGCCCCGGGCCTCAGTCCCAGCTCCCTCGTCCTGCTCCCTCTGCATGCCCATCTTTCCAGCCCCCCTTCCACCCCCACAGTGCTGGGGCTCCCTCACCTGAACCAGCGCCCCACGTTCCCCCATCGCACCGACCTGTCCCGTCGGCCCTCTCCCTACCTTCAGAGCCCCCTCTGCTGTCTCTCACATCCTCCCCTCCTCTGCATCTTCTCCCTCAGAGCCCCCCACCCTGGAACTGCCACCACACCCCCTGCTTACCCGTGGCCTGGGCCACCGCCTTGAGGAGGACGCCGTCACCGACACCAAGCTCCAGGCCCTGCTGGGGTGGCCCGAGGCGGTTGAGGCTGAGGTAGAGGATGGGGAGGAGGTCTGGAGGTGACAGGGCCACCACGGAACGCAGCAAGTTGCTCAGCGTCTCCACCATCCGGAGCCTGGGGGTGGAGGCAGGGGTGTGACCTCCTGGCATTTCGGGGTCAAAGTTGGGGGTGGGTGGAAAGGACCCCGGGAAAGGAGAAGAGGAGGAGCTCGAGTCCGGGCCCAGGTGGTGGCCTGAGCCACAGGCCCAGCCACAGATGCTGGTGGGAGGGTGAGCCTGCTCCATGCTTACGACGAAGATGGGGACGGCCATCCCCAGAGGAACAGTGGCTGTTGGCTGGAGCATTTTCCAGGTGCCGGACCGGGGGGCAGAGGGTGAGTCTAAACCCTCTGTATGTTTCCGCTCACCAAATGCTCAAGGCTCCACCATGAGGGAGAGACTGATAACACCCCCACTTTAGAGAGGAGGCAACTGAGGCCCAGAGAGATCATGTAACTTGGCCAAGGTCACAGAGCCAGTGAGAATCAGGCTGAGACGTGAGCTGAGGCCGTCTGCCCGAGGAGCCCCGCTCCCCACCACTACACCGTGCCGGCTCAAAAAGTAAAACCCCGTTTCTGTGTGGCTCGCAGGATCTGTGCAGAGGTCTGCGTTTGCTCTTGAGCAGGCCTCACTGGAAAGAGAAGCTAAGTCTCCCTTACAGAAGCAGCCCAATGAACACATGGAGGAGGCACAAGAGAGAGAGAAACACAAAGCACTGCGGGGCGGACGCCACAGACTGACTTCCAGGCAGACCAACAGCATGCCCCCAAAACTGAGGCCTGCCTGGAGCCTCAGAATGGGACCTTAATTAGAAAGAGGGTTTTAGGGGCGCCTGGGTGGCTCAGTTGGTTAAGCGACGGTCTTCGGCTCAGGTCATGATCCTGGAGTCCCTGGATCGAGTCCTGCATCAGGCTCCCTGCTCAGCAAGGAGCCTGCTTCTCCCTTTAACCCTCCCCCCTCTCATGTACTCTCTCTTTCATTCTTGTTCTCTCAAATAAATAAATCTTTTAAAAAAAAAAAAAGAAAGAAAGAAAGAGGATCTCAGCAAGTATAACTCAGGTCAGGATCAAGATGAGGTCATCGCAGATGGGGTGGGCCCTCAATCCAGTAGAAGTGTCCATATAAGGTACAGAAAAAGACACACAGAGAAAGAGCACGTGGAATCGAAATCGGAGGCAGGGATTGGAGTGATGCGGCCATAGGCCACGGATGCCCAAGGCCACCATCAGCTGGGAGAGGCATGGGTCAGGTTTCCTGAGAGCCTCCAGGATGAACCAGCCCTGCCCGCCCCTTGATCTCGGACTTCTGGCCTCCTGAAATGCGAGGGATACATTTCTGTGTTTTCAGTCCCCAAGTCAATGGCTATCTGTTTCGCCAACCCGAGGACACTCTTCATTCCAGGGCTCTCAGCAAGCTCGAGACGGATGATCTGTACTTTCCTCGTGAAGAGACTGAAGCTCAGAGAGGTCAGGCCACCCGCCCATGGTCACACAGCCAGGAAGCGGCGGAACTGGGCCCACTCCCAGGCCTGTCTGCCCACCCCGGGCAGGGCTTTGGCTAATGCGGCCCCCCTGCTGCTGCCGCCCGCAGGCCCCCGTGCCCTGCAATCCCACTGTGGGGCTCCTGCCAGAGGAGGTTCCTCCCATGTTCGCAAAGACACACGCTGACAAGAACAAAGCGCTGGGAACAGCCGAAATGCTCCGCTCATGTGTGAGAAGTGAAAAATGAAGGAATCCTACTGAGCAAGATTGAAAGGGCCGAGACCTACTTAAACCAACATGGAAGGATCTTCTGGAAACAAGGCTGACGTGCAGGTAGGAGGCAGAATGGGGTGGGCCCCCTGACGACACTGACTAAACACGCAGGAGTGAGGGCCGGGGCCAGGCAGCCCTGTGTGCCGGCGGCCCGACCAGCACTCGCTGGGAGTGAGATTCCCACTAGAATCCAGACCCGGACCTCCTCACACGAAGGGCAAGACAATCAGCGAGGCCGTGGTTACTTCTCACCGCTGAGGGTAGATTAAGTTCCTGCCACTGGGAGGAGGCAAAGGTTTCCCCACCTGGGGAATCTGGGCTCACGCTCACGGCTCGTTGTGACCCACAGAAACAGACAGAAGCGTGGTGTGGGCCTTCCGGGCCGGGGGCCCACGAGGCCCTGCAGCCACTCCAGGGGCCGGGGACGCGTGCAGGAGGGTGAAGTGGAAAGAGCAGAGGCGGAAGGCACCGGGCAGCCGAAGCCGCCACCCCACCTGCCCCTCCCCGTCCAGGCGGGCCTGACGAATTACCGAGCAGAAACTTCCTCAATCTTCTCAAATGTCCGAGCCACAGCCAGGTAAGGGACCCTGGGGAAAGAAGAGAGACACAGGGTGGTGTGTATAACCCACACCATCCATCTGTCTGTCCACGTGCCTCCCCACACCTTCGGTGCTGCTGCCTGTGTCCCCAAAATGGGGACGGGAGAGATCTGACTGCTTCCTCCACCGGAGGCCTCTGGGGAGATGCACCCGGTGACAGGGAGAGGCGGAGGGACAGTCGGGGGCGGGGGGAGCCTCACTTCTGGCCTGGCTTCCAGCACGCGTCGTCAATGGGATGGTAGTTGTTTTTGGCAGGATTGTAGCTGGGGGGGTCCAGGGGCCTGTGGAGGCAACAGGGAGATAGACACCTGGGTCAAAGAGAAGCCAGTCCTCCAGCTAACATTTTCTGAGCACCTACTACGCGCCAGATGCTGTTCTAGGCATGAGGGCGCAGAAGGGAATGAAAACAAAGTTGCTGAACCTAGAGCTCACATTCTAGCCGGAGAGTCGGGGAAGAAAAAAACCAAAACAAACGTAGCAACAAATAATTTTGGTATTAAAAAATATTTCCAAAACCAAAATCAAACCACGCTGGGGGAAGGCGGGATGGAAGGTGCCACTTCTGAGGAAAGGCTGGGGAAGGAGACATTTGGGCAGAATGACATGAGGAGTGAGCAGAGTGGGTATCCAGGAGAAGAGCACTCCAGGCAAAAGGAACAGCAAGTGCAAAGGCCCTGAGGTAGAGACGCACATGACATGTTTGAGGAATGGAAAATGGGGTTTCACAAAAATGACATTAAGAATCCCAAAAACACTGTCATTAGAATAATTAGCTGCAATCACCGATTGTAGCTGAAAGAATTTTTGGCGGGCATCGGTCTCCTCGTTAGAGGAATCAAATCAGGAGAATCTGGACTCACCACAGGCCTCCCCTTACCGCCCTGTCCTCTCCACTCGACAGCCGACACAGACTCACCCCTTGGCCTCCTCCTGTCTTGCTGTGCCAGGTCCCTCTTCTTTCCCTTCTTTCTTGGTTGCCGGTTTCCGGGGGGCTGGGAATGAAGTCAGGAAACTGTGGGCCCTCCTCCTGAGAGCCCCCACCGGCCCATGAAGCCAGGAGACAGGGGTCAGACCTTCCACCAAGGGGGACGCGCTCTGGGGAAGGCCCGCCTCCTCCCCAAGAGGCTGGGAGCTGGGGGGCGGGAGACACTCACCGAAGAAGCTGCTGACCGTCTTGGGCGCTTTGGCGGGCGGCTTGGCCGGGTCCTCCTCTCGAGCCTCCCGCTTCTCCGCCACCTCAGGCTCCAAGGCTCTGTCTGGCGGGGGCTCCACTGCTAAAGCGAGAGACACTGGTTGGGGAGGCCCACTTCCAACCCGAGACTTCACTCGTCACTGGTTCTGACTCCACATACGGAAAACACCTTCTGCCCCTTTCCTTTCTGTACGTTAAGTTTTTTGAGCCTCTTGGGCCCGATGCTTTTCCGTCAGTACTAACAGAATCCCCTCAAGCGTCGGGCCTGAGACCAGAGACTTTACGGACAGCGGTAGAAAGAAATCTCAGCACGATCAGAAGAAAATGTTCCCACTTCCCCGGCAGTTGCAAAAAGTGGGTAAGGTCTGCATCCTCGAAATGTCCCCACGATGCTGTTTCTCACGCAGGAGTCTCACGGACACCTGGCTGTGGGGCTTGTTCTTGGGCCTGTGAGGGTAACTAGAACCTCAAAACCCCCGCAGCTCAGCCAAGCGGTCTAACTTCATAAACTATCCCTCAGTAACATTTAGTACCTGTGATTTCTCAAAGATACAAGTATTTTGTTGGAGGATGACTGGTTCTTTCTTCTTTCCCATGTGCGGGGGCGAGGGGCGAGTTTTTTTTTTTTTTTAAAGATTTTATTTATTTATTAGAGAGAGAGCGAGAGCAGGAACACAAGCAGGGGGAGTGGGAGAGTGAGAAGCAGGCTTCCTGCCGAGCAGGGAGCCCGATGCGGGGCTCGATCCCAGGACCCTGGGATCATGACCTGAGCCGAAGGCAGACGCCTAACGACTGAGCCACCCAGGCGCCCGAGGGGGGAGATTTTAACCATAAAAACGATGACAATAAAACCTCTGATTCCCCAAGAATTTGCATTTCAACAACACATTGGAGTCTTATTTAAAATTAACTGGCCTCAGAGAGGCGCCTGGGTGGCTCAGTCGGTTAGGCATCTGCTTTTGGCTCAGATCATGATCCCAGGGTCCTGGGATCGAGTTGTTATCAGGCTCCCTGCTCAGCAGGGAGTCTGCTTCTCCCTCTGCACCTCCTCTCTCTCTCTCTCACTCTCTTTCTCAAATAAAAATCTTTAAAAAAATGAAATTAAATTAACTGGCCTCAGAAGACATCCAACCCAAAACCAGACAGCCAGGGTCCCCGGGGGAGTGGAAACTCACAGGAGGTCTCTGGGTGCTCAGGGGGCGTCACTGGCTGGCCCTCCCCTTCTGCTTCTTTCTTTTGGGTCACTTCAGGCTCTGTGAGGCCTTCCGGTGGGGTCTCAGCTTTGGATGACAGAAGTCAGATGGCAAAAAAAAAAGAATTATTCTGACCCCCAGGGACATTTCAACTCCCATCTGCTCCTCTGCAGATCAAGCACGTCTATAAAGCGGCAGGAGGTGTGAGCCCGCTCCTGGTCAGCCCCAAGCGTGGCGGGGCCTCCAACGGAATCCAAACCCGGTGTTCGCGCGCCTGGGCAGCCAGAAATGGACACAGACAGCCAGTATCTTCTGATCAACGTCTAGAATTATTCACCGCAAGATACAACTGGAAAGAGTTCCAAACGCACATGATAACTTGATATGGGTAAAAATGAAAAATGTTTTAAACTGGAGGAAAAAAAAAAAAGGTCATACTTCCAGGGTAACAATAAAAACTGTGTAGGTGAACTTGAGAAGAATCAAGCAGCTGCCCGCTCTCCCACGCACAGCCCCAGACACTGACACTGGCTAAAAAAGCACAATTTACAGTAAGGTTGGATCCGGACTAAAAACTGCCAACAGGAAGCCACATCTGCCCCGGAAGAGTTGAGCCAAATGAGGACCTTTTATTGTTATTATTTTTTTTTTAATTTTTTTTTTTTTTTTAAGATTTTATTTATTTGCGAGAGTCGGGCCTGAGACCGGAGACTTTACGGACAGCGGTAGAAAGAAATCTCAGCACGATCAGAAGAAAAGGCCCGAGGACCTTTTATTAAACACTGACAGTGGCAAAGGCTGCACACAGGTCCCAAATGACCACTGGGTCAGATCTTTGCACCAGAATGTCCCCCGTGGACCGAATTCTCGGGGACACCGCGGATAGTTCCTGGTTCCAGGGGAAACTGGGGGCATCTGCTGGTCACGGCAGGAACTACGAGCTCGAAGTAGGTCAGATTTTAGCATCCTTGGCCCGCGGGCCTAGCAATTCCTGATGTCACCTGTCTGCCAAGCAGGGCTTTCCTTGGCTGCTGTGATCAAAACTCGGCACGGGCAGGGGCACCTGGGTGGCTCAGTTGGTTAAGCAACTGCCTTTGGCTCAGGTCATGATCCTGGAGTCCCTGGATCGAGTCCCGCATCGGGCTCCCTGCTCAGCGAGGAGCCTGCTTCTCCCTCTAACCCTCCCCCGCTCTCATGTACTCTCTCTCTCTCGCTCTCTCAAGTGAATAAATAAATCTTAAAAAAAAAAAAAAAAAAAAACTCGGCACGGGGAACAGGGGATTCCAAAGGTCTGGGCGACTGTGCAGAGGGCAGGACACATCCTAGCTAGTAACTAATTGTGACTCTCTGAAGGAGGAAACAAAAAATAGTACTTTTCCTTTCAACGGACGTGCGCCATTTTCTCAAACACCCAAGTTTCTAGAACATCAACAGTTGTCTGGACATAACTACTTAATAAACGAAACTGTCTGGGCGCCTGGGTGGCTCAGTCGGTTAAGTGACTGCCTTCGGCTCAGGTCATGATCCTGGAGTCCCGGGATCGAGTCCCGCGTCGGGCTCCCTGCTCAGTGGAGAGTCTGCTTCTCCCTCTGACCCTCCTCCCTCTCATGCTCTCTGTCTCTCATTCTCTCTCTCGCAAATAAATAAAATCTTTAAAAAAAAAAAATTAAAAAATAAACGGAACTGTCGAGGTGGCGGCCCAGGGGTGCCATCAACAATTTACTACGCGCTAAGGGTGCTGTTGAGAAGCTGGGGGTCTCTGCCTTCTGGTCCCATTTCTAAGGAAAAAGAAGTCATGGAGAAGAAAACATTTTCCATCAACACAAACAGAAAAACAAAGGATAAAAATGGGAAACGGCATATGAATTCACCCTAAATTAAAGGGGCCCAAATGAATGCATTTCGAAATGCTCTCGTAACCCAAATGCCTGTGTTGGTGTGTGGGGTTCTGACGGCCACATTGAGATTCAGGGACACAGGCATTAGATCGGGGATCCTAACAGTCCAGCCTCGGGGAGAGGCCCCCATCCTTCCAGATTCCCCACGGTGCACCCTCCAAGTCTCTCTCTCTTGCCCTCCCTTCCCCTGGTGCCTCACCTTCTTCCTCCTTCTTCCTCTTGGCCTCTCTGTCCTCATCCTTGCCCTGCTCCTCCAGGACATCCTGTATTGTCCGCTTAGGAAGCTGCTTCCGAGCTGGGAAGACAAGGGGCTTGGCGTGGTGGACCTCGTGGGTCTGTCCGCCCCCCGCCCCAGTGAGCTCAGGCCGGTCAGTGACGGGGCCCCCCGAGAAGGCTGTGGGACGCTCCCCTTCTGCCCCAGGTGCGCCTCATTCTGCCAGCTCTGCCGCTTCCTGGCTGTGTGACCCTGAGCAGGTTACTTAATCTCTCTGTGCCTCCGTCTCCCACATATGCAGAATAGAAACAGTCCCGGAGAGTAAGAGATGCTACGCCGCGCTCGGCCCAGTGCCGCACCAACTCTAGCACCCCCCCCCCCGCCACATTCCAGAAGCAAGTCTTCTGGTATCTGCCGCTGTGCTGCCTCATCTCTCTCCAGCTGCCCTTCTAACTCCTTCCCCGCCACGAATCCTTCATTCTCCGGCACCGCTGAACTCCTGCTGCTCCCAAACACAACACACCCCCGGGCCCTGGCACTTGCTGTTCAGGGGCAAAGCTCAGGGGTCCTTTCCTCTAAAAAGAATTCCCTGACAGCCCCCGCCCCCCAGGGCCAATCTCAGGGTCAGCCCTGAGCGGCCAGCAGGCCCCGCACCACTCAGCTACTTCATGAGTACCTCCCCGCCGCCCCCATCCCGCAGCCCTCCCGTGGCGCCCCAGCACCCGCCAGGACAAAACCCGGGCTCCTGGCCTAACATGCGGGGGGCCCTGTGGGAGCCAGCCCCACCCTGCTGTCTCACTGCACACAGTCCTCAAACTCGCCCTGCTGCCCACATTGCACCTGACCCTCCAGAAACACGCCGGTGTATGCGACCCCCGTGTGCCACGTGGTCCCCCTGCACACTGCTCGTGGCTGCACCGCTTCCCGCCGCCCTCCCGCGTCTTCCAAGACTCAGCTCGGGTGTCACCCGCTCTGCGCTGCCTCAGTTCTGAGCCCTGTTACCGCTGCGACTCCTTTTCTTCTTGTTTTTTTAATTAAAAAAATTTTTTTAAGTTTTTTTATGCAAGTGTAATTAACATAGTCTATTAGTTTCAGCTGTGCTATTTTTCTTTTCTCTTTTTTTTTCCTAAGATTTTAAGTAACCTCTATACCCAAAGTGGAGCTCAAACTCACGACCCCGAGATCAAGAGTCACATGTTACACCAACTGAGCCAGCCAGGTGTCCCCAGGCGTGCTATTTCTTATACCAGCACCACCCGATGGAAAAATACGGTGAGACACATACCTGATCTTAAACTTGCCAGTAGCTACACTGAGAAAAGGAAGAAAAAATCCAGATACACCTCGTTTTAATAATATGGTTTATGGGGCACCTGGGTGGCTCAGTTTGTTAGGCGACTGCCTTCGGCGTGGGTCGTGATCCCAGAGTCCCAGGATCGAGTCCCACGTCGGGCTCCCTGCTCAGCGGGGAGTCTGCTTCTCCCTCTGACCCTCCTCCCTCTTATGCTGTCTCTCATTCTCTCTCTCGCAAATAAATAAAATCTTAAAAAAAAAAACCTAATGTATCCAAAAATACTACGACTCCAACGTGTTGTGTTTTCAATGCTAAAATAATTAACATTTTCTTTTCCGTGCTAAGTCTTCAAAGTCCCAACGTACTTCAGCACATCTCAACTGGTTGCTAAGTTTTCCTCAGAAAGAGCTGATCTGTGTTTAGATTTCACAGAATTTACAGTTGAAGAAGATTTGTGCACCCAAGTTATTCTAAACGTGCCTGAGAGTCTTCGGTAATTCAATCTGGCATCAGCTTGCACATCTAAATTTAACAAAAATGGCGCAGCACTGAAAATTCAGTCCCTTGGTCGCACCGGCTACACCCGTCCCCCAGCATCATGTGAGGGTCTCTCACCTGTGCCTCCCCACCCGTAGAAAACGTTCCCGATGCCCCAGGGGACAGAGGTGCCATTCCTCAGGCTGGCTTTCCACGGACCCTCTCCAGTGTCCCCACTTGGGTCCCCAACCCTGTGCACTAAGCACCAACACACCAAGCCATCAGTGCCCCGAAGGGCCTTCTCGATGCCTGCTTCCTTCTGTTGTTAACCCTCTTCCCTGCTCACTCTTCCTTCTCCTTCAAGGCTTGGCTGGGTGCATCTCTCTTCTACCGGTCTCCCTCTTTCCTGGGCTCCCACAGTGAGCTGCGCTGCCTCCCGGACAGCACGTACCCACGGTTACAATAACCCAAGCTTCCTGAGCACTTACTATGGGCTGGGCCCAGGTCCAAGCACCTTCCGCATATTTCCTCTTAATCTCTGTATGATAAATGCTGTCATTACTATCGTCTCTGTTTTACAGATAAAGCTCAGAGAAAGTAAGTCATTTACCCAAGGTCACACAGCCAGTGGATGGTGAAGCCATGCTCTCAGCCACAACGCTAAGATCAGAGCTGTCGTGAGGATGGCTGCCAGGTGCAGAAATCCTCAAGTGGACGAAGACAGGCAAGGCAAGGGGCAGGGGCCTGTATGTCCTCACCTGTGCGCCGCTTCGGGATCCCTGCTGGGGAGATGTCCACAGGAGAGCTGGAGAGGGAGGGGCTGCTCTCGGGAAATGTGACAGGGCTGGGAGGGGAGACTTGTGGAGAGCTAGGGGCAGGCTTCTGGAAAGCAAGAAAGAGCAATTCTAGAGTGAGGGGAGGAAGAAGGGGCCACCTCCTTGTCCTTTTCCAAACAGCTGGGGGTAGAGAGTTCTCCGTCCCAGTTCAGGGCCCCTCCTCTCTTAACCTGGGCCTTACCCTCCTTAACCTCCTGTGGAGTTTCGTGGCACCACTCTCCCCATCATGGACGACAATAACAACAACTCTTTTTCCTAACGTAACAGAACCTTTGATTTTTAGCTAGGCATATGATGGCCCAACGAAAAACCACATTTCGCCTCCTCCCCTGCAGCTAGGTGCAGCCGAGAGCCTGAGAACTACACTTCCCAGCCTCCCTTGCAGCTAGGTGCGGCCAGGAGCCTCACTCCTACACAATGCAATATAAGGGAAAATGATGTACACTTCCCGTGGAATCTCTTGCTCTTCTCACTGGCTTGAAAATGGACATTCGCTTGGACTAGGGCATCTAGGATAAAAGTAATGGTACAGAAGCAGCCTGCGTCTCTGACACTGAGAGACTGCTATATTAATCCTGGGCTTCTTATCCCATTAGAGACAGAAATAAATTCCTACCTTGTTTAAGCCCGTTATTTGTATCCTGGTTTCAATCCCTAACTCATCTTACAGGGCCCTCCGCCAGTTATTAAGTGACAGCCCCTCCGCTCCAAGCCTACCCCGTCCACTCTCCCTCATGATGCTCGGACTCTGAAAACCCCTTTCCCAGTCTGGCAGGAAGCTCTGTAGCAGGCAGCGCCCTAACAGGGTACAAGAAGGGCCTGTGTCAGCCGGATCCGACTTACAGCATTTCCAACACTCACAGGGCCTGCGACGTGATGCCCCTGGATGCCGGCACTCTCCGCCCAGGGCCCCTGCCTCCAAGATCTGACCAGGCCCTCGGCGCCACCTGTAAGCTCAGAGACCCCGGCGCCCACCAGTGAGCACCTGAAGGTCTGACTGTCAGCTCCACAGCTCCCGGGGCAGTAGCTGCCCCCTACAGTTGCTACCACGATGACGCCTTCGAGTTCTCTTTTCGCCCCTGCAGTGACCTGGTTGAGAACTACACACGTATTTGAGAATTCTTTGTATTAAACTCTCTCTGCTCATGTGGTTTCTTTCTCCTATTCAGACCCTGATGGATACAGGCCCCAAAGGGACGTTGTGAAGGCTGCTCAGGACCCAAAGCCACCCCTGTCCCTCTCCTGCTCAAAACCGGTCCACGGATCCCTAGCAGCCACAGGGCAAAGTCCAAGCTCCTAAGGACAGCCCCTCCTAGAACCTGGATACCTGTGAATATATTCGGTTATGTGGCAAAGAGCAATTAAGGCTGCAGAGGGAATTAAGGTCACCAATCGGCTGCCTATTGCGTGACTTTGAGTGAGGAAGGGAAGGAAGCCAACGTCTCTGGAAAAGGTAAAAAGCCCTCTGCCAACAGGAGAGACCTGATGTGTTTTTGAGCCCTAACTCTGGATCACGCATTATTCTCAGATCCATAGGTGAACTGACTCCTTTCCTGTTCAGTCACCCCGAGTGGGAGGTGCTCCCGGGAGCTGTATGTCACAGGTGAGGTGGCCAAAGCACGAGGCCCGGAGACTGCCCCAGGCCACGGGGCGCAGGTGGAGTCAGAACCGTGCAGACCAGGCCGTCCATCTGCTCCAGGGCACGACCGCTCAGATCTTCCACCTCCTGGGGCATGAGCGCCCCTGAGCAGCTGTGCTACACTCAGTGCGAAAGGCTACCGGGAATGACGGCTTCGTCCAGGAATGGGCGGCAGGCTGGTGGGGACCTACCTGGCCTTTGGAGGGCATGACGGCTTCGTCCTCCTCCTCCCCTTCACTGCCCAGGACCCGGGCCACCTTCCGCCCTGGCCTCTTCACTGGAGAATCGCTCTCAGGCACCTCTCCGTTGCGCTCCTTCAGCGCCACCCTGGAAGGTGGGAAAATGGGGGTGTTTCATTCCCTTCCTTTTCTTTCAAGCATTCCATGAGCTTTTTCTAGGCGCCTCCTTGGCATACACTCTTAATCATCCGACCATCCACTGCATCCACGTTTCTGGAGGCCTCCCATGTGCCCACCTACTCTGTGACGAGCAATGCTGAGGAGCAGACGGAGCCCCTACTGAGAGCAGGGAATGGCCTCCAACATCCATTTGAAGACCCTCTCGTTTTCAGTCATACCAGCCCCTGAGATTTAGCTGGGTCCGTGGCTCTCGGCTAGAGACTATCCCTTCCCAGCTTCCCCTGCAGCTGGGTGTAGCCATGTAAGGGGTCCTGACCCAGGGGATGGAAGGGGTATGACTGATGCATGCAACTTGCTCCTGACTGCTTGCCCACAGATGTCTTACTCCTGGAACTTGGACTTGCCAACCCCCTTTGCCAACGCCGAGGCCTTGGATCCAGCTGTGCCTGAGGCTGGACCTATACCTTTGGACTTCCCGGTTACCGAAGTCAAAAAATTCCCTTTAGGACTCCCAGACATTCTGAGCTGGGTTTGCCACACTTACAGCCAAGAGAGCCCTGACTTATAAAGGAACAAATTCACCATGTCCTCGCCCCACTACTTACTTTGGAGGTGGCTCTGTCTCTCTGACGCTGTTGGAGGTCTCCTTCTCTGGCTTTTTCACTTTGCCCTCATTCTTGGGGCAGAAAAATGACCTGGAGGAGCACAGAAGGAGGGGGAAAATGGGAATGATAATGGCACAAGAATCAACCAAGCCCTTCCTATGTGCCAGGGCCTCTCCCAGGCCCTAGGGATTCCGGGGAGACAAAGACACCAAGTCCCCACCCTCAACAGGTTGATACTCAGTAGAAGAGGCAACTGTTAAGTAACTAAATAAAAATGTCAGGAAGTGTGAAGCGCTCTGGAAAAGATCAATAAAGCAAGGTATCCTCCCTCCACTTGAGACTGGCTGGACTGAGTAGCTGGCTTCCAGAGAAGTGAGTACTGAGGAAGGACCACGGAAAGTAAGGTGGAGAGGCCTCGCCCACACTCTCCTGACCGAGTCAGGAAGGTCAGCATCACTGGTCATGTCCCGGGGGTGTCTGCACGCCAACCACAAGGGGACGAGACGCTACCTCACTTCGCTGCCCGTGACCCCAGTCTGGTTATGAGAACAACGTCAGACACACTGGGGGGCCATCTGCAGGTATCCTGACAAACAAAGTCTGAGAAACTGTCACCTGGACTGACACCAGAGGGAACCGAGGGGGCATGACAACTAAATGCAACAGGGTACTCCGAGCTGAATCCTGGGAACAGAGAGGAGCATTTGTAGATAAATCGGGGAGATCGGAGTGTAGTTAACAAGAATGTACCAATGCTGGTCTCTTACTGTGACCGACGGGCCCCACGACATCAACAGTGGAAGCTGGGTGCCAGGTACCCAGGAACAGGCTCTATTATCAGTACAACTTTCTGCACATCTAAAACTGCCCTCAAATTAACACTTAACGTACGCTCAGTCAGTCAATTAACCGATCAAGCCAAGCCAAGCCCGGGGCAGAAAGACATCTGAGGTGCTATCAGCCAAAGACAGACTATGCCCAGACTTGTCATCATGTGAGAAAAATGCAGCCTGTGATTTGTGACCTCCCAGGTCTCTGGCGGGCGGGCGGCCAGGTCTGGGTCAGTCTAGAATCCACCCCCTCCTTCCGGGAGCAGCCCCTCCATTTTCCTCTCAGGACACTCCCTCAAATTCCCAGTGAAAGGGTTTTGGCAACTGGGTCCAACCAAGCCCAAGGCCATTAATTCTGGAAGGCTTCAACTACACAAGCCATGTAATTCCCTGTCTCGTTTTCCTGAGGCCAGCTTGCATGAGGACAGGGCTTCCCACCCTGGACACTACTGAAGTTTCAGGCCAGATCATTCTTCGTTGCGGGGGGCTGTCCCATGCATTGCAGGTATTAAGCAGCAACCATGCCTGGCCCCTATCCAGTAGATGCTAATCACAAGCCCCCTTCTCCCCCTAGTTGTGACAACCAAAAACGTCTCCAGACATGGCCAGCTGTCCCCTGGGGGGGCCAAACCACCAACTGTGAACCACTGGGTCAGCATTTCTGAACCTCCAGCTAAAAAATTCTAGTTACCACACCACCCGTCCTCCAGATCCCACGCCCCATTTTCTGCACTGCTCGGCTCCTGGAAATTCCAATTGGGAGACTACCTTGTGTTCTTCCAAGAAAAGGCACAGAAATCAAGAGAGAAGCAGAGAACTCAGAGCATGTAGGACGGGGGGCCGGGTCCTTACATGATACTCCGCTGCATGATGGGTCGGAATTCTCCCTTCCCCTTTCCTCCTCCTCGTCTGCAGCCAGATGCTCCTGAAACAGAAATCCAGATCCTTGGTGAGACTACTGCTTGTGCACAGACCAAAGCACATAACCCTCCTTCTTTCAGAAAGAAGAAGAAGAAAAAAAAAAACCCCACAAAATCAGAAACATGAGTTTCCCCACCGACAAGAAACTCCCATTTTTATGGACCAACACTGATTTATGAGCGAAGAAAAAGTTCCAAGTCAGAACAAGATAAGAAGCCTCGATCGTATGGAGCCTGCTTTTCATCTAATATGAAGGCACACGGAAGACCGACAGGTTTTTTAAATTTTTTTCAGTTTCGTTTGGGGTTTTTTTTTATTTTTTAATTTATTTTTTAATTTTTTAATTTATTTTTTATTTCTTTTTAAAGATTTTATTTATTTATTTGAGAGAGAGAGAATGAGAGAAAGCGAGTACATGAGAGGGGGGAGGGTCAGAGGGAGAAGCAGGCTCCCCACTGAGCAGGGATCCCTACCCGGGACTCGATCCCAGGACTCCAGGATCATGACCTGAGCCGAAGGCAGTCGCTTAACCAACTGAGCCACCCAGGCGCCCCTTTAATTTTTTTATTTTAAAGGTTTTATTTATTTACTTGAGAAAGAGAATGAGAGAGAGAGCATGAGAGAGGGGAGGGTCAGAGGGAAAATCAGACTCCCTGCTGAGCAGGAAGCCAGATGCGGGACTTGATCCTGGGACTCCAGGATCATGACCTGAGCCGAAGGCAGTCGCTTAACCAACTGAGCCACCCAGGCGCCCCTCGTTTGGGGTTTTTTTGAGGAGAAGTTTTTTTGTTTTTTTTTTAAGTTTTAAGATCAGCAAAAAACTGGGGCACCTGGGTGGCTCAGTTGGTTAAGCGTTTGCCTTCGGCTCAGGTCATGATCCTGGGGGTCCTTGGATAGAGCCCCATATTGGGCTCCCTGCTCAGCGGGGAGTCTGCTTCTCCCTCTCCCTCTTCCCCTCCTCTCTCTCCCTCTCTCTCTCAAATACGTAAATAAAAATCTTAAAAAAAAAAGACTAATAAAAAACTGTTTTTAGGTGAAACAACCCTGACATGTGGCACTCCATTAAATTATACCCACTGCTGCTGAGCAGTTTCTAAGGTATATTTTTTACAGAAACGAGGGGCAAAAACATCACGCAGAGAACACCAATCTTAGAAAGTTACGAGTTCATTTCTGGAACATTCTCCAAATAACAAAACTTAGGATGGGGAAGAGATTGGGGTGGTCAGAGCTTAGGGACAAAAGGTGGAGGTGCGGTCAGCTATAAACGGGGAGCACAGCGAGAGCCTTTGTGAAGACAGAACTGTTCCATATCCTGACTGCGGTGGTGGTTACACAGATCTGTACATGGGTTCAAACTACGCACACATGCACACACACGCGCACACACAGCTGAACCAGCTATGTGGTCTAGCTCACGGTATTGTCCAACGCCGACTTCCTGGTTTTGATACTGGACTACAGTTATATAAGATTCCACCAGGAGAAAGAAAGGTGTACTATTTTTATAAACTTCCGGCAAGTCTATATAATCCTTTCAAGACAAAAAGTAAAAAAAAAAAAGCAGAATGAAGACATTCTCTATGTACTGATATAGAAAGATGTTCTAGGTATCTTAAGTAACATTTTAAACAGTAATAAAAAAGGAGGCAGAACAGCGTACATAATATGCTACTGATTTCGTAAGACAGGAGACAATAGGAACCTGTCTATTCTTTGGTCCTGCTTTTGTTTGCCGAATAGAAACTCTGGAAGGATAATCAAGAAACCAACAGAAGTGGTTGGGGGCACTCGAGGTGAGTGGGAGTAGGGCTGTGAACCATACCTGTCACTGCATACCTCTATCCCGATTTTATTTTAAACCCTGCATATTTATTACCCATTCATTAAAAAAAAAAAAGTAAATCTAGACCCCACATAACCGTTCAAATTTTATGATCTAGCCTCCTACCCCCTTCCTCCAGGTTCCCTCTGGGGAGTGCCCTCCGGGACCACCAGCAGCTGGTCCCCTTCTGCCCAGCTCTGAGCACTGGATGGATGTCCAGAGGCCTCCCCTGGGTACCTGCTAGGAGAGACCCTCCATTTCCTGACCTCCAGTGGTGGTTAACTGGTACTTCTCTTCTCACACGTATTGTGTTGATCCTGCGTTCTGATTATATCACAGTTCATCTTTCCAATCAGACTGGGAGCTCTGGAGCCATGGGGCTGGGTCTGGTTCCCTCCCCTCTCCTCCAAAACTTATTTCCCAAACCAGACATTCTCCATACCACCTTTGAAATTTCAACAGCATCTATGTAAAACCTGAATTTTTTTTTTCACTTAATATTTTTTCTGTAAAAAAAAAAAAAAATCAACTTTATTAACTGGGGTGCTTACTAGGGACCAGGCACTATTCCAGATGCTTTATATAAATTAATTCACACAAAATCTATTACAATTCGTTATTATCCTGATTTTATAAACGAGGCAAAGGAAGCAGAGAGGTCGAGTGATTTGCACAAGGCCACACAGCCTAATGGGTTGCGAAGCCAGGATCCGAAGACAGGTGTCGGCTCCAAAGTCTGTGTCCTTAACCACTACCTATTCTTGAGGGTGAGGAGGACAAGGGTCCCCCTGTACTGGGATTGAAGGGGTGGCGGGTGGCCCTTAGATCTTGGGGCTGTTGAGATAACCAATGTAAAATGATGTTACCCAATACTTCCCAACAACACAATCCAACATTTTCCATTTTTATCCCCATCTCGCCAATGACGAGACGGAGGCACAGAAAGATGCCTGGAATCACAGAGCTTGTTAAGTGGCAAAGGGGATGACTTGGTACAATAGCAACAGAAAACTAAGATGGTAACTAATTTTTTTAAGACTTTTTTTTTTTTTAATTTTATTTATTTATTTGAGAGAGAGAGAGGGAGAGAGCACGAGTCAGGTGAGGGGCAGAGGAAGAAGTAGACTCCCTGCTGAGCAGGGAGCCCAATGCGGGGCTCGATCCCGGGACTCCAGGATCATGATCTGAGCTGAAGGCTGATGCTTAACCGACTGAGCCATGGCACCCCAAGATGGCAACTAGCTTTCTAAACTGTTGCAGTGCCCCAGGCCCAATCCTTAGGCCCCCTCTCTGTCCCGTTTACACCCACTCCCTTGGAGATCTCATGCAATGTGATCATGGCCCCCAAATGTCTCACTCGGGCTGTCACTAGCCCTCTAAACTCAAGGTGGCACATCCTGGTTTTCTGCTCTGACATCTGGATGTCCAACCAACATCCCCACCTCAGTGGGACCAAAACCAAACTCCAGACAACACACACATACACATATTCCTTCTCCCACCTCTGCGGTGGTAGCTTTTGTCACCCAGCTGCTCCAGTCACTTGGAGTCCACTGCATGCCTATTTAACCATTAACAACAAAACAAAACACCGGACAATATCCAGTGCTGGTGAGGATGTGGAACAATGGGAAGTCTCATACTTTTCTGGAGGGAATTCAACATGGTTCGGTCACTTTTGGAGAAACCTGGCAGCTTCTCAAACGGTGAAGCATATGCTTACCATATGACCCAGCAACCCTACTCCGAGGGATTTACCCGGAGACCTCCTACGTGCACACAAAACCCTGTAAGTGAATGTTTACTGCAGCGGATCTGTTTACAGTCACCAAAAATGATCCAAATGTCCTCCCACGGGGAATGGATGAACAAACTCTGGTACATCCTACAACTTGCTGAACAGTATCCCACTGTAGGATGTACTAAAGCTTGTTTACACTCGCTTGGCAATAAAAAGGAATATTCAGGTACGCTGCAGGGACGGAGAGGGACCGATAGTTGCCGGCGGCGGGGGGAAGGGGTACCTAGAGACGAGGAACACAATCACTTTTTGGAGTGATAAAACTGTAGTATCTTGATGGTGGTGGTCTTTATACATAATTCTACACATTTCAAAATCGACAGAACTACACACCAAAAAGAGTACGTTCGCTATATGTAATTTTTTAATTTAAAAAAAAAAAAAAAAAAAAAAAAAAAACGGGATGCCTGGGTGGCTCAGTCGTTAAGCGCCTGCCTTCGGCTCAGGTCGTGATCCCAGAGTTCTGGGATCGAGCCCTGCATGGGGCTCCCTGCTCAGTGGGGTGTCTGCTTCTCCCTCTCCCTCTGCCCCTACCCCCTGCTTGTGCTCTCTCGTCTCAAATAAATAAAATCTTTAAAAAAACAAAAACAAAAACAATCCTTGGACTGTTGATTCACCTGATTCACCTCTTTTCTCATACCCCAAACTCATCGACCCACGAATCCCACTGGCACTGCCTCCCAAAGACCACGGTCAACCACCTCTCAGCATCCCACGGCTCCGAGTGCAGGTCCGGCTACCGCGACCCCCAGCCTGCTGTACTAACCCCTTACTCTCCTCCTCCCCAGCAGTTAGCACAACTGGATCTTCTAAATTAGGTTTTGTCTCACTCTCTAGAGTACTGCTTCTAACACAATTCTCCACATGATAGAAGCGTTCTATACCTGCAGAGTCCAAAAAGGTCACTCTATCCATATGTGGCTTCACGTATTTGAAATGCAGCCACTGAGGAGCTGAGATTTTCATCTGTTTCTCATGAGCTTAAATTTAAATCTCTACATGGGGCCAGCTGCTACTATTAAGCGGTACAGGGCTAAAACGCTGAGTTCCACAAAGATAAGGATTTTGTCCATTTTGTTCAGCGATATGGCCCCAGGACCTAAAACGGTGCCTGGTACTGAATGCACTGGCCCATATGTATGCCTTTACTTAAAAATCAGGGTAACAGGGGCGCCTGGGTGGCGAAGGTGGTTGAGCTCCCAACTCTTGTTTTCCGCTCAGAGCACGATCTCAGGGTCGTGAGATTGAGCCCCACGTCTGCTCCACACTGGGCATGGAGCCTGCTTGGGACTCTCCCTCTCCCTCCACCCCTCCCCTGTCTCAGATAAATAAATCTTTTTAAAAAAATCAGGGTAACAAAAACATCATTACTAAAGAATTTAGGCTCCATAAGCAGGATCTTTCAAAATCCACAGGCCATGTCACAAGGAGCACGATATCAAAGGGTCTTTAAACAGTTTGAGGATGACCAGCCAAAAGGCTCAAGTCTTTTCCTTCTCATTAATAAAAGCTCACGTTTCCTGACCTGTCTGTTCCCTTGACCACCCTCCATCCGTGGAAAGTATTTTACATCATTCCCCTAAATATGCTACTCTCACCCTCTGAAGCTCAGAACAGCTCAGCATCACCCAAAAGACAATGAGGAAGCTGGGACAGGAGAAGGAAAGTGAGTAGTTCAGGGCCACACAGCCAGCCAATGGTGGATCCCAGAAACATAGAGGGCCAGTTCTAAGAACCTCACCTGGGATTACGTGTAAAATATTCCAGCCTGCTCCCAGACCTACTAATCAGAAGCTCTGGGAATAGAAGGGGGACCTGCAGGCTTAGCAAGCTCTCAGGGATCCTAAGATAAGATGAAATTAAGGTCTTGGGGTGCCTGGGTGGCTCAGTCATTGGGCAACTGCCTTCGGCTCAGGTCATGATCCCAGGGTCCTGGGATCGAGCCCCGCATCGGGCTCCCTGCTAGCCGGAGAGCCTGCTTCTCCCTCTCCCACTCCCCCTGCTTGTGTTCCTGCTCTCGCTCTCTCTCTCTCTGTCAAATAAATAAATAAAATCTTTAAAAAAAAAAAAAAAGAAAGAAATTAAGGTCTTACTTAGACCCCACTGGCCTTTCCCTCATGCCTCCCTGAGGCTAAAAAGTCAGAGATTCAAACAGGATGAAATGGGGTTGGAGGCCAAGAAGTGATGTGTCCTTCATCCCACGTCCTGCTGTCTCTCCTCAATGATTCCCCTCGGCTTTCAGATGCCAGCCCCCCTTTCCAAATGCTCATCTCTTCTCCCAGCCAAGTGCACCCCGCCCCCCCTTGCCTTATCCCTCAAGCCTACCCCTCTCCTAAGGACATCAATATCCTTTTCTCTCCGCTCCCCAAGCTCCTCTGGCCCTCCCTCCACCCCTTAGGGCAACGATAAGCCGAGACTTTTGAGTTACTCTCTCCAGGGCCCCTTCCCTTCCCAGGCCTTGGCCTCCCAGCACTGTGGTCCAACCCTACCTCCGCTCCGCCCCCCTCATCCGGCAACCACAAAGCCAGACCTCTCCTTATACAGAAGGGTCCCGACCTTTCCTAAGGCCTTGGCCTAGACCTGGACCAGACCACTGACCTCTCTGCCCCACCTCCGTCCAGAGGGATCCTCCCCCCACACCGTCTAAAGCCGACGCCACTTCTCCCTCTCCTTAAACCTTTCCCCGGGCCCGCCTCCTAGCGTCTGGCCCCGCCCGCTAACAAACTTTGCCCCGTCCCCACCCCAGGGGGGGGTGCCCACCTCCTGCCCAGGCGCGCCCCCAGTCCAGCTGTAGCTCCCTCCTCCCATTTGCAGCTATTGTACTCCCCAGATGTGCATTCTGGTTCTAGACAGGTGGGCCTGTCTCCCCGACCACCCAATTTCCGATGGCCCCGCCCACCGAGCCCCCTGGGGACTTCCGTGACCACGCCCCTCGTGGTAGCCCCGCCTCCCAGGCCTCTCCTCAAACCCTGTCGGGTCCTACTGACTCTGGCCCTCGACTACCCTCTACCTGGCCCTCTCCTTCTGGCGGACGCCCCCCGGTGCCCCGTAGGGACCCGCTGCCGGCGCTCTCCCTTCCCCGCCGCTCTCTCGGCCGCCTGAGCGTCCCTCACGCCCGCTCCCCTGCAGCCGACCGACCCGGCGGAGCCGTGGGCCCGGAGCGTACGACACGCGCGCCACCCTCCAGTTTCCCAGCCCCGCGTCGGCGGCCCCACTTGCCTCTCGCCAGCCCCGCGTGCCACTGTCCTGCGCGTCACACCCGGAACCGCTCGGCGCCCGACCGCAGCCCTCAATTCGCGCCACGGAATTCGCGCGCAGACTTTGGCGGGCGGGGGCGGGGCCGTAACGAGGGGCGGGGCCCGGGCGTCGTCCGCGCCGCCGCTGCCTCCCGGAGGACGCTGGGAGTCGTAGTCTCCCGGACGGGAGGCTACAAGGAAAGGGGTGAAGTAGGGTGAGCCCTCCCGCAGGGCACTGTGGGAAACGGTCCGCGCCTTCCCTCGCTCTGGGTGGGCGGGTGTAGCTGCGGGTCTGAGAAGTGACTGGCGGGGAAAGAGGGAGATTCGGTGGAAGCCGCTGCGCGAGGCACGGCGGGAAGAGAGGCGGGAGGCCGCGCGGGGCATCCCGGGAGCAAGGGCCGGGCCTGGCCTCGGCGCGGAGCATTGTGGGAGGTGGACGCCGCTCCGGGGCGGGTAGGTGAGTGGGGAGGGGCGGGAAGGGTGCACATCTGGGGGAGGGGAGAGGCACAGCTGGGTGGGACAGCGGAGATGGGAGGGCCCGCGGCAGGAGGGGCTGGGAGGGCTTGGGGAGGCGGAAGCGGGTTGGGAGGGGCTGCACGGGGGCGGGGGGGAGGCGCAGCTGGACGTGGGGGAGCATCTGGGGTGATGAAGCCCATCTGAGGACGAGGGGCCATGTCTAGAACCAGAATGCACATCTGGGGAGTACAATAGCTGCAAATGGGAGGAGGGAGCTACAGCTGGACTGGGGGGCGCGTCTGGGCAGGAGGTGGGCACAGACAAGTATTGGTGACACTTCTGAGAATTGGCCACAAGTGAATGAGGCACACACTTGTGGGCGAAAAGTACATATTGGATGTGAGAAGGACATCTGGATATGGGAGCCTCTCGGAGGTAGGGGCTACAGCTGGATGTGACGACCCATGGGGTCACATCTGGGGCAACAGCTTTATATCGGAGACACATCCAGGGAGGAGGGAGCCACAGGTGCGTGAAGAATATGACTGGGGATGAGGGGTCCATGACTGGATGCGGGAGCACATCTGGACATGGAACATCTTTAGAAGAGGGCAAAAATGGATGTGAGTTACAGCCAAGTGTAGACACGTAGAAGGGGGGTTTCATATGAATGGGGGCATTAGAGGTTATGGCCAAGTATAGGAGATATATCCGGAGGGGGGAGGAGGTCTTAGCTGGAAGTTGGGAATACATTGGAGGTGTCCACCACTGAACTTAAGGGTTATATTTTGGGAGAGGGACCCCAACTGTACCTAGGGACACATCTACAGGGGCCAGAGCTGAAATCAGGGATCAGGATGACAGGCTCCAGCTGTCCCAGGAATAATGCAGAAATGGGAGAAAGCCAAAGATGGAGTGTAGATTCATATCTAGATATTAACGGGGGTGCATCCCGCCCTGGGCCCCACCTAGAAAGAGGCACCAGGACCAAAGAGGCAGGCGGAAAATGGAGGAAGTGGGATACCCCTGGTGGGGATGGGTCTGATATCCACATGACCTCCCTTCCACTCAGGCGCCCCAGGATGGAGTCCCCACCCAGCACGGCGGGGCAGGAGGAGCAGGAGCTGCGGGAGCGTGCCTTCTTCTCATGGGCCGAGTTCAGCCGCTTCTTCGACGCGTGGTGCCAGCAGCGGCTGGCGCTCTTCTTCGTCAAGAGCTCCATGCACCTGGCGCGCTGCCGCTGGGCCAGCGCGCCCCCGCTCTACACGCTCATCGACGTGCTCAAGTACAGCTACGTGCGGCTCGTGTGCAAGGACGTGCGCGCGCCCAGCCGGCCCACCGTGGGGTGCGTGAGCTGAGCCGTGCCCTGCTGGGGGGTGCTGGGGGGGAGGGGGAGGAGTAGGCAGAGAGCCCCCCACCAAGAGATGGGGAGGGAGAGATGCCTACCAAAATAGCTAAGTACACCTTGCAGAGAAGCCAAGACAGTCCCAGAGAAAGGCAGACAGCCAGTGAGCTGGAAGTACAAAGGCATGCACAGTGAGTGACAGGGCAGGCTCCAATTACAGACTTTAATAGGGACTTAGAGGCAGAGAGTGAGATGGACACATTGGAGAAAGCCAAAAAAAAAAAAAAAAAAAGACAATATTCCAGAAACATGGAGACATGGAGCCAGAGACTCCAGCCAGAACCAGAAAAATGGGTGAGAGCCAGGTTTGGGACACCTACAAAGAGGTCAGAGACAGAGCTGCAGAGTAAACCACAGGACAAAGAGAGAAAGACCCATCTGTTGATTCAGTAAATACAGGGCCAGGTCCCACATGGGGGCTAAAGATACTTCATTGGGGTGAGAAGGTGTTGAGCAGGATAGACAAATCCCCTGCCCTCCTGGCATGTTCAGACTGAACAGGAAGGCTGACATTATATGAACAAGCTCACAAATAAGCTCCCTATAAGTGTAACACTACAAGGGGCAAATGAAAAATCCATGAGAGAGCTAGGAGATACACTCAGCTGGCCAAGGAAGTTTTAATCGCGCCCCCCCCCACCCCCAGTCTTAAACCAGAGCCCTGTCCATAAAATGTTCGGTTTCCGGCTTTTCTTGAAACATGGGAAGAGGCTGAGCCCACGTTCTTGTGTGGCAGACGGCCACTGCAGTTAGATGGGGCATTGGCGCTCAGGTTTGCCCCAGACCCCACCGCTCCCTGTTACCTCACACTTAGCCCTGCCACTTCCGTGTTTCGCCTGCCTGGTCTCTATAGGTGCGCATGAGTTTCAGACCCTTGGTTGGAGAGCCATGGGCAAGAACGGGGCGCTTAAAATCAGGCTCTGCCTTCAGGCCGCTTGAGACTGGCCCCAGCACTTCCGGGGTGGGTGTCTTTGGGCAACAGAAATCACATCTCTGAGTGGGGTTTCTCCTCTCTGAAATGGGGTTCTCGCAGAGCTGTTGGAAGGTTACCGTGAGACCAAGCACAGGGAGGCACTTCCCCGGTGCCTGGAACGTGGGGCGGCTGGGTAAATGACAGCTGTTCTGCAAGTCAAGAGCACAAACTCGGGAGCCGCCAGGCTTGCCTCAAGCCCCAGGCCTGCTGGGATTAGCCAGGGACACTGAGCAAGTGACATCACCTTTCTGGGTCTCAGTTTCCTGACTTGGAAAATGGAGGAAGTGATGGTAATGACCGATCCCAGGTTTTGTGAGGATTAAATGAGCTGATACATGCAAATCGCCCTTCGAACAGAGATTCTCGCCGTAGTCACTGAAACATTTATTGAGAGATTACTGTTCTTGGTAGTTTACTCCCTGCTTATCTAGAAACAGAGACTCAGAGGTCAGGAAGCAGAACAGGATCAAACACACACATCATCACAGAGAAATCTAGAACGTTTGAGCTTGTGAGTGGCTTAGGCCCAATCTGGACTCTCTCTTTGTTAACAAAACCCAATTCGAAGTAACAAACACTTATTGAGCACCTACTGTGTGCATGCTCTTTGCTGGGCATTTGGAGCCTGCTGCTCTTGAGCAGCTGAGAACCTAATAGAGGAGAAAAAGACCAAAAAAAAAAAAAAATTGGAAATCAGGGCTCACAATTGTGAGAGAGAAGAAGTTAGAGAGTGGGAGGGAGGAGGGAAAAGAGGAGTGGTCAGCTCAGCTCCACCTGAGAGCTTACAGGGTGCTTCTGGAAGGCTTCCTGGAAGAGGTGACCAGTAAATGGAAACTTGAAGGATTCTCTTTGTTTATACATTTATATATGTATGTATTTGACTTAAACACATGGCACTTGCTATGTGCAGGCACTGTCCCCAGTGCTCTGCAATTATCAGAGGGAGACAGGAGGGGCTGAGAGCAGGGGCAGCTCTGGGGTAGGATGATCCCTCCCGGGGCCTTGTCGGGGACAGACTGGAGGAGAGAGACGGGAGGCCAGCCAGGAGGCTGGGGCCAAGGGGCCTGAGAACACACCTCAGAGCTTTCTCCCTGGCCACTCCAGCCCCCTTCCCCAGACGTTGCCCTGCAACCTCCCCCAAATCACCATCCCGCCTCTTCCCCCTCCGGCTCCAGCCCTCTGCTCTGCACAACCCCCAGCCTCTCTCAGCGCTTCCCTCTCTAGAATACACACACCAGCCTTTGAAAACACAAAGAGCTTGAGAACCTGAAAGATCAAGAAAAAATGGGTACATGGAGAGCAAAACAGCTCAAAGTGATGGTACTTTTAGAAGAAGAAAAATGGGGGAAATAGCAGGCTCGTTTTTATTAAGTGCTTACTGTGCACCAGCCCCTTGTCTAACTATTTTGCGTAACATAATCCTCTTCTGTACTCTCGATGAACCTACGAGGTGGTATTCTTATTAGCCCTAATTGCTACATGAGAAAATGAGCACAGAGAGGTAAAAGGAATTTCCCAAGATAACCCAGCTGCCAAGAGGGGGAAACCAGGATGAGGACCCACACAGTTTGACCACAAAGCCCATGTTTTTGGTCCCCTCTCTCTTCCCTCCCCTACCCCTCGTCTTTATTTCAATCATAGATTATTGATATGAGAGTCAAATGTGGTCCTAGGTGCCATGCTGTTTGTCCATCCGAGAGCTTTGTTTCAAGCACCTGCTATGTGCAAGGGTGAATGTGTTTTTAGATCACGGGAGTTTCAGTGGAAGAGCACCCCATTCAGTGAAGAGCATGCATTACAGATGGGCATCCATCAGATCCTCACCCCAATGTGTGATGAAATCTGCCTGGGGATGGTCAGAGAAGGCTTCCTGGAGGAGGTGACGCTGCTTCTGAGTTGTGAAGGAGGAATAGGAGCTAACTAGAGGAAAAGAAGGGAGAAGGATGTTTCATGAAGAAGGAAAGAACTGAGTAGGGTTGCTGGCAGTGGGAATGGGGAAACGTGGATGGTCTGATGAGTTTTAAGGCATGATAGGCAGGCCTGGGTGCTGAGTGGCCTGATGTAATGGGCGCAGTGCCTGGGTGCCTGGGGTTCCTACAACGAGATTCTGTCATTCCTCATCATCTATTTACCGAGCGCCTCCCAGGGGCCAGGGGCTGTTCTTAGTGCTGGGACTATAGCAGTAGGCAAAACAGATTCCTGCCCACATGGAGTTCACATGTAGAGGTGGGTGGCATTCTTCTCCCCAGCTGGGTGTAGAGAAATGCAAAAATAGTGTGCTGAGGCCACAGTAGACAGTTATGTGAGGTACAGGGACCCCAGGGGATGTGCTATTCTCTGGCAAGATGCACAGCTTCCCAGAGGTGTGGCCTCCCCTGAGTGGGGGCTTGTTCTAAAGCCTGAACCAAAAGAGTCAGCCAAAAGAGGCCAGGCCAGAGAGTTTCACAAGAGCCCGCGAGTTAGCCAGGGGAAACGTGTCAGGTAGAACCCTGTGAACGGGCCATGGTTTTGGTAAATCAAAAATGGCTGCATGTCGGAAATGTCTTTTGGTTCCACCTAACACCTCTAGGGTGGCTCCACATTTGTATTTTATTTATAATGATTTGGAGACTTAGACTTTTTCTAATTTCGCATTATTTTTGTTGCTTTAAATAAGGCAAAAAGTCTCAAGCTTTTTATGTAGATTTAAAAAATCTAGCAGGCTCCTGGTTTTCCTTTACCTCCTGCATGGAGCAGAAAAGGGACGTGTCAAGGATCCCCTTCTGGTTTAACAAAGACAGTTCTTAAGTATTTATACTGGAGAGTGTTGGGGTAGGTTCTGGGGAGGCTCACCCTTCTCTGGGGCCATTTGGAAACAATTTAGGAGCATTTTAGGGCATGCTACTCATTTACCGCCTGTGAGTCACCCTTCTTAATTACTTGCCAAGCCCTGGACAATCTATGTTACAAGGGCTGACAAGCTGTGAGGACCTTGGGCCAAATCCACCCTGCAGCTGTGTTTTGGTTTTTTGTTTGTTTGTTTGAAGATTTTATTTTATTTATTTGACAGAGAGAGACACAGCGAGAGAGGGAACACAAGCAGGGGCGAGTGGGAGAGGGAGAAGCAGGCTTCCCGCAGAGCAGGGAGCCCGATGCGGGGCTCCATCCCAGGACCCTGGGATCATGACCTGAGCTGAAGGCAGACGCTTAACGACTGAGCCACCCAGGCGCCCCTGCAGCTGTGTTTTGTAAATAAAGTTTTATTGGAACACAGCCAAGCCCATGCATTGACATACCATCTATGGCTGTTTTCACAGTACAGCAACAGAGTCTGTTTACCGTCTGTCCTTTTGCAGAAAAAGAGTGCCAATCCCTGCTCTATGAACATAAGCCTCCTACGCAAAATGCCAATATCATTCCTCATGGAGAAACACGGAACCTCCTTTCAGAAAGCAGATGTCAATAATAAATATTATTATCATGGAAATGCACCCTGATTCCCCTCTCCCCCCCCTCCCCCGCCCCTGCATTCTCTTTCATTTTTTACAATGCTGGTTGTAGCTCCCTGATCGATTTCAGCTAATGGGTGGGCCATGCCCTGCAGCTTCAGGGCCTCTGTCCTAGACAGGCTCTTGCTCACACACAGACAGACAAAAGAGTTGGGTGTCATCAAAGCGTTGTTTGTAAAAAGGGAGGAGAGGAGACAACATGCAGTTGGCAGAGGGGGCACCTGGCTGGCTCAGTCGGTTGAGCATGCGACTTTTGATCTCGGGGTTGTGAGTTCGAGCTCCACCTTGGCTATAGAGATGACTTAAATAAAATCTTAAAAAAAGAAAAAAAACCACCATACAGTTGGCAGAGTTGCGAGTGGCATATTAGGCAGCAAAAGGAATGAACCAATGCTGAAAAGCTGATGAGTGAGAAAGCAAGTTGCAAGAGTATATAGAGAGAGTGGGGTTAGTTTCCCATTGCTATTGTAACAAAGTATCACAAATGTGGTGGCTTAAAACAATGCAAATGGGTGATCTTAGAGCTCTGAGGGTCATCAGTCCAGCACCAGTCTCACGGGGCTAAAATCGAGGTGTCTGCAAGGCTGGTTCCTTCTGGAGGCTCTAAGGGAGAATCTTCGAGAGGCGCCGGCATTCCTGGCTTGTAGCCTCTCCTAGGCTTGCTGCCCCTCCAGCAGAGAAGCATCTTTCTCTCTCTCTCTCTCTCTCTCTCTCTCTCTCTCTCTCTCTGAGTTTGACTTGCCTCTCTGGCTTCTTGCTTCTGTCTTCCCCTTTTAAGGACCCTTGGGGGTACACTGAGCCCACCTGGATAATCCAGGATCATCTCCTCATCTCAAGACCCTTAATTTAATCATATCTGCAAAGTCCCTTTTGCAGTGCACGGCAATGTTTGCACAGCTCCAGCAACTAGGACGTGAACATCCTTGAGGGGCTCTTCTGCCTACCATTCGCTAGAAAGGAAAAGTTTCCTAAGTAAACTTTTTAAAAGCGTAACACACATGAAGAAAAGCACACGCATCATAATGTATGCAACTCAGTGAATTTCTCCCAAACAAAATGCCCATGTAACCAATACCCAGAACAAGGGAATACACGTGCCCAGTGCCAACCTCCCCATAGTGTTAACCACTCAAGGGTAACCACTCCCCGGTCTCCTAACAGCAGAGGCCACCTTTGCCTCTTATGGAACTTGCGATAAACCTGACACGGGGTGGCTTGTCATCTTTCACACAGCGGATCTGCGAGATCCGACCACGTTGCTGGCAGCAGTAATGGCTTGTCCATTCTTACTTTTGGTCAGGGTCGTATTTGAGGATATAGCCTTACTTATTTTCCTGCCCTCCTGGTGGATGTCGGGTTGTTTCAAATACCTGGCTGATATGAACAGGGCTGCTGTGAACATTCTAGTACAATCTTTGGGTGCCCATCTTCAGGCATTTGTCTTGAGTGGAAATACTGGGTCACGGGGAGACACGTGATCCGCATTAACAGATACTGTCACACGGTGACAAGTGACAAGTAAACTCCGATCGACGAGAAGTTAAGTGTGGCGCTTTCTCCACATCCTGGTCTGTGCTTTTATTTGGTCATTCTGGCGGTGGGTAGTGGCATTTCCTGGGGCTTTTCATTCGTATTCGCTAGATGACTGATGAGTTTGAGCACCTTTCCGTGTATACGAGCTTTTAAAACCTGGGAACCTACCTTCCACTGTTTATGGGTACCCAAAAACACACAGGAAAGGCTAGATACCCAATTTGGGAAGTGGCTACTTTGGGGGACCGAGGAGGACTTTGGGGGGACAGAGTCCCCAGAGGCCCTCAACTTGCCATGCTGGTCTTGCCAAATGTGAAGTGGATACAGGAGTCTCTGAAGTGTTTTATTTCTTACAGTTGTTTGAGGTAAATAAAATATCCCTTCGCTTTTGATAGAGACGGGGCGGTAGGCACAGAGGGGCAGCCAACACGGGGGCTGGCTACGTTGCAGACACAGTTAAGTGCTGTCCATACATCCACTCTTTCAATCCTCACAACAACCCCAGGAGAAAGGTCTGGTGCCGATGATCTCCCTTTCAACATAGGAGGAAACTGAGGCACAGAGGCTTGAAGGGACTTGCCCGAGGTCACGCAGCTGACAGATTCGGAAGGCCCTCTCTCTTCTCGATGCTTGCAACAGTCCTTAATTTTAGAGGAAATAATAATTAAAAAGGAAGAGAGAGAGAGAGCAGGAGGACGAGGGCAGAGGGTGATGTGACGGCGGCGGTGGTCGTTCTCCCGCAGGCCCCCCCAGCCCGGCTGCCCGGCCTTCATCATCGTCAAGCTGAGCCCGCTGCGGGACCGCCTCGTGGTGACGGAGTGCCAGCTGACCCACTCGCACCCGGCCTGCCCGCTCGAGTTCGCCTACTACTTCCGCCCGGGCCACCTGCTGGCCAACGCCTGCCTGCCGGTGCGCACCACCAACAAGATCTCCAAGCAGTTCGTGGCGCCGGCCGACGTGCACCGCCTGCTCTCCTACTGCAAGGGCCGCGACCACGGCGTCCTGGACGCCCTGCACGTGCTCGAGGGGCTCTTCCGCACCGACCCCGAGGCCAAGGTGGGGTCTCGGGAGAGGCAGGCGGGGGCGGGGGAGAGCCCCGCCCGAGCCTCACGGGTCATTCATTCATTCATTCATTCATCCGCCCACTCATCCATTCGCTCCTTTCATCCTTCCCCCTCGCCCCCATTCGGTCATTCACTAAGTGCCCACTGCGGCCTGGAGGGGGCCGCAGCCTGCCAGACACCCGTGGTCCCCGCCCGCAGGGACCCCTTGGGGGTGCTGCACCGCCCGGTAGGGTAGCCCCCGGCCACACGTGACTGTTGAGCACTCGCAATGTGGCCAGTAGGACCGAGGAACCGAATTTTAAATTTTATTTCACCTTAACTCCTTGAAATTTAAAGAGCCACTCCTGGCTATTGGCTACCTTGCAGAGGAAGCTGCTAGAATCACCTTGCAGTTGTAGTGGGGGACACCAACAAGAGACAGACACACGCAACTGTGATAAAATGTCAGGAGGGTTGGGGCGAGGAAGAAGAGGTGACAGAAAGTGCCATGTAGAAAAACCGAACCACACACATAGAAAATGCGCAGATGAGAAGTGCATAGTTGGAGGAATGTCCACCAAGTGAAAACAGCCCTTCCCCACCACTCAGATCAAGACTCAGAAGAGAGGGTCACCTTTGTCACCTAAGGAGATGGAGTGAGGAGTAGTGACAAGGAGAAGAGGGTGAGGACATGGAGAGGGGCAGTTAGTTGTAAGGGTGCTATTTTAATTTTTTTTTTTTTAAAGATGTTACTTATTTATGTGAGAGAGCACAAACCGGGGGGGAGAGGCGGAGGGAGAGGGAGAGGGAGACGCAGGTTTCCTGCTGAGCGGGGGACCCAATGCGAGACTCCATCCCAGGACCCTGGGATCATGACCTGAGCCGGAGGCAGATGCTCAATCGACTGAGCCACCCAGGTGCCCCTGTAAGGGTACAATTTTAATCTGAGTGGTCAGGGAAGATCTCGCTAAGGAAATGCTGGTGAAGCAGAGGAGGCAGAATGGAGGCAGGAGACCCCCATTCTATCTTCAGAGGGACAGGAGTTCCAGGCAGAAGGAATAGCCAGTGCAAAGGTTCAGAGGCTGGAGCACTCCCACTGTTCCTCCAAGAGGAATCTTTCTGCTGCTTTCATCCAACTTCAGAGCTGGGGTGGATGTGCAGGGAGGAAGTGGAGGGAGGGGAGAAACTAGGTTCTCCCCCTGGCTGTGCTTTTCTCTTACGTATGGGAGAATCCCAACCCCGGGTAGTGGTGCAGTGTGAACCCACTCTCCAGAATCAGGTCCAGAGCACTCCCCCCACCTCCATCTCATGCTCAGGAACCAGCCGTGATTCAAGCCACCAACACAAACCCAGCCCTCTATCCACACATCATATGGATCATTTTAGTTCACATTATCAAGCACTGACTAGGTGCCAAGCACTACCCTAAGTGCTTTGCGTGTTATAATTCATTTAAATCGCACCAAAGCGTGTTGAGGAAGGAGGCCACCATTCTCCCTTCCATTTTATAGACAAGGAAACTGAAGCACAGAGAGGTCAAGGAATTGGCCCGGGGTCACACAGCTACTTAATGATGGAGCTGGACTTCAGACCTACACAGTCTGGATCCAGGGCCGTGCTCTTCACTGCTCGGCTATTCCCCAGTTTAGAAATGAGGCTCGGGCCCCTTCCCATCAGGGCTAGCCTCCGGAGAGCTGAGGGTCCCAACCAAGTCAGTTTACTGCTCTGTAAAACGGGGCTACACGTGCCACTGGTCTTCGCTGAGCTATTCAGTTCTCCACTATCCACCGTCAAATAAATAAGCCTTGGCTGTCTTCCCCGCAGACACCTATGTAGGGCTGCCCCCGTGAGAAGCCGCTCATCGACAAACAAAAGCCTTCAAGGTCAAGGGATTGTCCTTTTAACTTCCAGTTTGGAGGCTGCCATAGAATCCAGGCTAAACCAAGGTTGCCTCCTGGGTCCGTCTTTGGGTCCACCTTAATCCTTTTAAAGGAAACAAGGAAGGGGTTCCTGAACATCAAGAGAGAGACCAGTGAAAGGATTATTCCTTTTTTTTTTTTTTTAAGATTTTATTTATTTATTTGACAGAGAGAGAGAGAGCGCGAGAGAGGGAACACAAGCAGGGGGAGTGGGAGAGGGAGAAGCAGGCTTCCCGCCGAGCAGGGAGCCCGATGCGGGGCTCGATCCCAGGACCCCGGGATCAGGACCTGAGCCGAAGGCAGACGCTTAACGACTGAGCCACCCAGGCGCCCCTCTTTTTTTTTCAACATTTAAATATTGACTTTTTGAATACGTAACACGTTCACATGCTTCTAAATCCAAAAGGTACGAAGTTTCAAAAGGTGAAAAGTCCCCTTGTCACCTCCTGTCCCTCAGGTCCCCTCCTCAGAGGCCACCAGAGTATCTGTTCTTCATACATCTTTCTATTCTATGGCTCTGGGCTACCGGGGGGAACTTTCTATGATGATAGAAATGACCTGTGTCCCCTGGACTCATGTAGCTCTCAAGCATCCACAATGTGGCCAATATGATGGAGGAACTGGATTTTTAATTTAATTTAATTAATCGCAATTTAAACAGCCACTGGCTTCACACTGAACAGCCCCACCCCATAGGTATACAGGGAAATTTGTCTTTCATTTTCATTTTATTTCCACTTGCTCCCCTCCTCCAGCATATTAGACATCCTTTTTTTTTTTGCACCTTGCTTTAGATGTTGGGGCTGGCCATATGTCAGCATCTTTCGTTTCTTCCTCTGGGGCTGGTCATCTTTAACTTCTTGCCTGCGGGGGTAAGGGCCAAGCTGCCAGCTTCTGGGAGCCACATGGGGGAAGAGCGCTGGGGACCTGGCTTTGGGGCAGCAAGATGCATGGACACCCTGTCCCTCATCAGATGGACCCGTTGTCCCCAAGGCCAGCAGCACTTCCTTTTTTTTTTTTTTTTTAAGATTTTTATTTATTTATTTGAGAGAGAGAGAACATGCCCATGAGCATCAGGGAGGAGCAGAGGGAGAAGCAAGCTCTCCGCTGAGCGGGGAGCCCAATGCGGGACTCGATCCTAGGACCCTGGGATCATGACCTGAGCCAAAGGCAGACGCTTAACCGACTGAGCTACCCAGGCTCCCCGGCCAGTGGCCCTTTCTATTCTACCCTTTTCACAGAATAAACCTCCAGCCACCTGGGAGTGAGAGGAAACTTGACCTTAGAGGTCTACCTGCTTCTTTTATTTTTTTATTTTTTTTATTTTTAAAGATTTTATTTATTTATTCATGAGAGAGAGAGAGAGAGAGGCAGAGGGAGAAGTAGGCTCCCAAGGAGCAGAGAGCCCGATGTGGGACTCGATCCCAGGACCCTGGGATCATGACCTGAGCCGAAGGCAGACGCTTAACCATCTGAGCCACCCAGGCGCCCAGTCTACCTGCTTCTTAAACAGCCATCGACTTGTCTATTTTAACCTCCCCGCACTGCCTAGCGCTGCCAATTCCTTTTGAAGATGCTACTATCCGTCCTCAGCATTTTGCAGTTGCTGGCTCAGGAATCATGGGGTTCAGGGTTTGGCTTTTGTTTTGCAGGGGATGGGGGGTGGGGAGTGGCCATCTTGTCCAAATGCTTGCCGGCTTCCCAAATTTGGTTCCTGTTGTCTCTTTTCCTATTGCTCCTGTCTTTAAAAAAAAAAAAAAAAAGTCCTTTTCTATGGAAACCTCTACTTGAGGTTCAGGGAAGATAAAGTTAGAGTCTGGCCAACCTGTCACCTTTACATGGCAGTTTCGGGTGGCTCTTTTCAGTCATGAGATATATTGAACGAGTTCTGTATTATTACTATGTTAGGATAATAATTCTTTATCTGGTCCCAAGACGAGGCTAAGCAACAACCAGATATTATGCTCTCTGCTTCCCAGCAGTCTCATGTAGGAGGGATGACTTTGTTTTTTGGTTTGGTTTGGGTTTTTTGGTTTTTGGGCTTTCTTTTGTAGTTGCTGCTTTGTTTTTGTTTGTTTCTGTTTTGGAGGGGTTACTTTGAAAAGCTGAATGCCTGGGACCCCCTGAGTGTCGGTGACCCACTTGGTCCTGGGAGGGGGTCCAGCAAGACTAGTGTACCCAAAGGCCACTGCCACAGTTTGTGGGCAAGACTGAGTAGCTGCTTCAACGAGGGAGGTGTTAAGACCTTTTATAATCTGCCCCGAGGCTGCGATGATGTGCTGCGGTGTTAGTTACATCTCCATCGCCTCGTTTGTGGCAGGCTCTAGGGTAATCGGCAAGCTTTCTGGGCAGAGATGGAGCTTGCACAGAGATGTTGGACCTTCTGTCATGGGTGTGCTTCGCCTTCTGAGAAGGAGGACCGTTGATCTGAGTGTGCCACTTTTATGAATAGTGAAAGGTAAACTGGTACAGTCACAGTGGAGGGCAACTGGGCAATGTCTATCAAAATGAGCACTTGGGCCCCTCTCCCACTGCTGGGAATTTATGCTTCACAGGTGCGGGTGACTTAGAAGGTTAATCACCTATTTTCTGGGTCCTAGAGTAACAGCTAGAAACTGGTTTTATTTATCTTGTGAGGTGCCAAGAGCTTTCTCTACATTCCAGCTGTGCCGTTTACTGGCCGTGGGACATCCAACAAGGTGCGACAAGTTACTTCTCCAAGCCTTAGTTTGTTCGTCCGTAGAATGGGGATAAGAATAGGTACTACTTCATAGGGTTGTTGTGGGAGGATTAAGTGTGTGTATGTGCGTGTCTGTGTGAAAACAGTTAAGTAGGAAGCCCTGTATGGGTAGCTATTTAGGTATTATTTTTATTCCCTCAAGTTTTTCTTCGGGCCAGTCTGGAGAATAGTACCGTTCCGATCACATGGAAACAGGGGTGTGGATGGAGAGCGTTTCGTGGCGTGGTTTCTGATGTTCACATTTGTGGAATCCACCATCTGTGGTTGACGCATCCCAGTGTCACCGATTTGTGTGTCTGAGGTGACACCTGCCCTCAGGTGAGCCCTCATATCTGCCAGCCACCTGCCCTTGAATCAGGCCTGTGGGATCACTTTCGTGAAGGCCAAGGGGGTACAGCGGTCAGGAGCGCGGACTCCAGGCCCAAGCGGCCGTGGGTTCGAATTCCAGCCCTGCCACTTACTACCTGCGAGTGTACGCCTCTCAGCTGAAGGTTGTGTGACTGGACTGTTCCTGGAGCCTCAGCCAGTCCAACAGGGCAGGACTCAGGCCTGCCTCCGTGCCTCTTCTCTCTTCAAGGTCACACATAGCGGCCCACAAGAGGCTCTCAGTCAACGCTGCTTAATGAACTAATGGCTGGGCAAGAAAAGCTTCCGTGCCCTCTTTAGAAAGAAAACCACAGGTCAGAAATCGAAATTATCCCTTAAAGAATGGAAGTCGGCTTCTAACTCATCAGGGGCTTGCCTGCTCTGGAAAAGTCTCGAGCTACATACATTTTGCTGTATTTCCTTTTCCTACTCCTGACTCCCCAGAAGAAACAGACGCGAACTCAAGACTATAGAAACGTGTCACTCTTTTTGTTATACTTAGGACTACTTTTATCTTGGCGGTAATTTCTCCACTAGTGCTGTCTAAAGGAACTTTCTGTGATGGTGCCAATGTCCTGTATATGCAGCATTCAGGAGAGGAGTCTCTAGCCCCGTGTGAAATAGGACTAGTGCGACCAATGAACTGAATTTTTCTAGGTTGTCAAATATTAATTAATTTAAATGTAAAGACGGGATGCCTGGGTGGTTCAGTTGGTTAACCGTCTGCCTTCTGCTCAGGTTGTGATCCCAGGGTCCTGGGATCGAGCCCGCATCGGGCTCCCTGCTCAGCGGGGAGCCCGCCTCTCCCTCTGCCCCTCCCCCTGCTTGTGCGTGCGCGCTCTCTCTCCGACAAATAAATAAAATCTTTTTTAAAAATTTAAACGTAAATAGCTACATGGGGCTAAGGCGACCAGCTTGGACAGAGCAGTTCTAGATTGAGACATTAGCAGAGATAAATTAAAGTAATCGTAGGTGTAAAAATTCATGATGGTTGGAAAAAAATCATAGTGGGATAGTAACTAATCCAGTGGTAGGTTTTCTAGGCTTTTTCATAAAATATAGTGAATTCTAATACGAGTTAAGATGCTGAATATAGAATTTCTGGGGTGGGAAAGCAATTTACTTGTTTTTTTGGAACTCTACTAGTCCTTTCTTTTTTTTTAATTAGAGGATTTTTTTTCTTTCCCCTTGAAAGCTGAGAATGATGCAGTGCTTTTTTTTTTTTCCTTAAGATTTATGGATTCATTTTAAAGAGAAAGAGCATGAGAGAGTGCAAGCAGGGGAAAGGGCAAAGGGAGAGGGAGCATCTCCATCAGACTCCCCACTAAGCGGGGAGACTTACTCGCGGCTCAATCTCACAACCCCGAGATCATGACCTGAGCCAAAATCAAGAGTCGGACGCTTAGCCGACTGAGCCACCCAGGTGCTCTGATGCAGTGCTTTTCAACCATCTGGTAGGATGAGGTTGGATGATGGCAGAATGGTTTGTGGCGAGATCCGTGCTTACATGATTCAGATCCTGGTTGTGCAGCTGCGGGCCAGCCCTGACAGGGACCAGCAGAAGGAGTCCAATCGCCACCTGCCTGCCCCATTCAGTGGTTTTCATGCATGATGATGCCAGAGAGGCTGAGGTCAAGGAGGATGAGAGGGACAGAAGATGAGGTCCACGAGCCTGATGGCCCAGCCCACAGCGTGGTGGGAAATCTGGGTGGTCCTTGAAGTGGGATGCGAAGTCCCAGGAGAGGAAAGGTTTTCAGCCAGGGGAGGGGGTGATCTGATCAGAAGTTTTGAAAATGAAATGGAGATGGGGCTGGTTGGGGGGCAGTGGGAATCAAGTGTGGCTCTGGGCTGCCAATCTCCAGGGACACTGGAGACGTCCAATGGGCCATGTTCCTGCCGAGGCAGTTCAGTAGATGGATCTAGAGGCTGGAGATACAGAACTGGGAGTTATCAGCTGAGAGATGAGGAAGGCCGTGTGACCAGATGAGATCACCTTGGCAGAGCCTAGAGACAGGAAAGAGGAGAAGAGAAGCCAGGACGGGCTCTGCGGCTCAGCAACATTTAGAAGTGGAGCAGAGGTGGAAGAGGACAAGCAAAAGATACCACATGGGAGATGCCTGGGAGGAAGGAAGACAGCCAGGAGTTTCCAGGGTGACAGAAGCCAAGAGAGATCAAAAAGGGGGCAGGCTCCCTGTACTCAGTGCTGCTGAGAGATAAGTAAGACAGAAATAATAGCGGGATTAGATACGCACCAAGCTTTGGACACAAATGATCTCATTTTAGCCTCTCCATGGCCGTGGTCGATAGACATTACCTCAATTTTGCAGCCAAGGAAAGTGAGACTCAGGCCAGGGTCCCCACAGCTAGTAAGAGACAAAGTGAAGATTCAAAATTAGACTCTTCCCTGGACTCCAGAGACATGGCGAGGGGATATTGCCGCACACTGATGAATGCATTCATTCAGGATGTATCGAGCCGTGACTGTGGGTGCCATTCCAAACATTGGGAATGCAAAACACAACATCCTTAACCTTGTGGCGCTTCCATCTTAGGAAGGGCAAACAGACGATAAGCAAATCAGCAAATAAAGAGGTGACATGCTCCAGGGTGGTCAAGTGCCATGGCCAACAGTGGCTAGAGAGAGCTGGGGTATTTGCTTAGAAGCGATGGTCAGGGCGGACCTTTATGAGGACATGATCTTTGAGCAGGGGTGATAATGGTAGTAATGATGAACGCTTTGAGAGCACTTACTATTGGTTGAACATTAATATATTTGTGCCAGGCAGCCAGGAGTTTCCAGGGTGACAGAAGCCAAGAGGGATCAAAAAGGGGGCATTAAGGGCGCCTGGGTGGCTCAGTTGGTTAAGCGACTGCCTTCGGTTCGGGTCATGATCCTGGAGTCCCGGGATCGAGTCCCGCGTCGGGCTCCCTGCTGGGCAGGGAGTCTGCCTCTCCCTCTGACCCTCCCCCCTCTCATGTGCTCTCTCTCTCAAATAAATAAATAAAATCTTAAAAAAAAGGGGGGGGGAGCATTAAAATGCTTTAGTGCATTTCGTCCTTCCAGTCACAGAGATACTCTCTCTTCATTTTACAGATGGGGTGGAGGTCAGGGAAGTCGCCGGAAGCCACACGGCCAGGGTCTCAGCCCAGGCAGTCTGGCTTTAGACCCTAAGCTGGACCTGACCTTCCGAGCATGAAGGAATGAATTTTCAGTTCCCAGAAGGGGAAACTGGGGGAACAAGGAGGTTGAGGAGGAAACTGAGGCTCAGAGAGGTTAAGTCACAAGGTTCGAGAGCGGTGGGGACGGGACTCAAACCTAGACGATCTGGCCTCAAAGTCCTTAGTGCTAGACCAGTGACTCTCAAACTGGAGCGCGCGTGGGAATCCCCGCAGGGCTTGTCAGAGCGCCGACTGTGGGGCCCTCAGCGTTTCTGACTCGGCAGGTCTGGCAAGGCCTAAGAACATGCATTTCTGTCAAGATCCCAGCAGGTGATGCTGCCGCTCAAGGCCTACACTTTGCGACTTTCGCTCTAGACCGCCTGTCCGCGCATGAAGGAATGAATACCCAGTTCCCAGTAGGTACAGCGAGGCTCAGAGAGGCTGTCCCGTGCGCAGAAATCACACAGCTCTTAGACGGCGGTGCCGGACCTCACACGCGGGCGATCGGCCTCCGGAGGTCGCGTTTTTTTTTTTTTTTTAAAGATTTTATTTATTCATTTATTTGAGAGAGTGAGAGAGAGAGAGCACATGAGAGGGGGGAAGGTCAGAGGGAGAAGCAGGCTCCCCGCCGAGCAGGGAGCCCGATGCGGGACTCGATCCCGGGACTCCAGGATCATGACCTGAACCGAAGGCAGTCGCTCAACCAACTGAGCCACCCAGGCGCCCAAGATTTTTTTTTTTTTAAGATTTTATTTATTTGCGAGAGAGAGAGAATGAGAGACAGAGAGCGCGAGAGGGAGGAGGGTCCGAGGGAGAAGCAGGCTCCCCGCTGAGCAGGGAGCCCGATGCGGGACTCGATCCCGGGACTCCAGGATCATGACCTGAGCCGAAGGCAGTCTCTTAACCAACTGAGCCACCCAGGCGCCCCTTTTTTATTTATTTATTTGAGAGAGAGAGAATGAGAGAGAGAGAGAGAGCACATGAGAGGGAGGAGGGTCAGAGGGAGAAGCAGGCTCCCCGCTGAGCAGGGAGCCCGATGCGGGACTCGATCCCGGGACTCCAGGATCATGACCTGAGCCGAAGGCAGTCGCTTAACCAACTGAGCCACCCAGGCGCCCCTTTTTTATTTATTTATTTGAGAGAGAGAGAATGAGAGAGAGAGAGAGAGCACATGAGAGGGAGGAGGGTCAGAGGGAGAAGCAGGCTCCCCGCCGAGCAGGGAGCCCGATGCGGGACTCGATCCCGGGACTCCAGGATCATGACCTGAGCCGAAGGCAGTCGCTTAACCAACTGAGCCACCCAGGCGCCCAAGATTTTTTTTTTTTTTAAGATTTTATTTATTTGCGAGAGAGAGAATGAGAGACAGAGAGCGCGAGAGTGAGGAGGGTCCGAGGGAGAAGCAGGCTCCCCGCTGAGCAGGGAGCCCGATGCGGGACTCGATCCAGGGACTCCAGGATCATGACCCGAGCCGAAGGCAGTCGCTCAACCAACTGAGCCACCCAGGCGCCCCGGAGGTCGCGTTTTTAACCATTCCCCGGCACTGCCTCCTGCCGGTCGGCAGAACCGGGGCGCGCAGGCATGAACGGATTCCCACTGCCCCCCGTGGGGGTGGGGGGACCAGGGACCCGGGAGCCGCCGGGCGACCCCCGGCGTCCCCTGACCTCTTTCCCTGCCTCCCCCTCCCGCTCCCCCCCCCCGCCCGCAGGTGAAGCTGGTGTTCGTGGAGGACCAGGCGGTGGTGGAGACGGTGTTCTTCCTGACGTCGCGCACGCGGGCGCTGCTGCGGCGCTTCCCGCGCATGCTCCTGGTGGACCGGCTGCCGGGGCTGCAGGGCGCGCTGGACCTGCTGGCCGTGCTGTGCGTGGACGGCGCGGGCCGCGCGCGCCAGGCCGCCTGCTGCGTGGCGCGCCCGGGCACGCCGAGCCTGCTGCGCTTCGCGCTGGCCTCGCTGCTGCAGAGCGCGCCCGACGTCAAGGGCCGCGTGCGCTGCCTGACGGCCGGGCCCGAGGTGGCGGCGCAGCTGCCCGCCGTGCGCCAGCTGCTGCCGGGCGCGCGCGTGCAGATCTGCCGCGCGCAGGGCCTCGAGACGCTCTTCAGCAAGGCGCAGGAGCTGGGCGGCGCCGGCCGCGAGGACCCGGGCCTGTGGCCGCGCCTGTGCCGCCTGGCCGGCGCGGCGTCGCCCGCCGCCTACGCCGAGGCGCTGGCCGAGCTGCGCGCGCACGGCCCGGCCGCCTTCGTGGACTACTTCGAGCGCAGCTGGGCCCCGCGCCGCGACATGTGGGTGCGCTTCCGAGCCTTCGAGGCGGCCCGGGACCTGGACGCGTGCGCCCTGGTGCGCGGCCACCGCCGGCGCCTGCTGCGCCGCCTGAGCCCCTCGCGCAGCGTGGCGCAGTGCCTCCGCGACCTGGTGGCCATGCAGTGGGCCGACGCGGCCGGGGAGGCGGCGCCCGAAGGCCCGGACGCTGGGGGGCCGTGGCCGGAGGGCGAGCCGGGGAGGGGAGCCCCCGTGGAGGAGAGGGTGAAGGGCCTGGAGAGCGGGGACTGGGGAGGGGCCCCGAAAGAAGGCAGTATTTGGAGAGGCGCCCCGTTGGAGAAGGAGTGGCCCCGAGGTTTGGAGGCCAGAGACCGGCGAGGGGCTCAGTTAGAAAGTGAGATGGGGAGAGGCTTGCAGATCCAAGACTGGAGAGAGGTCCAGTTGGAGAACCAGAAAGCGAGAGGGCTAGAAGAGAGCGTTTGGAGAGGGTCCCAGCTGGAGAACGAGCCGTGGAGAGGACCAGAGATCAGAGACTGGAGGGGGGCCCTGTTGGAGGGTGAGAAAGATAAGGGACCGGAAGGTTATGTCCGGAGAGGCGCCCGGCTGGAGGACCACGGGCTGAGAGGATTGGAAGGGTATACCTGGAGGACGGCCCAGCTGGAGGATCGAAGGATCAGGGTGCTGGAGACCACAGACCGGAAGGGGGCCCCGTTGGATTGTGAGAGGGCCAGGAGTGTTGAAGGGAGCCCCTGGAGGGGGGCCCAGCTGCATGATGAGAGGGCACGTGGGCTGAAACCCAGAGAGTGGAAGGGGCCTCAGGTGGAAGCTGAGAAGGGAAGGGGGTTGGAGGTCAGGAACTGGAGGGGGCGCCATTTGGAGAAGCCCAGGGAGTTGGTCCCTGAGAATGGAGACCAAAGGGGACCCCAGTGGGGAGATGAGAGGCAGAGAGGGCCAGAGATTGGAGAAGAGAGAGGAGTGAGTTTGGGGGTCAAAAGAAGAAGGGACCTGGAGGATGTAGTTCTGGTCCAGCTGGGGGACACAAGGATGACAGGCCTGGAGAATGGAGAGGGAGCCCCATCTGTAGGCCCCAAGAGCAGAGGAGGACAAGGGATGGAGTGTGGGGGCACAGGAGGGAGGTGTCTAGGGCTGGGGAACGGGGTCATGTGTGGCACCCCGGTGGCGACGGTGTTTGAGGGTGATCTAGAATGGGCAGGGACAAGGAGAGTCTACCTGGCCACTGGGGAGAGCCTGCAGGAAGGGGGTGAAGAAGAAGGTCCAAGGGAACCGAAGAGGCCTTGCTGCCCCTCGGCAGAGGAAGAGGTGGACTGGGAGCCCCTGGCCAAGTTCCGGGCAGCCTGCGGGCCAGAGCTGGCAGACTTGGTGGCCGAAGAGCTGGCCTTTGCCAGGCAGCACGGTACCCGGGGTTTCCACTGGACTGGAGCTGGGTTTGCTCTTAAGGATGGCACCTCGGACTTCTTCCTGGACAGGGCTCTGACCCGCTGCAGCTGCTCCATCCACGCCGCCCGGCGTCTGCCCTGCCGACACCTCTTTGCAGCACGCCTCCTCACCGGGGCAGCCTTATTCCACATGGACCTGCTCAGGGATTGCTGGGGGAGAGCCCCAGAGCCCTGACCCTTCAGGTCCCTGCCTGCCACCCTCCGCTGCGAGGTTGGGAGGGCATTCTTCGATCCCAAAGATAATAGGGCTGAGGCCAAGGAGGCCACCCCAGTCCCTCTGGCTACCTCCTGTGTCATCCAGGGACCTCACCTTGGCCGTTTACCTCTCTGGGTGTGAGGGGGGCGGCTGACAATGGTCTCCGAGGTCCTGGAGCCACAGTGTGGAAGATGGTGGTGGCCAGGATGGCTTCTGAGGGCTTCCCTCAGGAGAGGAAATGTGTGATGAGACGGGGGCAGAAGGAAGGAGGCTACAAAGCTGGGGGAGGGGAAGACACCAGGACATGGGGAGAGCCCAGGCAGGAACAGATGGTCACTCCAGAGAGTGCAGGGGTGAAGGAGAAAAGCAAGGGGGACTGTAGGAGGACAAGTGGGGGGTGGGGGGAGGAGAGAAACTAGCAGGGAGATAAGCAGAGGAGAGAGGACAAGAGGAGAGGCAGAAATGGGGAAAAGCAGAGGGAGGCAGGGGAGAAGGAGGCCAGGGTGGAGGACAGAGGAAAAAAAAAAACACACACACACACGGAAAGGAAAGGTATGGGAGATGGGGAGAGAAGGAACAAGAGGGGAGTGATTTGAGAGTCTCGAAAGCCCAGAGGCTTGGATCCCCTTGACCTTCTGGTTGGTCATTCCCAGAAGAGACTGAATGAGAGGGGGGGTCTGGGGGGATGGGCTGGAGGCTCTCCAGTGGAAGAGGGGAACAGTCTGGACTATTGTGCTTCAGGACTGGAATAAAACAGTATTATTTTGGTTTCTGCACTGAGTTCCTGGCTTTTCGGGGAGAGAGGGGAGGCCTAGACTTGGAGAGAACCTGAGGCGCTCCAACATTTCTTCTTCCATTCTATCAATAAGACCTCCTGGGGCCAGATGGAGTGGAGGGGCCAAAAGAATCCATCTCCCCCCAACAGCCCTCTTCCTCCCTCATCTGGACCAGTATCCCAGCGTGGCAAATGAGTAGTCTGGGCCAATCTCAGCCACTGTACCAGTGAATGGTTTAAGAACGGGCGTGTGACCCAATCCTGGCCAATGGGCCTGCTCAGGGTGGGGGGCTTCTAAACATGCTCTCAATCCTAAGAAGCCCCAGAATGGGATGGTCAGGCCCAGACCTGCTTGCGAGCATCTTGATAGAGCGTGAGAATGAAGCCAGTGCTGAGGGTGGCAGAGCTAAGAGATGCCCTCTATGATCACCCCGAACACCCTGGGAGGTGGGCATGGCACCCGTTTCCTAGCTATGGAAATTAAGTCGGAGAGATTCAGTGACTTGCCAAAGGACACACAACAGGGGGTCCTCCCCAACTCAAACCTCCACCCCTGCACTTTTCCTCCCTCCCTCCCTCCCTCCCTCTCTCAAGACAGATTGAGAGCGCGCATGGCAGGGGGCTGCACAGGGAGAGGGAGAGGGAGAATCTTAAGCAGGCTCCACACCCAGCATGGAGCCCTACACAGGACTTGATCTCACGACCCTGAGATCATACCCTGAGCTGAAATCAAGAGTTGGGCACTTAACCGACTGAGCCACCCAGGCGCCCCATATATGTCCCTGCATTTCCAACGGCTCTCATTAGGCAGCGAGTAGGGATGGAGTCGTGCAGGGCTGGCTCCCCATTCTGCTCTATCACAGCACTTGCTGAGGCTTCCCCTCTCTGAACCTTAGTGGCTTCATGTGGAAAATGGGGATAATACTAACTCACCAAGGCTGGCTGGAGAATTGAAAATAATGTGCTTATACTGTCTAGTACGTGCCAAGCACATCGGTAACTGGTTGTTATTATGTATCAGCCTTCCTGCTTTCTTTGAGAGACTGAAAGTGTGCGTTAACGTTTGGTGACGCTCCATGGGGAGGGGCTCCCCATTTATTTGTTAGCCCGGATCAACATCATGACAGGTATCAGCCAGGCTACCGGGAATGCGCCACGCACATTGGGGCGACCGGAAGCGCTTCTGCCCCGAGATCCCCCGGTGAATGGAGGCTCCCGTGAACCGCAGTGCACCTGGCCGGAAGGGTGAAGATCGCAGCACTAAGTGGGGTGGGGGCAGCGATAGGGAGGTGGCGAAGTCTGGGGAGACACCGAAAGGCACCAGGGGAGCCGGCGGTCTCGACCGTCCGTGGTTGAACAGGGACTCCCTTGCTGCGTCTCCCCCTCCTCGGCTAATGGTCTCGCCCGATCCCCGTTCCCGTGGGCCACCCCGGGACATACCAAGTTTCCAGCACAGGGGTGGGAGGAGTGGGCCTGGGTAGGGCAGGGACGTTTCGCCGGGCGGGACCACTGATCCGGGGGTAAATGCTGGGAGGGGGGGGAGGGGGCGCGGGGTAAAGGGATCCAAACAGTTGGAAGAGGAGAGGCCTTCAGGAGACACTAGTTTGAAAGGTGGGGCGGGGCTTGGAAGACCTCTGCGGAGAAAAGAAGGCGGGGCCTCTGGATGGATGGGCGGTTCACCGGGTGGGGACGCGGGAGGTAGGGGTGGGCGGGCTCACTGTGTGTCCGGGTGAGGGGGATGGAACTGGTTGGGAGAGACCCTTGCTTGTGTGGGGAGATTGGGGCAGTGCTTGCGGGTGACCTCTGCGTGTACGAGTAGGGAGGGTCCGGGTGAGTGTGTGCGTCGGGAACAGGTTTGAACTGTGCCTGGAAGCAGGAGTTGGATTCTGAGGCTCTGAGGGCATATCCGATGTGGAGGAACGACACGTGCTAGTGCTGCTTGGCGGAAGAGTTAAGGGCCTCCTTACAGAAGGAGAGGCTGCCGCTGGAATGTAAGGACCACAGGCACAAACATCGAGAATGATGCTGGAGAGTGTGCGGGGGCATCTCAAGGGGGACTGACGCTGTCCCAGGGTGCTGGGGAGCCATGGGATGGCCCTGATTAGGAGAGGGGGCAAGATCAGCCCTGAGTGAAGAAAGCCTTCTGGGGCCGTGTGGGGGATGGACTAGAGTGGGGAGACCGGAGGCGAGGAGGCCTGAGAGGAGTCTGGGGTGAGACGCAGAGGGAGAGGAGAGCTGAGCTGCGGCAGGGGCTGTGGGGACACAGGGGAGGATACAAGGCAGAAAGAAAACGCAAGAGAGATGGGGCTGAGGGATGGGGTTTGGAGATGACAGGTGGGGGAGGGATGGTGAGGAGAAGGAGGAGGGAGGAGAATCTCCCTGGGGATCTGGTCCGGTACTGGGTGAACCGTGAGGACTGACCATGGATGAGGACCCCCGGAGGAGGAGCGGGTTTGCAGGAAGACTCTGAGATCAGCATACATGTTATGCGTGTGAAGGACCAGGGGGTCCTCCAGGAGGTTCTGGAGGGAGATCCTGGTGCTGTCAGCTGTGATTGGTCCTTGGTACTTGCTGGTGGTTGAGCTAGCTGGAGAGCGGGAACTCAAATGAGGAAGGCACCTGCTTAGTTCCAGAGGCCATTCTGCGAAGGGCTTCGAAGGCCAGGTTAAGGAGCTCGGTTTTCTCCTGGGGGAGCTGGGGAGCCATGGGAGGAATGTGAGCAGGAAAGGGGGAGGGACGGCACTGGAGGATGGAGAGACTCCTCTAGGGCCATGTGGGAGATGCACTGGAGGCAGGACACTGGAGGTGTCCAGGAGGAGGCTGGGCAAGGACATGCATGAGGTGGGTTCAGTGCTGTGGGGATGGAGAGAACAGTGCGTAGTTTGTGGTGGAGGCTGTGGGAATGTCTGTCACCACTCCCCCACCCGGAAAGGGCTTGGAAAGAGATGGCCTGCCCTGACGCCTAGGGCAGGGGAAACCTGGAAGAACCTCCAACCACAGCTCTCAAGGCAGACCATCTAGGTTCAGATCCCAGCTCTCCACTCATGCCTTGTGACGTTGGCCAAGTTACTTAACCATTCTGTGCCTCATATTTGTCCTCTATCAGATGGGGTAATAATCCCGCTTCCTGCAGCAGGTTGCGCTGAGGGATAAATGGGCTCTTATATGAGAAGCACTTAGAACAGCACCTGAAACTGTACCCCAGCTACCTAGTACTTAACATCACCAGCTCGCCTTGGGATGGTGCTGTCACACTGTGTTCCAGTTTTTTAGGTACTGACCGCTCCATTACCTGCACCAGTCTTTAGAAGGACTGGCCCAGGGCGCCTGGGTGGCTCAGTTGGTTGAGCGACTGCCTTCGGCTCAGGTCATGATCCTGGAGTCCCAGGATCGAGTCCCACATCGCACTCCCTGCTCGGCGGGGAGTCTGCTTCTCCCTCTGACCCTCTCCCCTCTCGTGCTCTCTGTCTCTCATTCTCTCTGTCTCAAATAAATAAATAAAATCTTTTAAAAAAAAGAAAGACTGGCCCAGAAATCTTACCTACCTTCTGTGTGGCCCTGTTACAGGTTGAAACATGCCTCCTCCCCCAAAAAGAGATCTTGAAGTCCTAACCCCAGGCACCTCAGAATGTGATCTTATTTGGAAATAGGGCCTTTACAGCGGTAATCAGGTTAAAATGAGGCCGTTAGGGTGGGCCCTGATCCATTATGACTGGTGTCCTTACCAAACGGGAGGTTGGGACACAGAGACATGCGCAGCAGGAAGGTGAGGTGAAGACACACAGGGAGGATGCTACGTGACCAGGGACGACTGGATGGATGCATCTACTAGCCACGGGGCATCTGGGGCTGCCAGAAGCTGGAAGAGGCAAGGAAGGATCCTTCCGTACAGGTTTCAGAGGGAGCATGGCGCAGCCAACACCTTGATTTCTGACTTCCAGCCTCCAGAACTGTGAGTCAGTAAACGCGTGTTGTTCAAAGCCACCCACCTTGCTATACTTTGCCACTGAAGCCCTAGCAAATGAATATAGGCCCCCATTCTCTATACCTTTGGGAGTTAGGAACCAGGTGGAGATAGGACCGGTCCCCCTGTCCACCTGGCAGTTCACCATCAAGATTTTGTTTCCCCTTGTATATTAGTTAGGAAACCCCAAAACAGAGTAGTACCTTAAACAAAATAGAAATACCTTTTTCTTTGGCGCCTGGGTGGCTCAGTCGGTTAAGCGTCTGCCTTCAGCTCAGGTCATGATCTCAGGGTCCTGGGATCGAGCCCCGCATCGGGCTCCCGGCTCAGCAGGGAGTCTGCTTCTCACTCTCACTCTCCCTGTCTCTCAAATAAATAAAATCTTAAAAACAAACAAAAACAAAAACCTTTTTCTCTCTCTGAACAGTCTTGCATACGCTGTCGAGGGCAGATAAGCACCCAAGCTGCTTCTGTCTTGTCCTTCTGCCATGCTTGAGGGCCTTTTCCGCATGTGCAGGAAGGTGGCGGCCGTCTTGCCTGCCAGGCTTAAACGCCATCACTGCGCCTCACATCCTGTTGGCCAGAACTTGGTCACACGACCCCAGCCGGATGAAGGAGGGTCTGGGACATGCCGTCTTTATTCTAGAGAGAGTCCTGTGTCCAGTGAAAATATCAGGGTCATGCGTTGTGCCCTGCCCTGGGAGCACAAAGGCAGGTCACTGAGTTCAGTGGCCAAGAAGATGCTAAGCCAGTCTCCCGTGCAGGAACCCCCCAAGTTCTTCTTCTTTCTCCTCATGAGGATGTTAAGGGAGGGGAAAGCTGATTGTCATGAATTTCTCTCCAAAGAGGCAACGTCTGAAATCGGGAGGTGGAAATGGGGTGGCAGAGATCGTGCTGAACTTGTGCTCTTAGGCGGGCCACGCCTGGACCAGGAGACCCGCCCCAGCTGCTGGTGATTCTCTGACCTTACACTGGGAGGTTGATGTTGGTTTCTTTTCCTTCTCAGCTCTGGGTCTTGATAGTTCTGGGAAAACAGTGCCCAGTTACATCCCATTTTGCAGATGGGCTAAGTGAGGCTTGTGGAGGTTGGAACCATGTAGGGTGTTTTGAAATGTGTGTGGTTGAGCCAGAAGTGAATTCAGATCTTCAGAGACCAGACCCATGATGTCATTGCTGGTAAACATGAATCCTTATCTTCAAGCCTCCAGAGGGTCCTCGAAGACATGGAATCCATCCATCCTAGAGAGATCCTAGGTGACTGAGGTCCAGAGTGAGGACAGAGGTCGTGGGGACTGGGGGTGGGCACAGTGGGCTCTTGCATTCAGGGACGGAGGGAGGGATGGGAAGAGAGTAATAGATATGATATGATATTCAATCAATCTCATCCAGTGAATAAGACCGAATTGCAATCAGGTTGGCTTAGTATTAACCCAAGCCCTACTGTTTACAGCTGAAACCTTAGACAAGTTACTTAGCCTCTTTGTATCTCAGTTTTGGAATCTGTTGAAGGGGGATAACATTAGAATTGATGGCATCAGCTCATTCAACCCTGGCAAGGTAGGTTTTATTACCCCCACTGTATTGTAGTGGGTTCAGAGAAGTGAACAAATATGCCCAAACCCACAAAGTTAGTGAGTAGAGCATCGTGCTTCTCACACAGGCATTGGGTAAACATTAGAAACTATGGGGCGCTGGTATGGGTGTTCCCCATACTGCTGAGCTTGCTCTAGCATAATCAGTTAGTAATGGATGCATTAATAGAGGTACAGACACCAGCAGGAAGGGAGTACGATCCTCTTCTGCTTGGACCACTCTTAATTTCTGACTTCCATTCTACGTTCACTTTTTGTTTTTGTTGATCAGTTGGTTGCTTGGTTGCTTTTGGTTTTGTAAAGCTGTGTAGAGTAAAATGCACAGCTCTTCAATGTCTAGTACGAGTTTTGACAAATATAATCACCTGTGTGACCAACACCCCAATCAGATACGGAACACGTACATCACCCTAGGTTATTTCCTCAGGACATAAGTTTGAGAATGTTAGAGAGAGAGAGAGAGAGAGCATGCCAGAAAGGGGAGGAAGAAGGAGAGGGAGAGAAAGAACCAGTGTTTGGCAAATTTCGGGGAGGCAGATTTGGTTACAACATGAGGAATGAGTTTGTCATGCCCCTTGGGTTCCTCATTGTTCCTTCTGGTAACGCAGACATGCTGCTTTTTTATCTAGAATTCCCCTCACCCTGCGTTCCTGGACACACCCACATCCTTCAGCATCAGCAGCATCGCTAGGGAAATTCGGGGGTCCTCGCTCTGCTCCTTTAGTCCATCGTGCATCAAATGTCCATTACAGGTTGCGACCACCTGGTGTTCTGATTGTGCGTGTGTCTGGCACACCCACCAGACTGTGTACTCCTGGAGGGACCGCAGTTACTCACCTCTGCATCCCCAGCGCGGGCCATAAATCGGGGGCAGGACAGTCATTGGCTGGAAAATCCTATCTCAATGCTCATCACTGGTGCCATTGTTTACTGAAAACGACCCATGTCCAGTGTTCTGCTAATGTCCTCCATGCACATCACATGCATTCCTCACAGCAACTACGTAAAACAAGCTGTGCTTGGCACCCATGTTCCCAGGAAGCAGAATCTCAAGAGACAGTGTCAGCCCAAACGAGGCGCTCCCCAGATACAAGGCTGGAAGGGAGAATGAGAGAAAGAGAAACGGAGTCTGAGCTTTGTTTTTCCTAGGGAGTGGTCAGTAGGATGCATTCTTTCTTTTGTTTAATATGCTAGCATTTATTGAGTGCCTATGATGTTCTATGGGTTGAGGTTCCAGCAATGAGTAGGACAAGGTGTCTCCTGTTACGAAATGTACATCTGGTGGATGGAGACAGACAGATAGCTTCCCACCTGGAACTCGGTTATGGATATGTCCTGGTTGTCCACACAGCACACATCCCCGGATTTTATTTCTGATGTCCACTCACTCCTCACATGCGCTGGACACATCACGCACCTCCAGAGAGCCTGCTGCCAATCCTCCAAGGATGTTCCCTTAATCACAGTGATGGGGTCAGAGGCGGGACACCTGGCAAGAGCCAATCTGGGGCTTGTCTGGGGGCGCTTGTTTAGAACGCTTTTGTGCAACCAGATCTATCCCTTGAGGAGACCAACTGGGGTCTACTCTTGGGTAGGGTAGGGTAGTTAGGACCGCTGCCTCTTCGTTTACAAGCACTGTGGGGATTCAGTATTCCGGAGGGACTCAGGAATATACCAAACTACCACCTCCTTTCAGGTGTGTTACCTTGGATTTACACTGGTCAGTTTTCTGTGGTTCCAGCTGGCCTGCAGCCTTCAGAAGGACCAGCCAGGGACGCCTGGGTGGCTCAGTCAGTTAAACGTCTGCCTTCGGCTCAGGTCATGATCCCAGGGTCCTGGGATCGAGTCCCATATCGGGCTCCTTGCTGAGCAAGGAGCCTGCTTCTCCCTCTGCCTGCCTCTGTCTCTCTCTGATAAATAAAATCTAAAAAAAAAAAAAAAAAAAAAAGGACCAGCCATAGCCCGTGCTCCCCGAGGGGAGTGCTTTTATGATTTTATATTTTTATGATTACATGTATTTGTCAAATTTACCCCATGGTAGTAGGATTTCTTTCTTTCTTTCTTTCTTTCTTTCTTTCTTTCTTTCTTTTTTAAGATTTTATTTAGTTATTTGAGAGAGAGAGAGCACATGAGATGGGGGAGGGTCAGAGGGCGAAGCAGACTCTCCGCCGAGCAGGGAGCCCGATGCGGGACTCGATCCCGGGACTCCAGGATCACGACCCGAGCCGAAGGCAGTCGCCTAACCAACTGAGCCACCCAGGTGCCCCCAGTTGAATTTCTTTTAACCTGACTATTGATGAGGTGGGGACCCTGCCATATATTTACTGACAACGTGTCTCTCAACCGAAGTGCCCAGTCAAGGCTTTTAGCTTCTTTCCTGTTAGGTTTTCTGCCCTTTTGTTATTTTTTTTAAAGATTTTATTTATTTGACAGACAGACACATAGCAAGAGAGGGAACACAGGCAGGGGGAGTGGGAGAGGGAGAGGCAGAAGCAGGCTTCCCGCGGAGCAGGGAGCCCGATGCGGGGCTCAATCCCAGGACCCTGAGATCCTGACCTGAGCCGAAGGCAGACACCCAACTGACTCAGCCACCCAGGTGCCCCTCCTCTTTATTCTTCTAAAGCCTTAATATGTGTTGCCTTTTATAGCTAATGTTCCTGGAATTAATATTTATAGATAAGGTGAGTTCAGGCTTCAGTTCCATTCTTTTGCTTAAGGAAAATCAACATCGTATATTATAAAGTTCTTCCTTTCCTGGTAATCTGAAATGACACCTCCTTCCTAGAGGTTTATTTCTGTGCTCTTCTTCCATTACGTTAGTAAAGGCGCCCGGCTGGCTCAGTTGGTGGAGCATGCGACTCTTGATCTCAGGGTTGAGTTCGAGCCCCATGTTGGGTGTGGAGATTACTTAAAAATAAAATCTTAGGGGCGCCTGGGTGGCTCAGTTGGTTGAGCGACTGCCTTCGGCTCAGGTCATGATCCTGGAGTCCCGGGATCGAGTCCCGCATCGGGCTCCCTGCTCGGCGGGGAGTCTGCTTCTCCCTCTGACCCTCCTCCCTCTTGTGCTCTCTGTCTCTCATTCTCTCTCTCTCAAATAAATAAAATCTTTAAATAAATAAAATCTTAAAAAAAAAAAGAGTACAGATCATGATGAGCACTGAATAATGTATAGAATTGTTGAAGTGCTGTACTACACACCTGAAACTAATATAACACTGTATTTTAACTATACTGGAATTAAAATTAAAAACTTAGTAAAAAATTTTTTGAAAAGGAAAAAATTCTATTACTTATAAGACCTGGAAATTATATGGCACACCTGGGGCTACATAGCAAGGTGGCAGGTAGAGAGAGAGAGAGAGAGAGCCTACACAGGCCTGGTGTTCTGCTTTTATTGGTGAGGAGGGTGGGGGCCTAAGGCTTTTGCAGGCTCACTTTTTATTGTGAATTTAAAGCATAAAAGCAGGGGCGCCTGGGTGGCTCAGTCGGTTAAGCGTTTGCCTTTGGCTCAGGTCATGATCCTGGGGTCCTGAGATCGAGTCTCATGTCAGGCTCCTTGCTCAGTGGGGAGCCTGCTTCTCCCTCTCCCTCTGCCTGCCGCTCTACCTGCTTGTGCTCGCTCTCTCTCTGTCAAATAAATAAATAAAATCTTAATAAATACATAAACAAATAAAACATAAAAACGGGCACACCTGGCTGGTTCAGTTGGAAGAGGATGCGACTCTTGATCTCTGGGTTGTGAGTTTGAGCCCTACACTGGGTGTGGAGATTACTAAAATGAATGAATGAATGAATGAATAAATAAGTAAATTTAAGAGCAGGAATTTAAAGCACGGGAAGAGAAAAGAAAAGTTGCCCAAATGGTCAGTTATTGAAATCAACCAAGATCTCTAGAACAGAGAACCCTGGAGCATGGAACCTAGAGGCTGGGGGCAGCCTGGCTCTTTATCTTTATCTTGTGTGGCTGGCAGTGTATTTTTTTTTTAAGGTTTTATTTATTTATTTGAAAGAGAGAACGAAGGAGAGAGAGAGCACGAGGAGGGCAGGGAGTAGAGGCAGAGGGAGAAGCAGGCTCCCGGCTCAGCAGTGAGCCCAAAGCGGGGCTCAATTCCAGGACCCTGGGATCATGACCTGAGCCAAAGGCAGACGCTTAACCGACTGAGCCACCCAGGTGCCCCTAGCAATGTATTTACTGAGATGACTGTGTTTTGTCTTGGACACGGATGCCTTGGCAAGCAAAGCTTAAGTCAGACACTTGCATTATCAAAAGAAAAGCCACCTGTCAAGGGCTTACCCTAAATCAAAGAAATGTAAATAAAAACCACAATAAAATATAACTTTACAACTGTTAGAATGGCTTTTATCAAAAAGACAATAACAAGTGTTGATGAAGATGTGGGGAAAAGGAAACGCTCGTACATTGTTGGAGGGAAAGTAAATCCATGGTATGGAGCTCCCTCAGAATATCAAAAATAGGACTGCCGTATGATCCAGCAACCCCACTTGTGTGTATATACCTGAAGGAAATGAAATCAGCCTCTCAAAGAACTACCTGAGCCCCACATTATTCACATTAACCAAGACATGTAAGCAACCTCCTTCAAGAACAAAAATTCAACTAATTCATTTTATTCAATGATTCATGAATTGGGCAGCATCCCTTCTTATAAAGAGACAGGGGCTCAGGGGAGTGGTACAAAAATGGAAGGTTTTATAGGCAGAAGGAGGCCAGGGCAAGAAAATTACTAGCAAAAGAAAAGAAAGGAGCACCTGGGTGGCTCAGTTGGTTAAGTGTCTGACTCTTGATCTTGACTCAAGTCATGATCTCAGGGTCCTGGGATCCAGTCCCCTGTCAGGCTCCGCACTCAGCATGGAGTCTGCTTGAGATTCTCTCTTTACTTCTCCCTCTACCCCTCCCCCTGCTTGTGCTTGCTCTCTTTCTCTCTCTAAATAAATAAGTGAATAAATGAAATCTTAAAAAAAAATAAATCAGTAAGTGCTATGCAATCAAAACAACAAGGAGAGGAAATGATAGGAAAACAATTAAGTCTCAGAGAACTATGGGACAACAACAAAAATCTTACATTCATACCATCAGAGTCCCAGAAGGAGAGGAGAAAGAAATGCAGGGTTGAAAAAAATATATTTAGGAGTGCCTGAGTAGCTCAGTATGTTAAGCGTCTGACTCTTGATTTTGGCTCAGGTCTTGATCCCAGGGTCATGAGTTCAAGCCAAGACCCATGTTGGGTTCCACACTGGGCATGGAGCCTACTTTAAAAAAATATAGATAGATAGATAGATAGATAGATAGATAGATAGATAGATAGATAGATAGATAGATATAGATGTAGATATAGATATATAGCTATATATATATACGTATATATACACACACACATATATTTAATATATATCTTTAAAGAAATAATACTTGTAAACTTCCAAGGTTGGTGAAAAACATAAACCTACAAATTTAAAAACTGAGTGAATTCCAAATAGGAAAAACCCAAAGAAATCCATACCCAGATCTATCATAATCTAATTGCTGAAAACTAAAGACAAAAAAAGCAAATCTTGAAAATAGCCAGAGAGGGGCACCTGGGTGGCTCAATCGGTTAAGTGTCTGCCTTCGGTGCAGGTCATGATCCCAGGGTCCTGGGATCGAGCCCCATGTCAGGCTCCCTGCTGGGTGGGAGCCTGCTTCTCCCTCTCCTCCCCGTTTGTGCTCTCTCTTGCTATCTCTGTCACTATCTGCCTGTCTCTCTCAAATAAATAAATAAAATCTTAAAAAAAAAAGAAAAAGAAAATAGCCAGAGAAAAATGATACATTCCCTATAGGGAAGCAATCTGAATGACTGCAGATTTCTCATTAGGAACAATGAAAGCCAGAAATAAATGGCTGAAAAAAAGAACCGCCATTATATCCAGCAAAAATATCTTTCAGGAATGAAAGTAACATAAAGACATCTCTAGATGAAGGGAAATTAAGTGAATCCATAGTCAGGAGATCTGCTTTAAGAGAATTGCTGGGGTGCCTGGTTGGCTCAGTCTGTAGAGCCTGCAAGTCTTGACTTCAGGGTCATGAGTTCGAACCC